CGCCGGGCGTGAAGCTCATCGCGCCGTCCTCCGGCGGCGCGGGCGTCGCGAACGTCGCCGGCGGGACGCCCGCGCGCGCGAGCACCGCGCGGCCGTCGCCCCGGGCGACGGCGCCGGACTCGAGCACGCGGAAGACCTCGTCGACGCGGCCGAGGCCCGGCACCTGGTCCAGCACGAGCGCGTCGTTCGCGGACGCGCCCGCGCGCCGCCGCGTGAGCGCGACGGCCGTCGAGTCGCCGCCGCGCCGGAGCGCCGCGCGCGTCTCCGCGGAGACGCGGTTCGACCGCGCCATGGATTGGAGCTCTAACAGGAGGGACATGGACTTGGCGTAGGGCGCGCTCAGGCTCTTGTCCGTGTCGTCGCCGCGCGCCATCGTCTCGACCAAAAGCTCGAAGTGGCGGCCGACCTGGGCGCGGACGACGGCGCTGAGCGCGGCCATGGACTCGGGCGACGCGCCGAGCTCCGACGTGAAGCCGCCGAGCTGCTCCGGCGTCGCGAGGGGCGCGCGGGCGCCGCCGACGGCCGCGCCCGCGTCGCGGAGCAGGGCTTGTAGCTCGCCGCGCGGCACGGCCTCGCCCCACGTCGAGTGGCTCGCGCCGTCGGCGCCCGTGTCGTCGTCGTCGTCGTCGCCCTCGTCGTCGTCGTCGTCGCTGTCGCCGACGGCGAAGTCGCCGTCCTTGAGCTCGTCGTAGGCGCCGTCGCCGTCGTCGCTGTCCAGCGTCTCCTGCAGCCAGGCGCGGTAGAACGCCTCCTCGTCCTCGTCGCCGTCCAAAAAGTCCCGACCGTCGTCGTTCTCGCCGTGGTGCGCCGCCTGGGCCTCGAAGTCGTCCAGGCTCACCGCCATGTTGGTCGAGCCCTGTGTTCAAAATTCGCCAGTGCTGAAGGCACGATGACTTCGATGCAGAACCGAGCTCTCCGAAGCATGGATCTGATCAGGGCTGCTTCGTGAGGCAGTGTTCGGCCGTGTTCGGCAGCGTCGTGAGCGTCGTCGAACAAAATCCATGGGCATCCTCAAGCGCCGGACCCTCATCGTGCCCGGCGCGGCCCTCACGGCCATGCAGAAGCGGCGCAGGAAGCCCCTGCCCTTCAGGCACCTCTTCGTCGGGCCGCCGTCGCCGCTCATGCAGTCGAAGCGGACGAAGCTGCAGCAGCTCTTCTGCGCCTCGAAAAAGGCCGACGCCGTCGTCGAGGCCTTCGCGCCGCCGCCGCCGCCGCGGAGGAAGCGGAGGGTCGCGCGCGCGGTCTTCCGCCCGCTGCCCGCGGGCCCGGCCGCCGTGGCGCCCGCGCGCGGCCGCGCGTTCCTCGAGTTCATGGCCAGGCGCGACAAGGCGCGCAAGCGCAAGGAGGCCGGGCGGCCCTGGCCCTGGTCCAAGGACGCCATCCTGCGCGCGCGCCGGTTCACGAACGTGAAACGCGAGGACGACCGGACGACGCGGTGGCTGCGGGACCACCACGGCGCGGCCCACCGCGACGCCCCGGCGGGCGAGGTGCTGATCAACTGCGCCGTCTTCCGCGCCTTCGGGACCGTCGCCCACGCGGAGCGCTACGGCTGGCGCGCGTCGTTCGACGCGGACGCGTGCCTCGGCGCCGCGGAGGCCTGCTGGCGCGCGGGTCCGCGAAACGGCGTCCCGCGGGTGCCCGAGGTCCACCGCCGCGCGTCGTAGGCCTCCACGCGTTCACGCGGGCTTACCGGCGGCCGCTCTTCAACGCGGAGCGGGGCGTCGGCGCGTCGGCGCCGCCGCGGGGCGCCTACGAGCGCGCCGCGCGCCGCGTCGCGGACCTCGCGGCGGCGCTCCCGCGGCTGCCCGCGGCGAGGACGTCGTGGCGCGACTTCGCGGGCGCGCTCCGCGGCGTCCGGGGCTTCGGGGGCTCGGGCTTCATGGCCAAGGAGCTGCTCCTCGACGCCGCGTGGTGGCCGTCGGTGGCGGCGCTCGTCGAGGACGCCGGGGACTTCACGCTCGTCGGGCCGGGCGCGCGCCGGGGCCTGAACCGCATCGCGGGGCGGGACGTCGACTGGGGGTCGCGCGGCGCGGAGAGGGCGCTCGCCGAGGCCCGCTTCCTCGAGGAGGTGCGCCTCGTCCACGCGTTCTGCGTCCGCGAGAAGCCCGCGTGGTGCGCGGCCCGAAACATCGACATCCACGACGTCCAGTTCCAGCTCTGCGAGTTCGACAAGTACGAGCGCGTCAAGAGCGCGAAGTACTGCAGCGCGATCCTCAAGTACGAGCCCCTCGCGAGCTACGCGTTCGCCGCGCTCCCGAAGCCGCCCTGCCGCGACTTCGAGCACCACGTGGCGATTCCGAAGAGGTAAAAAGGAGGGAAAAGGGGGGATAGTTCGTGGGAACTTTAGTCCTATGGGGAGGGGCTGCGGATAAAAAGGGAAACATGGCGATGACGTAAGGATCTTTCCCAGCACTTGAGGCTCCGGGCAATTCAAGCGAGCTCGAGCTCGAAGCGCCAACACAAGGTTTTTGAGCGCGGCGCCAAGCCGCGCGCGCGCAGGCCTGCGCTCCCTCCTCGGGCCGCTCCCTCCGCCGCGAGTCGCTCGCCGGTCCCTCCATCACTCGAAGGGGCGCGACGCACTCGCAGTTGCTTCTCCCGGGCGCCGGGAAGGTTCGCCGCCGAAACCGTCGCGCTCGCGCTCGCGCGCTTGCGTTCCCACCGGCGCCGCGGCACCAAAACCGTCGCGAACCTCGAGGACGACCCCGGGGACGCCGCGTTTCACCGCCGCGCGCTAGGAAACCGTGGTCCCAGGAACCCGAGACTTGCTCGATGCTCTCGGGTTTGGGCTTTCGAAATATGTTTGGCGCGTCGTCGTCGAAGGCGGCGCCGCGCCCGTCCTGCGGGGGCGCGTCGACGGCGAGCTACCCCGACGTGCTGCGGCGCGTCGCGGCGGCGACGCGGCCGCGCGACGGCGGCTCGCCGAGCGGCGAGTCGGACGCGTCGGCGACGTCGGCGGCGATGGTCACGCAGGAGGAGGACGACCCGGCGCTCCCCGGCGACTCGCCGCTCTGGGAGTTCCTCGGCGCCCTCGTGCGCGCCGAGGCGGCCATCCTCGGCGACGCCGCGGACGAGGAGCGGCGGCGGCTCGACGCGACGCCCGGCCCGCGGGGCAAGGCCGCGTCGCTGAGCCCGCTGTCGAGCCTCGAGGCCGCGCGGCGCGCGAGCGGCCACCAGTTCCTCAACGCGCCGGAGCCGACCGAGGAGCGGCCGCGGAAGCGCCAGCGCGTGACCTTCGCGTCGAGCGAGCTCTCCGCGCTCGACTTCGGCGCGCCGCGCGAGGCGCCGCCGGCCGACGCCGCGGCGCCGCGGCCCGAGGCCGCGCCGAGCGACGACCAGGCCGCGGGCCTCCTCGAGCACCTCCACGAGGCCCTGAGCCGCGCCGACGCCGTGGGCGCGCTCGTCGCCGCGGGCGACGCGCGGACGCGCGACGGCGTGCGGTCCGTCGCTGCCGCGCTCGGCGCCGAGGCGGCGCGGCCCGGCGCGGGGCGGCGCGCCGCGCGCGCGGCCGCGTTCCTGCGCGACGAGGTGGCGCTCCTCCTCGGCGGCGGCGGCGAGTCCGAGCTCGAGGGCCGCCACGCGGAGGCGCTCAGCTCGCTCGTGCGCCGCGAGCTCAAGAGCCTGCTCAACGAGGCCGTCGCCATCGTCCACGGCACGGGCTCCGTGCGCTTCAACTTCGACGACCCGGCGGCGCTGCTCCACCGGGCCCTCCGGGCCCTCCACGACGGCGGCGGGCCGGCCTGGGCGACGGAGCTCCGCGCCGCGCGGTGCGCGGCCGGCGGGCCCCTCGCGTTCGAGGGCGAGGACGAGGCCAAGGACGTGCTGAGCCTCGCCGCGGCCCACGGCTTCGCGCTCTCCGTCTTCACGCAGTCGGCGGTCCGCGCGAAGCTCGCCTCCGGCGGCTTCGACCGCCTCGAGGCGCTCGCGGGCCGCGTCCGCGGCGCGGACGCGCCCCGGGCGGCGGACGCGCCCGGCGACGACGCGGCCGCGCCGGCGTCGGAGGCGGCGACGCGGGTCGACGCGGACGCGGAGGCGGAGGCGCCGGCGGCGCCCGCGGCGGCGGCGCCGCTGTCGCCCGGCGGCGGCGACGCGGCCGCGGCCGCGCCCGCGGGCCTCTTCTCGCCCGGCGGCGGCGGCGCCGCGCCCGCGGGCGCGCCGGAGACGCCCGCGGCGGGCCCGCTCGCGCCGCTGGGGCCGGGCCCCGGCGGCGCGTCGCCGCGGCCGGCGGCGACGCCCCGGACGCCCATGGAGAGCGCGACCGCGCGCCTCGCGTGCCTCGCGCCGCTCCGCGACGCGCGCGCGCTCCGCGGCGCGCTGCTCGCGGCCGCGCCGGCGGCCCACGCGTCCGCGGCCGACGCCATCGCCCACCTCACGGCCCTCCGCGACGCCGCGGCCGCCGCGGCCGCCGCGGCCGGCTCCAAGAAGAAGCGCAAGAAGCGCAAGCGCGACAAGCAGAAGCCCCTCTTCGACGACCTCGCGAACAGCGGCGTCTTCCTCTTCCCGGAGATCGCCGCGTTCCCGGCCGAGGCCGACTAGGCCCCGAACCTCGCTTCGACCCGCCTCGCTACCGCTCCTAACTCGACGCGCCCTCACTCGTTCGTGTCGTCGTCCTCCTCGTCGCTCGTGTCGTCCGGGTCGTCGTCCCAGGGCATCCAGGGCCGCTTCTTGCGGGCCTTGAGCCAGGCGACGGCGCGGTCGACGGCCTCGGCGTCGAAACCGCGGCCCGCGGGGACGACGTCGACCTGGCTGTCGTCCGTGGACCCGTTGACGAGGTCCACGAGGCCCATGCGGTCGTCGCCGCCGGTCACGTAGAGCCGCGGCCAGGACCGGATCTCCTTGTGCTTCTCGTTGGGCGTCATCGCGCCGCCCTTCTTGCCGACGAGCGACGGCTCCTCCGCCGCGGGCGTGTCGTAGGGCGCGTAGTCGAAGCACGCGGCCGCGCGGACGCGCTTCCGGCACTCCTTCATGGCGTTGGCGACGCCGGGCAGGAGCCGCGCGCCCTCGCCGCGGCCGACGAGGACGACCTGGTCCGCGCGGTGCAGCGCGAAGCGGACGGCGCCGCGCATGTCGTCGGCCCGGAAGTCGGCCGCGTCGCCGGGCGGCGGGTGCGCCGTCGCGGCGCCCGTGCCCTCGTAGTCCAGGAAGACGGCGGGCACGTGCTTCTCGAGCATGAGGCGCGTCGCGACCGCGCGGAGGAGCGGGCACGCGCTCGCGGGCTCGGCGCCGGCGCAGTAGACCGCCATGAGGTGCCAGCGGTGCTGCTCCTTGCACTTCTTTGTCGACGAGCCCGCGGGCAGCACGACCGTCAGCGGGAACTTGCAGCGCGCGTGGCCGCCCCGGTTGACGGCGCTCACGTCGACGACCGCGGGCGCCCACGCGTCCGGCGACCACCGCGTGAGCGGCTCGACGGCGCGGCGCTTCGTCGGCAGCATCTCCATGAGCACCTTGGCGCTGCACCACCCGGCGTGGGGCGGCGCGAGGCGGCAGCGGTACGTGCCGTCGGACGCGCGCTTCGTCTCCTCGACGACGACGAGCGCGGCCCTGGGGATGAGGCCGAGCTTCGTCGAGGAGAGCTCGATGCCCGCGCGGACCGTGACGCCGTTCTTACCGACGCATTCGTGGGTGGCGAAGCCGCGCTGGTACGTGTCGTTGGGGTCCGGGCTCACGTCCCACTCCGGCGGGACGCCCATCGGGACGGGGCAGCCTCTTCCGATTGTCGGGAGGGGGCACGGCAACGGCATCATTGAAGGGTATCGTTGAACATCATAGATTCTTCAAAGAGACTGTTTCGCTAGCGCAATCCGCGTGACAGGCTGCCCTGTCGCATGCCCGAGGTCGACGAGGAGATCCTCGACGTCTTCGCGCTCCTCTCGGGCCGGCGGAAGATCCGGACGCGCCTCGACGGCTACGCGCTCGGCGTCGCCGTGCTCCTGATCTACGCGACGGCGAACACGGTCTTCTTCGCCGGCGCCTGTTACCGCACCTTCGGCGTCTAGGACCATGTGGCGCCTCGTCCTCCTCGCCGCGCCGCTGGTCGCCGAGGACCACCACGGCCGCTGGCTGCGGAGGCTCGAGGCGGACCCGGCCCACGCCTGCGCGCCCGAGCGGCTCCGGGAGCTCCGGGAGCTGGCGGCCGCGGGCGCCGTCCGCGCGGACGTCGTCGAGGAGATCCGCACGCCCCGGGACCGGACGGCGAAAGGCGCCCGGCCCGAGCGGCGCCAGACCATCCTCATGGACGACGACGCCGGCGGGGCGACGGCCTTCGAGTGCCGCGAGGGCGGCGCCGCGACGGCGCGGCCCGGCCGCCGCCGCGCGCACCGCGGGTCGTCCGCGTCGCAGCACGCCGTGTCGCGCCTCGACGACAAGTACACGAAGCGCGTCGTCGGCGAAAAGACGCTGCTCATCTCCGTGATCTGCCCGTCGAGCAGCGACTGCGACAGCGCCTACGACTACGAGATGATCGAGTCCGCGCACGGCGGCGACGTCTTCGCGTACCTGGACGAGGTCGTGGACCTGGCCAACGACTTCTACGCCGAGGCGTCCTGGGGCAACTTCTCGCTCGCCGTGACCTACACGCCCATCCTCGAGGTCGACTACGACCAGTCCACGTGCGACGACAACGACGAGATCGACTGGCTCGGCGGCGGCTACGACGGCGACCCGGACGCGTTCGACGTCATGGCGGCGACGGCGTCCCTCGCGGCGGGCTACGACCGCGAGGACTACGACTTCAACGTCGTCGTCATCCCCTACTGCCAGGGGAACGGCGCCGCGGGCACGGGCTACGTCTCGCAGGCGGGCGCGTTCCTCAACCTCGCGGCCTACAACTACGACCCGTCGTTCATCCACGAGCTCGGCCACAACTTCGGCGCGAACCACGCGTCCTACGTCGACAACGACAGCGACAACCTCGGCGGGAAGAACGCGTGGTACTCCGACGACGACGACTGGATCGAGTACGGCAACCTCTACTCGCCCATGGGCGGCGGCGGCGTCGAGGACGGCGACCTGAGCAACCACTTCACCGTCGAGGGCAAGCTCATCTTCGACTGGCTCACGAACAGGTACGTCGACTACGTCGAGCCCTACGACGCGTCCGAGACGCCGCTCTGCAACCCGTGCGTCTCCGTGATCCAGGCGACGGACTCGGGCACGCTGGCCCCCGACGACCCCGTCGCGGTGCAGATCTCCACGGCGACGGAGGATCTCTACCTCTTCGTGGAGTACCGCTCCCAGTACTCCGGCGCGCTCATGACCTACTCGAGCTACAGCTCGAACTCGGGCATGACGGGCAACTTCGGCAACTCGCGCGTCGTCGACTGCGAGCCCTCGACCGATCTCCTCACCGACGCCATGTGCACGAGCGGCGAGAACATGCAGCTCGACGTCGGCGACGAGGCGACGTCGCGGCCCATCTCCGTCTACTTTGAAGTCGTCGGCTCGCACCTCGAGGTGTCGGTCTACTCGAGCGACACGCCGCGGCCGACGCTGTCCATGGCGCCGACGACGGCCGCCCCGACGCAGTCCCCCTCCAAGGAGGACGACCAGTGCGGCAAGGAGAAGTACTGCTGCGACTTCGTCGACATCGACGGCTACCAGCGCTTCTACAAGGTCCGCGACGTCACGGGCGAGCTCTACTGCTGCTCCTCCAAGTGCACGTTCGTCAACTCCCAGAACTACTACCTCCAGTACGTCGCCGCCGGCGGCGACTACTACGTGATGACGTCCGAGCCCTGCTTCGAGAGCGGCACGCTGTCCTACATCGAGGGGCCCATCACGACGGACGAGATGGAGGCCTACTGCGACCTCAACCAGCCGACGCCCGCGCCCGTCGGCTGCACGGCGGACTCGACGTCCTGGTACAAGGACGGGTCGCCGGACAAGGACTGCGCCTGGGTCGCGGGCGACCTCGGCCGCTGCGACTCCAAGGAGGACGCCGCCGGCGTGCTCGCGGAGGTCGGCTGCTACGCGACGTGCAACGAGTGCACGCCGCCGGACCCGTCGCCGACGCCCATGCCCGTCGAGTCCTCGGACCCGGCGCCGACGCCGAGGCCCACCGCGGGCCACGCGTGCGTCGCCGACTCGGCGTCGTGGTACAAGAGCGGCAAGCCCGACAAGGACTGCGCCTGGGTCGCCGAGGACCTGGAGCGGTGCGACTCCAAGGAGGACGACGCGGGCGTGCTCGCGTCCGTGGGCTGCGACGCGACGTGCTACGAGTGCACGCCGGACGAGACGGACGACCCCCCGACGCCGCGGCCGACGATCATCTACACCATCACGCGGGCCCCGACGTCCCTGACCTGCGAGTGCGACGACAAGGGCGTCTGCGACGACGACGGCTGCTACGAGCCGGAGCCCGGCGGCGACTGCGACAACGGCACGCCGCCGCGGCGCGACCTCTGCGCGGACACGTGCGAGGCGTGCGGCGTCGCCGACACGACGTCCACGGTCACGGGCGAGATCGAGATCTCGGGCGAGGACGAGGCGTGGGCCGAGGAGCACAGCGAGGAGATCGAGGAGGCCATCTGCTACGCGGCGGAGACGGACGCGGACGAGGTCACGATCTCCTTCGCGGCCGAGACGCGGCGGCGCCGCCTCGACGACGACCCCGAGCTCTTCATCTTCTACGTCATCACGGAGGAGTCGTCCGACGCCGCCGCCGCCATCTACGAGCGCATGGCCGCGCTCGAGCCCGCCGACTTCGAGGAGCACATCGCGGCGGCCTTCGCGGCCGCGGGAAAAAACGCGAGCGCCCACGCGAACGCGGAGACGATCCAGATCTTCACGCCGCGCCACAACGCGGCCTCCTACGCGCCGACCATGGCCACGTATCTCGACGCCGCGTCCCCGAAATGTTGGGTCGAGCCCGTCGCGGCCGCGCTCGCGCTGACGTCGCTTTTTTCCTAGGCCCTGCCGCGACGACGACGACTGCGCGGAGTCCTGGGTCTGCGAGCAGGACGGCACGTCGCGGCGTCAACTCCGCTTCGGCTACTTCGCGATGACGGGCATCTGCGTCTTCGACGCGCAGCCGAGCGCCGTGCCGACGCCCTTCATCCTCCAGGCGGAACCGGGCGAGACGCGCGGCGCCCGACCATCGCTCGCACATCCCTCCTACGCGACGTAACAACTACGCGACGTAACAAAAAGAGCGCCTCAGCCCAGCCGCGCGAGGAGCCGCGCCAGGCACGCGGCGCCGTCGTTCAGGCGGCGCGCGCGGGCCTCGCCGCGGGGGATGGACTCGTCCAAATCCCGGAGCTCGCCCTTGAGCCGGTCGTGGGCGCCCACGAGGGAGCAGATCGTCTTCTGGAGGTGCTCGATCTCCTTCTTGCAGACGCCGTCGAAGTAGACGTTGTGCTGCCGCCGCGCGGCCGTCGCGAGCGCGGAGAACGCGCGCGGCCCGTAGGCCTCGAAGGCGCCGCGCTGGCCGAGGAGCGCGAGGCGCCGCTTCGCCGCGGCCTGGGGCTGCTCGCGGTGCTGGGCGAGCTCGCGGCGACGCGCGCGGATCGTCTGGAGGTCGAGCGACAGCCGCGCGGCGACGTCTCTCTGCTTCGCGTGGCGCGTCTCCCGCGCGCCCCGCAGGTCGTGGAGCGTCTTCGCGGCGCTCCGGAGCGCCGCGGCGACGTCCTCGCGGCGCGCGGCGACGAGCGCGCGGAACGAGCCGCGCGCGCGCCGCTTCCGCTTCGGGCCGCGGCGCGCGACGTCGCCCCGCTCGGGCGGCGGCACGGGCGTCCGGTGCGCCGCGCCGACCCAGCGGTCCCAGCTCGCGCCGTGCCGCGCCGCGCGCTTGGACCGCCGGCTCGCGGCGCCGAAGGCGAGGCGGTCGTTGCCGCCGAGGAACCTCAGGCACTCGCGCAGCGTCTCCTCGGGCATCGCCGCGCGGCGCGCGCCCTCGCGCCGCGACGCCTCGACGAGCGCGAGGGTCGTCGAGGCGACCTGCCGCCGCAGCGGCGCGGGGAAAGGCACCGTCGCCTCGCCCTCGCTCTCCGACGAGCTGCCGCTGCTGTCCGACGGGGGCAGGCCGCGCGCGAAGGCGTGGGCCGGGAGGTTCCGCGGCGCGTGCGGGTCGCCCCCGCGGTACATGGCGGTGCCGGCCGCGCGAACCCGCTTCTTCCAGAGGCACTCGCTCTCCATGCTGCGGCGTTTTGCACTCCCGGCAGTGGAGCCAGACGATGCTCTCCGCCGCTCGTTTTGAGGAGCCTCAACATAAAATATTAAGTTGCTTGCAGCGAAGGTGCTGCTATATTGAGTCTGGGAGCAGCCCTTCTCTCTCCGCCCTGGGGCATGGCCTGCACCATCGAGTGGTGCGAGCCGGACAAACCGCCACGCTGCTTCAAGTTCGTGCTCCCGAAGCCGACGCCCGTGGGCAAGCTCGTCAAGAAGTGCGCCAAGGCCGCCGGCGCGACGCACGTGAACGTCCAGGTCCGGCCGCGCGGCGGCGGCAATGCCCTTGGCGCCAAGGACCTCGTGCCGAGTGCCACGAACATTTTCTATACAGCCGTGCCCGAAGCCGCGCCCGCAGCCGCGCTGTCCGCATCGGCCGCGCCCGCGGCCGCGCTGTCCACGTCGGCCGCGCCGGCGGCGGCGCCGCCGCCGAAGGCCCACGTCGCGCGCTACGCGAGCTGGCTCCGGGGCCCCGCGGCGCCGCGCGTCGCGTCGTCCGACGAGGCGGCCGTCGTCGCCGCGCTAAGGAAGCGCCAGCCTATCGTCGTCGAAAACAGCAGCCTCACGAAGAGCCTGCGCCACTGGACCTTCCAGTACCTCGCGGACCACAGCGACGGCGACGTGCCGCGGTTCCACACGCACTTCGCGCCGAAGCGGCGCCGCGTCTTCCCGCGCAAGTACGGCAAGAAGCTCATGCCCGGCGAGGCCGCCGCGGAGGAGGGCGGCATCGTCGCAACGACGTTCCGCGACTTCCACGAGCTCCTCAAGGGCGCGCGGCGGAATCCCGCGGAGCCGCTGGCCTACTACTGCCAGCAGACGGTCCTGAGCTACGGCGACCGCGACCCCGACGGCCGGTCGCCGCCGCCGGCGGGCGCCGCGCCCATGTCCGGCGACCACGCCTTCCTGAAGGACCTCTACGAAGCGGACTGGGCCTGGCTCGACCGCGTCACCGCGTGCCTCGGCCCCTTCTTCATGACGTCGCTCTGGTGCGGCGACGGCGCGAGCGCGACGCCCATGCACTACGACTGCAAGGACAACTGGCTCTGCCAGGTCGCGGGCCGCAAGCACGTCCTGCTCTTCCCGCCGGCGCGGTCCTTCGACGTCTACCCCTACCCGCTGGACCACCCGATGACGGAGTTCACGATGGTCGACCTCGAGAAGCCCGACCTGAAGCGCTGGCCCGCCTTCGAGAAGCTGCGCCGCGGCGGCGTCTGGGCGACGCTCGAGCCGGGCGACGCGCTCTTCATCCCGCGGTTCACGTGGCACTACGTCGAGCAGTGCGAGCCCGACGCGGACAACATCTCCGTGAACTTCTGGTTCGGCGGCTACTGCGACAACATGGAGGACCTGCAGGACCTCCACGGCGCCGCCCGGGGCGACGCCGCGCGGGGCCGCTGCGACCTCGCGACGCGGCGGATCCTCGCGCACCGCCTCACGGAGTGGATCGCGAAGGCGAGCCTCGCCCCCGTGGACATCGAGCCCCACGAGTTCCTGACGACCTGGGCGAAACGCGGCGCGCGCGTCTTCGAGGTCCCGCTCTACCGGAATCTGCGCCAGTTCGCGGCGGACCTCGTCGCGCGGATGGCGCCGATCGTCGACGGCGAGGCCAACTTCTTCGACCTACTCCGGGACATGTGCAAGGACGGGCGGCTCCACCCGGGCCCGCCGGCCTTCACCGTCGTCGCCTCGGGCGAGGAGAACCGGAACACGCCGCGCGACGCGCTCCCCGCGAAGCTCCGGGGGCTCCTGCGCGCGGACGCGGCGCGGTCCGACTCCGAGGACGACTTCGCGGGCCTCGACGGCTAGGGCGGACGTTCTAAGGTGAAATAAGAGAGCGCCGCGCAGCTCCACGCCGCGCGGCCGCTCGTCCCTAGCGCTCCTGGAAGACGCGGACGTAGGCGATCTCGAGGCTCGCGGGGAGCGCGGCGTCGTCGACGCCGTGCTTGCCCCCCCAGGTGCCGCCGACGGCGAGGTTGATGAGGAGGAAGAAGCGCTGGTCGAAGGGCCAGTCCGTGCACTCGGGCTCCGCGGACCGCGTCGCGCCCGAGTCGCCCGACGCGCGCGACGACGCGTCGTCGTCGCCGGGCGACTCCTTGGACCGCCGCACGGGCGCCTCGCCGCGCTCGAAGGAGTGGACCGTCTCGCCGTCGATGCAGAGGAGGAGCTGCGTCGGCCGCCAGACGAGGGAGTAGACGTGGAACTTGTCGTGCGCGTCCGCGACGGTCGTCGCCGCGTGACTGTGCGTCCGCTCGCGGTGGTTGTGCACGGCCGTGTGCACGGACGTGTGGATCGTCCCCGGTGGCTGCCAGCCGATGTTCTCGCAGAGGTCGATCTCGCCGGACCGGGGCCAGCGGCCGTACTTGCTGTCCGTCGGCAGCAGCCAGAGCGCGGGCCAGAGGCCCCGCCGCGCGGGCGGCAGCCGCGCGCAGACCTCGATGCGGCCGTAGAGCCAGTCGCCCTTGAGCTTCGTGTGGAGCCGCGCGGACGTGTAGGCGTGGTCGCCCCAGGGCTCGCGCCGCGCCGTGACCCGCAACACGCCGCCCTCGACCCAGGCGTTCTCCCGCCGCCCCGACGTGTAGTGCTGGAGCTCCGCGTGGTCCGTGTCGTGGATCCACCGGTTGCACGACGTCTGGAACCCCCATTTCCGCGGGTCCGGCGGGCCGTCGTAGTCGAAGTCGTCGTGCCAGACGAGCTTCCAGCGCTCGCAGGGCAGCCACCAGGCCGGCAGCGCCAACCGCTGGACCTTGAGCCGGTGCGCCTCGACGTCGACGCGCGGCGTCGGCAGCCGCGGCGGCGGCGCCGGGTCGCGGTCCTCGTCGTCGGGCCTCGGGCTCGCGGCCCGCGGCGGCTCGAAGCTGCCCATGGACCCGAAGCGCTCGAGGTGGTAGAGGGGGCTCAGGAACACGGGCCGCTTCTCGAGGTACGCCACGAAGAACGCGCCGACGTCGTCGGGCTGGCCCGCGCAGGCCTGCTTGCACATCTCGCAGAGGATGGGCTTGAGCTCGCGCATGGTCGCCTTGCGCACGGCGTCCGACTTGCGCGGCCGGCTCGGGGCCGCCGCGACGCCCGAGGACCGCGGGCTCGGCGGCGCGCCCCGCTTCCGGTCCGCCGCGGGCGCGGGCGCGACGCGCCCCGCGCCGGCCCGCTCCGCGGCCTCGCGCGTGCGGCACCGCCGCCGGAGGAACGAGAGCATGGCCGCCGGCACGTCCGCCTTGTCGTTCAGCGTCCGCGACAGGTAGAGGCTCTGGATGAGCTCCGTGACGAGGGGCTCGACCTTGGCCGCCATGTAGGAGTGGGCCGCGTCGCGCCGCCGCCGGCTCTGCTGCTTCTCGAGGCGCTGCTGCTCCGCCGCGGGGCACGGCGCCACCGTGACCCCCATGGGCAGGGCACGCGGGCGCCCCCCCCGCGACGAAACCAAAATGCACGCCACTGAGAGCAGCCCCGAGAGCCCGAAGATACAGGCGCTATCGACCAAATAACGACATGTTGAACTCCTGTTTTGCCCAAGCGCGCAGCCCGTCGACCGCTTTCGCTGGGTGCGGACGCGACGCGTCGCGGCTCCGTTGCACGCGCGGGCGGGTCCGCCGGGACCGCGCGGGCCATGGGGCCGCGGGGGGGCACGAAGCTCGGCGCCAAGTGGCAGCTCGACGCCGCGCTCCTGAGCCGGCCCGTGGACCTCACGGCGCTGGTGTCGCTGTCGCAGACGAGCCCCGACGACTTCTTCCACGACGACACGCTGTCGCGCATGGTCAAGCTGCTGCTCAACGCCGTCGACGACACGCGGAGCGACAAGGACACGCGGCTGGACGTGCTGACGGTGCTGAGCAACCTCGCGGGCGCGGTGTCGGAGGACGACCGGCTCGAGCAGATCAAGATGGCGCTCGACGGCATCAACGAGTGGTTCGACGAGTACATGGCGCGCGAGGAGGCGCGCATCGCCGAGGGCACGACGGCGACGGAGGTCGAGCCGGAGCTCCACAAGCTCATGCTGCTGCTCCTCGCGCGGCTCTACGGCTACAAGCTCAAGACCGAGGACCTGCTCGAGCTCGTGCGGAGCGACAAGATCCTGGGGCTGGAGACGGTCGTCGGGCTGCTGGAGGACGGCGAGACCTACACGACGGAGCTCCACCGCAAGCAGGCGCCGAGCCTCGGGCGCATGGGCCAGTGGGAGCACAAGCTCGTGTGCCACCGCCACGAGAAGCCGCTCATCCTCCAGCTCTGCCGCCTGCTGCGGGGCTTCACGCTGCCCCAGTCCTACTTCGGGACGGCGTCCGACGGCGCGGAGATCTCGGAGCACGACGTCAACGAGTTCACGAACGAGATGAACCTCCTGCTGGACATCACGATCAAGAGCCGCCTCGTCGAGAAGCTCGCGCTCGCGTGCCACGAGTGCCTCTTCGCGCCCTTCGACGGGAACCCCGACGAGGGCCCGCGGAGCCCGAGCGAGCCGAGCGAGGCGTCGACGTCTCTCGTGGACGACGACCACAAGTCCATCGCGTGCGTCCACAGCTTTTTGCAGAACATGTATTTCTACGCGACGAACCGGACCCTGGACTACCGCCAGCACCTCCTCGCGGACACGCTGCTCATCCCGCGGCTGGTGCTGCCCTACCTCGACCGGTCCGTGCAGCGCGCGTCGCAGCTGAACGCGCGCGCGGAGGCCTACCGCAAGGCGCTGGAGCTGGGCGACGACGACGGCGACGCGGATCGCGGCGCGGACGACGACGAGCGGCGGCGCCTCCGGGCGCGGCGCGAGGCGGCGGCGCGGCGGGACGCCGGCGGCGTCCTCGAGTGCCCGCCCCTCGTCGCCGGCATCTCGGCGAGCCTGCGGACGCTGGTCATCGCGTCGTTCCGCGCGCCGCCGACGCGGTTCATGCTCGAGCTCCTGCGGCGCCTGAACCCGACGGAGAGCCTGCTGCGCGCGTCGGCCTTCGTCGCGCGCCACGAGTACATCTTCGCGTTGCTCTGCCTGCTGAACGTGAACATGGGCGCGCTGGACCTGGCCGCGCGGGGCGACGCGGACGCCGGCGACGACTCGGGCGACTTCGACGCGGGCGCCAAGGGCGACGGCGGCGACTACCGGCGCGCCGTCGACGCCCAGCGCGCCGTCGCCGCCCACGCCCTGCTCCACACGCTCGCCAAGGTCCACGGGGCCATGTCGCCGGACGCGCGGCAGCGCGTGCTCCAGACCGTGACGTCGTCGGGCGCGCTGCCCGTGTCGCGCGACACGCCGTCGTTCGCCGCGGTCATGAACGTGCTCCTCGGCGGCGCCTCCGACGGCCAGCGCGACTACGTCCTCGGGTCCAGCGCCAGCGACGACGCGTCCGCCGCGTCCGAGTCCGCCGACGACTTCCGGTCCGCGCGCGCGGACGCCAAGGCCGAGGCCAAGGACCGCGAGGCGGCGCGCGACGCCAAGGGGCTCCCGTCGCCGACGGCCGCGGACGCCAAGGCGACGAAGAAGCCGTCGCTCCTCGGCGACCTGCCGTCCTTCGACCGGCCGCCGGCGCGCGGCGGCCGCCCGGAGGACGACGCGCCGAACGCGTCGCCCGTGCGGCTCAACCTCGCGCTGCCCGGCGCGAACCGCGAGAAGCACGCGACGTGGATGAAGCCGCCGCCGGGCGGCCCGCGGGGCTCGGCGAAGCCCGACGCGGAGGTGCCCGCGGAGTTCGCGTGCGCCATCAACGGCCACCTCCTCAAGGAGCCCGCGCGGTCGCCCTACGGCCACGTCTTCGAGAAGTCGACGATCACGCTCTGGCTCGAGACGCGGGGCTCCGTCTGCCCCATCACGGGCAAGGAGCTCAACGTCGAGGACCTCGAGGACGACGCGGCGCTCCACACGCGGCTCATCAAGTGGCACATCGGCCGCATGCAGCAGACCATGGAGACGTCCGTCTCCGCCATGCACGGCGACGAGGACGACCTCTACGACTTCTAGGGGCGCTCCGTCCGCCCGCAAGGCGCGGGTCCGAGGCCGCGCCCTAATCTTCCGATCCCGATCGAGCGCGCCTGGGAGACGCGTGCACTCGATGGAAGTCTCGATGCAGTAGGGGTTTGTCCTCCCGCGCTCGCTACTTGAGGCCAGCGTTGGCGGAGTTGCCGCGTTTTGCTGGAAACGAGCATGGCTCGGGCTGCCCGCCAGTAGGGCTTCGAAATAAAACGATGGTCTTCGCGACGTCGGCCAAGGTCGCCGACGACCAGGGGCGGGCGCCGCTCCTGGGCGAGACGAAGCGGCGGGCCTACCTCGGCGGTCCCGCGCTCTGGAGCAGCGACGCGAGCGTGGCCCCCGAGGGCGCCGGCGACGGCTCGCGGCGCGTCGCGCCGGAGGACGGGGGCCTGAAGCGCGCCCGCGACGGCCGCGTCGCGCCGGACCTGCTCGTCGACGAGACGTCGGGCCGGAGCGAGGCGCCGCGGCGGCGCACGTGGGGGTTCCGCCAGTTCGCCAGCGCGCGGAACCGGCGCGTCGCGCCCGGCGCGGACGAGGTCGTCGACGAGGACGTCCGGCTGCGCCAGCTCTGCGACGCCTGGGTCGAGCGGCTGGCGACGCACGGCCGGCGGAACCACTGGTTCGAGCGCGCCTGGCTCGTCCTGGACCGGCTCCAGGGCCTGGGCCTCGTCTGGGAGATGGCGCAGGCCTGGCCCTGGCCCGCGATCTGGCTCGACTGGACGCGGCACATCGCCTGGGCGAACCTGGACGTGCCCGCGACGGGCAAGCACGGCGCGGGCCTCGGGTCGACGGGCGAGCTCGGCCGGTCCGTGCACGGCGAGACCGACGGGTTCCTCGAGAGGTTCGCGGCGCCGATGGTCCTCGCCGCGGCCCTCTGCGTCGCGTGCGACGTCGCGCTCCGGAGCGCCCGCGTGCGCCAGCGCTGCGGCGCCGCCGACGCGGCGAGCGAGCTGCGGCCCTACGACGCGGACGCGCCGCGGTCGTGGACGACCGCGCGCGTCTGGGCCGCGGGCGTCGCGACGCGGCTGTCCATGGTGCTCTACGGGCCGCTGGGCCTCGTCGTCGCGCGCCTCTTCCACTGCGAGCGGGGCTTCAACGGGCCGTCGGCGCGGTCCGCGGCCTGGCGCGCCTACGCGAGCGACGGCGGGAACCAGCGGCTCGCCGCGGACCCGGCCGTCGGCTGCTTCTCGAACGAGCTCCTGGCTTTTCGCACGCTGCTCGCGCCCGTCGGCGCGCTGTGCCTCGTCGCCGTGCCGTGGCTCGCCATGCGACGCGCCGTCGGCGCCTGCGCCTACGCGTCGCCGACGGACCACGAGAAGACGCTCCAGCGCCACGAGATCGAGCACGTGTTGGGCGTCGACGGCGGCGACGCGGGCGCGCTCTGCGACGACCGGTCCTACGAGGTGCTCGGCACCATCGCCGCGGACCGCGCCGCGGACCGGGGCGCGACGGGGCGCCGCGACTCGGACTGGGACTTCGCGGAGGTCTGGCTCGTGGCGCCGTACAAGCGCCACGCGGCGACGCGGGAGGCGCGCATGCTCCTGCGCAAGCTCGGCCTGCTCTGCTGCTACGCCTGGCTGCGCGGCGAGCACCGGGCCCAGGGCGTCGCGGTCTTGGCCGTCGAGGCCTACTTCGGCCTGCCGCAGGTCATCCGGCGGCCGTTCCGCGACGCGCGGTCGAACGAGGCGTGCATCATCCTCGAGCTCGCGGCGCTGACGAACGCGGTCTACGCGATGATGACGGCCTGGGGCCTGCGCAGCGCCGTCGTCATGGACAAGGAGCAGTCCATCGCGCTCATCGCGGTGAACGGGCTGGCCGCGGTGCTCGTGCTCGGCGTCTTCTGCGCGGCGTACCGCGGCGGCGACGCGCTGCCCCGGGCCGCGACGGCCGTGGACCGCGCGCGGTCCGCCCACGGCGCGACGTGCCTCGTGGACTGGGTCACGGTGAGCCGCCAGGCGCGCGCCGCCGCCGTCAAGGCGTCGGCCTGGCGGCCGCGGTGCCTCGCGCCGACGCACGTGCTCGAGCGGCGCATGGACGACGCGCGGCGCGCGTGGGTCGAGGCGAAGCGGCGCAACTGCTTGTTGGAGGGGACCGTGCGCGAGTCGCTGGACGCCCTCGTGCGGGCGCACCAGGTCTGCGCGGAGACGACGATGTGCGTCGGCGGCAAGTGGTTCGCGGAGGACGGCGACCCCTTCTCGCGCGCGGCGTCCGCGCTGAAGACGCGGTCCGAGGAGAAGGTGCTGATGAAGCCGCGGAAGCGGGCGCTGTTGTTGAAGCTCCTGGCGCTGCGCTACTTCCAGCAGGCGCGGGACCGGAAGAAGGGCTCCGCGGCCGCGGGCCTCGCGGCGTACTTTCGCGCGCCGCCGCGGGCCGACGGCGCGCGGACGGCGGCGCCGCGCGCGGCCGCGGGCGACGCCGAGGCGCCGGAGGGCGACGCCGAGGCGCCGGGGGGCGACGCCGAGGCGCCGAAGCCGCGCCTCGTGCACCAGGACACGCCCGCGCCCGGCGCGCTCGGCAGGACGGCCGGCGGCGACACTTGCGGCGACGGGCCGCCGCCGGCGTCGCCCGCGCGCGCGGACCAGGTCGTCCCGGCGCTCAACTTCTCGCCGTCGCCGCGCGGCGACCTCGGCGACGTGCCCGAGGAGGGCAGCTACCACGAGCCGGACTCGAGCGAAGAGGACCTGAGCCCGCTCGTGAGTCCCAACGCGCAGACCCACGGGCTCCTAAGTTGAGGTGTTTTTGAGATTTCGTGCTCGACACTCGAGATCTAGACGCGCCTTTGGTATGCGGGCGAGCAAAAAAAAGGCAAAAAAACGAGCAACACTCGGGATTCCAACGTGGTCACCCACCGTAGTACTAACCAAGCTCGATCCGGCTTAACTTCGCTGAGCTGACGGGAAGCGGTGCTCTCCGAATGATATGGTCGCTCGTGTGAGAGTCACAAACAAAACTGTTTATCAACAGGTACAGACGAAATTGGGTTCGATTATATGGGGCGAGCTAGAGCCCTTTCAGCGCTCTGCAACTTACACCGCAATCACTCTCACCTTGAAGGTTGAACCACATCACGAGCGTCTGGCTCGTACGATCGCGTCGATGGCTCCGACACACCTGCTCCTCGCGGCGCTCGCCGCCTCGGCCTCGGCCCTCATCCTCCCGGGCACGGAGAAGTTCGCGCGCACGGTCGCCAACCTCGACATCACGAACCGGGGCTACGTGCGCGTGGACTCGGAGGCGCCGACCGTCGAGCACCCGCGCGCGGCGCCCGTGCTCGAGGCGCGCGCCCTGCGCAAGGCGCTCGACGGCGCCCTCGAGGACGCGTCGTGGACGCGGGCCGTGTCCGTGCTCGGCTCCACGGGCTCCATCGGCACGCAGACGCTGGATTTCGCGCGCGCGCGGCCGGATCGGTTCTCCGTCGTCGCGCTGTGCGCCGGGTCCAACTACGCGCTGCTCGCGGAGCAGGTCGCCGAGTTCAAGGACCAGGTCAAGGTCGTGGGCATCTCCGACGCGTCGAAGCTGGGGCTCCTGAAGGAGGCGCTCGCGGCGAACGGCGCGACGGACGGCTCGAGCTTCGAGGTCGTCGGCGGCGACGACGCGGCGACGGCGTGCGCGACGGCGCGCGAGGCGGACGTCGTCGTGACGGGCGTCGTCGGCTGCGCGGGGCTCGTGCCGACGGTCGCGGCCATCGAGGCGGGCAAGGACATCGCGCTCGCGAACAAGGAGACGCTCATCGCGGGCGGCCCCGCGATCCTGCCCCTGCTGGAGAAGCACGGCGTCGCCATGACGCCGGCGGACAGCGAGCATTCAGCCATCTTCCAGGCGCTCCAGGGCGTGCCGCCGGGGGCCATGCGCAAGGTCATCCTCACGGCGTCCGGCGGCGCGTTCCGCGACTTCGACGCCGAGGAGCTCATGCGCAAGTGCCTCGAGGAGCCCGAGTGGGTGCGCGCCAAGGCGACGACGCACCCGAACTGGGACATGGGCGCGAAGATCACCGTGGACTCGGCGACGATGATGAACAAGGGCCTCGAGGTCATCGAGGCGCACTACTTGTTCGGCGCGGACTACGACGACATCGACGTCGTCGTGCACCCGCAGTCCATCGTCCACAGCGCCATCGAGACCCAGGACAACTCCGTGATTGCGCAATTGGGCTGGCCCGACATGCGCCTGCCCCTCCTCTACAGCGTCGCGTGGCCGCACCGCGTCCGCATGCCCCAGGACCAGTGGGAGCCGCGCTTCGACCTCGTCAAGCTCGGCTCCATGACCTTCAAGGGCCCGGACAACGACAAGTACCCCTGCATCGGCCTCGCCTACGCCGCGGGCCGCGTCGGCGGCACGATGACGGGCGCGCTCAACGCCGCGAACGAGCAGGCGAACGAGATGTTCCGCGAGGGCGCCTTCGACTACCTCGACATCCCCAAGGCCATCGAGGCGGCCATGGAGAACCACAAGAGCGACTTCATCGCCAAGCCCTCGCTCCAGGACATCATCGACGTCGACCTCTGGGCCCGGCAGAACGTCAAGGACTTCGCCGACGCGAAGAAGAAGATCCTCGCCTAGGCTTCCTTAATCGTCGCGGTCGCTGCGCCAGAAGGACGCGACGAGCCAGAACACCTCCTTCGGGAGGGTCGTCCGGGCGACGCGGCGCCGCCGCGCGGCGCTTCGCGAGGAACGACGCGCGGGCTCGGGCTCGGGCGGCGGCGGCGCGAAGAGGCGCTCAAGGACGGTCCCCGCCGGCGCGGTGGCGCGGCCGTCCTGGCACAGCAAGCGCAGCAGCAGGAGGTTGATGCGCGGCTCGCGGAGGTATTCGCGCCAGCCGCCCGCGGCGCGGACCGCCGCGAGGAAGTCCGCGTTTTCTGTGCTGCCCATTAATCGCGCGAATTCTTCGGGACTTCGCCCATTTTCGTCGAGCAGATCGAGCGCCGCGCCGCGACTCACGAGGAGGCGCGTCTTGGCCAGTGTCGACGTTCTGGCGGCCCAATGCAGCGGAGTTTGCAATCTCCCGTCCCGAATGTCGACACTCGCGCCCGCGTCGAGCAGAAGACGTACTCTATTAATACCTACGAGGTGCCCAGCAGCCATGTGCAGCGCCGCCATAACCCCCTCGCATTCGTGATCGACGTCCGCTCCTTCGGCGATGAGGTAGCGGAATACCAGGTCGCGTGGAGCATGGATTGCACAAGCGAGGAGTGTGTCTCCGACCTTGCTGTGTAAGTCGATGCTATCAGGGTTTTCATCGAGCCAGATTTCAACGGTTTCCAGGTCGCCATGTCGTGCTGCGTCCCGCATGCTCAACGGTAAAAACTCCATCCTGCGCAAGCTACAGTGGTTCAGGCGTTCATCGCGCCCTTTCAAACTAGGCCAGCATTTGACAGAAGTTGCACAGCTCACGATGGCGGTCTCACAGCGGGGCTGCCGAGGCTAGGCGCGCTGCCCTCGACATGGCCGCCGCGAAGCGCGGCCACACCTACGTCGCCGAGGCGCTGAAAGCGTTCATGCAGACGACGGGCGAGGATCCGGAGGAGGCGCGCCACGTCCAGCTGCAGCCGAGCCCGGAGATCGAGCGCCTCGACGCGAGCATCAACCACTTGCGCGCGTGCGAGGTCCTCGATCTGAGCGGCAATCGCATCTCTGATGATCTCGATGCCCGGCCCGAGATGCCTCCGCGTGCTCTCGCTCGCGCGGAACCGGCTCGACCGCGTGCGGGGCCTCGAGGACCACCCGCAGCTCGAGGAGCTCGACCTCGCCGGCAACCGCCTCGCGACGCTCGACGGCATCGCCGCGTGCCCGGCGCTCGCGGCCCTCGACGTCTCGGACAACGCCGTCGCCGACGGCCGCGAGCTCGCGAAGCTCCCCGGCTCGCTCCGGAGCCTCGCGCTCAAAAGCAACCCCGTCTGCGCGGCGTTCCTCGACGCGGGCGACCTCGTCCGGCGGTACCTCCCGCGCGTGGACGTCGTCGACGGCGAGCCGCTCGAAAGCGTCGGCGACACATTCCGCGAGTTCTTCCGCGCGTCGGCGCCGGGCGCCTGGACGGAGACGGTCCTCGCGCCGCGCTGGCCCGCGGGCTTCCTCGGCGACGACGCCGTCTGCGACGGCGAGCCCATGTATGCCTACGGCGAGTCCGGCTTCCTCGGCGACTACCTCCAGGCGCTCCACGGCGACGCCGACGCGCGCGAGTACGCCGTCGCCGGCGGCGGCGCCTGGGAACGCGCGACGGGGCGGCTCTCGCAGCGCGCCGCGTGGAACTTCGCGAATCACGCGGACCGGCGGGGCGTGCCGCGCGCCGAGGCCGCGCGGCGGTGCGTCGCGACGCTCCGGGCGCTCCTGGCCGACGCCGAGGACGCGGTCTGCGACGAGTGCGCGGCGCGCGGCCGCGAGCGCTGCGCGTGCGCGGACGACGACGACGACGCCGCCGAGTTCGCCGGCACCTTCGACGAGTTCGCGCAGCGGGGCTTCGCGCGACCCCCGGCGCCCGCCGAGGCGCCCGCGCCCGCGGACGTCGGCACCTAACCGGTGTTGTCTACTTCACCCATTCGATGTTGAGGATGTTCCTTGCCCCTACCCCACGATGGCGACCGACGAGCGCAGCCCGCTGGTGCCCCAGCCGCGGCGGATCCTCTGGAGACACGCCGCCGCGCTGCTCCTGGGCGTCGGCTGCGTCGCCGGCGCCGCGGCGTCGCGGCGCCTGCAGCCCGCGGCCCTCGCGGCCGCCGGCGCCGCCCTCGAGGACCCCTACGCCTTCGCCTTCGACGCGCTCATCGCCCGGGGCCTGACCGAGTCCTGGGACTGCGACGGCGGCGCTTTTGCTTATTGTGGTAGTGCGAGCTGCTCGAAGCTCGACCTTCGCGACGCGGGCATGGACGCGTGCCTCTGCATCCTCGAGACGAACTCGTCGTTCACGTTCCACGTCGACGGCACCGTGGCCTACCTCGCGGCGGCGCCCCTCTTCGCCCGGGCGATCGCCGAGCTCGTCGGCGGCGGCGTGACCAACGCGACCAAGTTCGCGCTCTGCGCGGAGCACGCGACGGGCGGCCTCTACGAAGCCGCGGGCTTCGACGTGCCGCTCGGGTCCTGGCACGCGCCCTTCGGCGGCAACTCGTCCTGGGGCCTGCGGCGCGGGCTCGGCGACCTCGAGATCGAGTGCATGGGCGCGCCGTGCTGGCACGTGTCCCCCGTGGGCGCGAACTTCGAGGCGGGCGACGGCGGCTGCGAGGTCGTCTGCCTCTGCCCGCGGGCCTACGTGCCCCCGAACAACACGGACGACGCCTCCTCCTCCTGGGGGAACACCACGGACGACGCGACCAGCTGCGAGACCCACAACGGCGACTCGACGACGGCCGACTCGCCAGACGAGCTCGCGCGCATCGCGCGCCACCTCGCGGCGAACGTCAACGTCGCGGAGCTGGAGGCGCCCTGCAACCAGTGCGTCCCCAAGTACATGCCCGACGCCACGCGCGTGTAAAAGGTCGTGTTAGTTGGTGCGCCTGCGACGGCTCCTTTCCGTCAAGTAACTTAGTTGAGGGCTTGAGGAGAGAGCTCTCCGCACGATGGCCGTCGCCGCGCCCTCGCCGACAAGCGGCAGCACATCGCCGACGGGCGGCGGCACCTACTGGCGCGTCTTCGTCGCCTGCGCCTGCGTCAAAATTCTTTTTTGGCCGAGCTACCACAGCACGGACTTCGAGGTGCACCGCAACTGGCTGGCGGTGACGGCGAGCACGCCGATGGCCTACTGGTACGCGGACCAGCCGAAGCAGTCGCCGTGGACGTTGGACTACCCGCCGCTCTTCGGCGTCTTCGAGCGGTTCCTGAGCTACTTCGCGAAGCTGGCGGACCCGATGATCGTCGAGCCGCAGAACTTGGACTACGCGGCGTGGAGCTGCGTCGCGTTCCAGCGGTTCACGGTCGTCGCCGCGGAGCTCGCGTGCCTCGGCGGCGGCGTCGCCGTCGCGTCGGGCGGCGCGCCGGAGTTCGCCGTGCTCTTCGCGGGGCCGGGCCTCGCGTCGCTCTTCGTCGTGGACCACGTGCACTTCCAGTACAACGGCGTGTTCCTCGGAGTGCTCGCGTGCTGCGCCGGCTTCCTCGTAAAAGGCCAGCACGTCCGGGCCGCCGTGGCCTTCACGCTGCTCATGTGCATGAAGCACCTGTTTTTGACGCTCGCGCCTTTTTTCGGGGTCTACCTTCTTTTCGCGCACGTCCTCGCGGAAAAGACGACGCTCGGCGAAAAGGTCCTGCGCCTCGTGGACCTCGGCGCCGCCGTCACAGCGACCGCGGCCGCGTCGCTGGCCCCGCTCGTCGTGCCCGCGTTCCACGACCGCGGGGGGCTCGCGGGCGTCGGAGCCGCGGTCGTCGAGCTCAAGGGCCGCCTCTTCCCCTTCGGGGACCGGGGCCTCGTCCACAGCTACTGGGCGCCCAACGCCTGGGCGCTCTACGCCTTTCTCGACCGCGTCGCCATGAAGGCGTCGGGCCGCGAGGGCGGCGGCGCGACGCGCGGCGTCGTCGAGACGCAGATCGAGTACCTGCCCGCGCCCGGCCCGCTCCACTGCGCGCTGCTGACGCTCCTCGCCGCGGCGCCGGCGCTCCTGGCCGCGGCGCGCACGGCCTCGACGCAGAGCGGCGCCCGGGGCATCGCCCTGCCGGCCCTCGCGCACGCGTGCCTCGCGGCGTTCGCGTTCGGCTGGCACGTGCACGAGAAGTTCCTCATCGTCGCGCTCGTGCCCCTCGCGTTCCTCGCGCTGGGGAAGGGGCCCGCGGGGTCGTCCGAGGGCTCGCGCATGCTCGACGCGAAGCTCTACCGCCACGTCGCGCGGCTCGCGACCTTTGCGATGCTGCCCCTGCTGCCGTCGCCGGGGCCGGAGCTCGCGACGAAGGTCCTCGTGCTCGCGCTCGAGGAGTGCTGCCTCCGCGCGCTCCTCGACCGGCCGCCGGGCTGCCCCTGCTGCGGCGACAGCCCCGCGACGCTGCTGGAGACGCTCCTCGAGGGCGCGCACCTCGCGGCCCTGCTGTCGCTCTTCCTCCTCAAGGAGGTCGTCTACCCGCTCCTCCTCCCGGCGGACCTCGCGGCGCGGCTCGAGTTCCTGCCCCTCATGCTCACGTCCGTCTACTGCGCCGCCTGGGTCTCGGCGCTGTCGCTCCTCTCGGCCGGGCGCCTCCTCTACGTGGCCTACCGCGCGGACGCGAGCGCGTGGTAACTTTAGTCCGACGGCTTGAAGCGGGCGACGTCGTCGACGTAGGTCGCGAACGCGCGCGTCACGGCCGTGTCGCCCGACGACAGGCGCTGCGCGTCGTAGAGCCGCGCCATGTAGCCGCCCGCGAGCGGCCGCCGGCCCTGGGCGAGCGCGATGATGACCGCGTCGTGGAGCACGCGCCGCGCCGTCGCCGGCGAGCCGTCGAAGGCCGTTTCGGCCAACGCGAGCAGCGCCTCGATCTTGCCGAGGGCGCCGGCGTCCGTCGGCGGCGCGGCGTACAGGGCGCGATACGTGCGCTCGAAGGCCTCCCGCTCCGCGTCGCCGCGGCCCGACGCGCACGCGGCGCACGCGCAGACGAAGTCGTACTTGCGCAGCATCTCCCGTCGCTTCGCCGTCGAATAATACAGCGGGCAGTACCTGTTCGGTCCAAATCAAGCGCGACCATGGCGGTGGGAATCGGGCGGGGGACGTAACGCTCAGTAAACGCCGAAGAGGTACTCGCCGCAGAGCTCCGCGCCCTCGGGCACGTCCCGGAGCGCGTGGTAGACCTCGACGCCCTCGTCGGGGAGCCACGTGCGGTGCACGTTCGGGGAGCAGTCGTGGTTGAAGCGCGACCCGAGCAGAAACATGCCGCTCCGCGTGTCGCCCGTCGCCGGGTCCCGGAGCTCGAAGCAGTTCGTCCGGCAGATGCCCAGCACCGTCTTCGTTTCGCCGACGGCGTGGCAGTCGTGGAGGTCCCAGAAGTCGGGCGCGTCGCTCGCGTCGAGCGCGGACGCGGCGTGGTCCTCCGTCGTCCGCGCCGTCATCGCGGGCCGCTCCTTGAGGATGCGCTCGCCGCGCCGGAGGTCGCGCGCCGCGACGACGCCGACGTCCTTGCCTGGGATGGCCCGTACGGCGAAGGCGCAGGGGATCAGGCGGTCGCGTTTCACCGCGAGGACCTCGGCGACGCCGGGGCAGCGGCAGCGGCAGCGGTCGCCGCCGCCGTCGGCGACGACGACCGCGGCCATGCCGTTGAGGTCCGGCCGGCTCGCGAGCCCCCGGAGCTCGTAGCGGCCGCCGACGACGATCGAGTGTGGAGGAGGTTGTGGTGACGGCGGCGGCGGCGGCGGCGGCGCGACGGCTTCCGCCGATGGTACCGATGCCGGCTGCGGCGCTGGCTCGACCACCGCCAGCGGTGGCGATGCCGGCTGCACTGGCGCACCCACTGCCACGGCGCGCAGCATGGCCGGCAGCGCGGCGCAGGGCGCGTCCGCGGCCACGGGGCTGCCGTCCAACGAGGTCAGCGTCACCGGTCCGTGCTTCTTGCTCCATCGGCGCGCCAGCTGGCCCGCCGTGAGCGCGCCGTCGACGGTCACGCGCGACGCGCTGCCGTCGTCGCGCACGATGGTGATGGCCACCATCGTCACACGGCTAGGATGCGAAGCCCACCATTGCTCGTAGTGCGAAGAAGCCAAAGTTTCCCCTCTCCGATCCTATGAGATGTACACGTTTCCCCCGGACTGAAACGACCGCCTCTCCAGCCTGCGGTGGCCTCGTCGCGGCCCGTCCGGCGGCCATGGGCCTCGACGAGGACTACGGCGACGAGTTCCACGACGACGACGAGCAGCTCGAGGAGGTCGGCGCGGCGCCGCTCTTCGACGCCAGCGACGCGCTGGCGGAGGACAGCATGGCCGACATCAAGGCCCTGGCCATGAGCTCGCCGGCCGTCGGGAACGTCGGCGACGACGACTACGACGAGGAGTACGCCGAGGAGTTCGAGGACGAGCACCCGTCCCCCGCCAAGGCGGCGCCGCCGGCGGTCCCGGCCGCGGCCTACGGCGCGCCCGAGGACGACGGCTACGACGACCGCACCGCGGCCATCGACGAGCCCCTCGACGACGAGCCCGCCGTCGGCGAGGCCGTGCGGCGGTCCGGCGCCGACGCCGCGGACCTGGCGTCCTTCGCCGGCGAGCCGCTGGAGCTCGACGGCGCGTCCGCGGGCTTCGCGGACCCCGAGCCGCTCGACGACGGCGACGTCGCCTCGCCGCGGCCGCCCGCGGGGTCGCTCGCCGAGGCGTCGGGCGCCAACGGCTCCGTGCTCCACGAGTTCGTCGTCGAGCGGCTCCAGGCGACGAACGCCCAGCTCCGGCGCCAGCTCGAGGACTTCAAGCAGCTCCTCCGAAGCTCGCTCGAGGCGAACAAGGGCGAGGAGCCCGCGAGCCCGCGCGCGCCGCGGCGCGCGAGCCCCCGGGCGTCGCGGGGCAAGAGCCGGTCGCCGTCGCGGCGGCCCCAGGAGTGCATGGTGACGCCCTTCGCCTACCCCATCTCCCAGAAGCAGCTCGAGCTGTCGCAGCGGAAAGCTTTGGCGTACTTCACGCAGAACCAGCGGCTCCAGCAGGAGCTGCTCGTCGCCCGCGGCGAGAACGGCGCGGGGCGGCGCGTGGAGAAGCGCGCCGAGGCCCTCGAGCGCGAGGTCGCGGCGCTCAAGGAGGAGAACCGGAGCCTCTGCGCCGTGCAGCGCAACCAGAGCCGCGCGCTCCAGACGTCCGCGGACAAGCAGGGCGCGCTGCCGGATCTGGTCACGGGCCTCGAGTCGGCGCTCCGGGCCGCCCAGGAGGGCCAGCGGCGCGCCGACGCGCGCGCCGCGGGCGCGCAGAAGCGCGAGCGCGACGCGCGCGGCAAGGCCGCGGCGCTCGCCGCGGAGCTCGACGAGGTCATGGGCTACGCCAACGCCATGCGGTCCATGCTCTCCGAGGGGAGCTCCGTGATCGAGCCCGGCGCGTCCCTGGCGGTCGTCGAGCCCGGCGCGTCCGTCGCGGCCACGGCCGGCGAGCCCGACGCGGCCGCGCCGTCGCCCGCGGAGCCGGCGCCGGCGACGGAGCTCGTCGAGGCGCGCGCGGCGCCCATGCCGTCCCTCGACGCCGTCAGCGCGTTGAGCGCGCCCAAGGCCATCCGCAAGGCCGAGGCGCAGAAACTGGCCCTCGCCGAGCGCACGCACGCGGCGGCTCTGACGGAGAACGCGAAGCTGAAGGACCACTGCGCGGCGATGCAGCGCGCCTTGCAAAAGTACCAGCTCCGGTCGTCGCGGGAGGTGCTGAACCTCAAGGCCGACCGCGAGAAGAAGGCCAAGGAGGTCGAGCGCCTCGAGGCGACGCTCGTGCAGCGCGAGCGCGACCTGCGATTGCAGCAGGCGACGGTCATGAAGCTCAAGGGCAACCTCGAGAAGCTCATCGAGCGCTACCACAAGCTGAAGGCCGCGGCCAACAGCCAGGTGTCGTCCGCGTCCCAGGTGCTCTCGACGCTCATCGAGCCCAACAAGTCGCCGAGCGCGTCGCACGCGAACATCTCGCCCGTGTCGTCCGCGTCCGCGTTCTCCAAGGCGAGCCCGGAGAAGCGCGACGCGGAGCCCGTCGAGCCGGCGGACGGCGCCTTCGTCACCCAGCCCAAGGGCGGCGCCTTCGACGCCATGGCGGCCCAGTTCCACCCCGTCAAGCCCGAGATCCCGCCGCCGGACCGCATCCGCACGAAGAAGTCGCCGCGGCCCCACAACGCGGGCTAGGCGCCGCGTTCTAACTGCACAGCTTCGAAGCCTCGAGCGCGAAGGGGGTGGCTGCGCGGCGACTCGGAAGCCGAGCCCGGCGAGGGGTCATCTAAATTGCCTCGGGCGATCGGCGACGACCACGGGCCGCAAGTCCGCTCCGAGGAGCCCCGCGTGATTTTCGCGAGGATGGTACACTCATTGAGCGACTTCGGCGAAGATGTCCTATACGTTGTGTTGGGCTTTCTAAACGAGCAAGGCGATGGGCGTGCGCGGCAGGTCAACAAAGCAGTTTCGATGTTGCGCCCAGCGTGGGTCGTCGGACGCGCCGTTCGACAGGTCGAGGCCTATTATCCCGGTGGTCGCCCAATTTTACGAAACGGTTGTGCTCCTTTGACTGCCTGCGATGCCTTAGCATTCTCGCCTGACGGGTCGACGCTCGCGGTCGGAAACGGGACCGATACCGTAATCACGCTCTACGACGTCCCGACAGGTGAGCGGCGGCGCGAGCTCGAGCGCCCGGGAGGAGAACGAATCGCTAGTGAGTGTGTCGAATTCTCTCCGGACGGGAACACGCTCGCCGTGCTCGGCGAAATCGAGGACGCGAGGGACGCGACGGTGGGGTACCCCCCCTATGACGACTCTGATTCAGATGATCCATATGATCCTGCTTCTCACATTTACGGGCTAGTCGCTCTTTACGCCACCGTGGATGACGAGCTGCGCTATGAAATTCGCGTCCCTGCTGAAATTTACGCAATTGCCTTCTCTCCTGACAGTAGAACGCTCGCGCTCGGCTTCAATGACAACGTGTCGCTCTACGACGCTGCGACCGGCGAGCTTCGACGCACGTTCGAGCCTCGCAACGAAATCGTCTGGACCGCTGCATTCTCTCCCGACGGCATGACGTTGGCGATAGGCGGTGGACACGGTCTAGGACCCTCCGCCGGCGGAACGGTCAAGATCTTCGACGTTGGAACCGGAGAAGAATCCCGCGAATATGTCCATGCCGGGCCCGTACGCGATGTTGCTTTCTCGCCCGACGGGGCGTCGCTAGCCATTGGCGGCCACCATCATCAAAAAGGGATGTTGGCGCTCTGGGACCTCGCTATTGGTGAGACGCGGTCGCTCGCGCTTGCCGATGTGGTCCAAATCACGCAATTCTCGTGCGACGGGATACTGGCGGTCGGCGGCCGCGACGAGAAGGTGACACTCTACGACGCAGCGACGTTGAAGGTGCGCCGCGAATTTGTGCGAGGCATCGCGGTCGACGTGGCGGCATTCTCGCCCGATGGGACGTCGCTTGCGCTGGGCGGGAGAAACGGCACGGTGTCCCTCTTTGACGTCGCGACCGGCGCCCTGCGGCGCAAAGCGCGGAGCTAGATGCTTAAAACACAACACAGCTTACGAGCGCCGGGGACGCGTCCAGCGCGACGAGCCAGGTCCAGGCCGCGCCGCCCATGAGGAGGCCCGTGAGGACGGCGGCGACGGCGACGCGCGCGCCGTCGCCTGTACAGCTTCGCGTTTATCCGCCTACTCGGCGCGCGCCTTCTTCTTCGCGGGCTCGCCGGCGGCCTCCGCGGCCTCGGCCTCCTCCATGGCCTTGTAGCGGCGCATGAGCTCCTCCACGGGGATCTCCGCCTCGTCGTTGAGCGCCGCGAGCTCGTCGCCGTAGTTCTCCTCGGGCGCGTCGGAGTCGATGTCGTCGTCGTCGTCGTCGTCGTTGGCGTAGAGGTAGGCCTTGCGGCAGACCAGCTGCTTCGTCGCGGCGTCGTAGGCGCCCTTGAGCGAGAACTCGCCGAACTCGTTCTCGCCGCCGCCGGACACGGCGCCGCCGGGCCCGAACTTGAGCTGCACGCCCTTCTCCTTGACCTTGGCGTCGCCCTCCTCGCCGGGGTTGAAGAAGTAGCCGTTCCAGCTCCCGGACGGCGGGTCGGACGGGTCGCCGACGGGGCCGCCGTACTTGAACTTCTTCGCCTTGCCCGCGGCGAACTCCTCCTCCGTGTCCGCCCACGTGCCCGTCCAGAAGAGGCGGCCCTCGTCGTTGGCCGCGACCTCGCCCTTCATGGGCACGCCCTTGGGCTTGGACGGCGCGCCCGCCTCGCCGCCCGGCTCCTCGTCGTCGCTGCTCGAGTCGTCGTCGTCGTCGTCGTCGCCGAAGATGTCGGCGACCTTTTTCACCGGTTCGTCGTCGTCGGAGGCCATGTTCGCTGTGGGTGCGGCGCGCGAAGGCAGGCAGCTGGGCGCGCTCTCCAGAGGCCTCTCAGGTTCGGCGAGCAGGGCACGAGCGGCCTCAGCCACTGGGTGCTTTGCCTATGGAGCCCGTCTCGCCGCGTAAAAACGAGATGGAGGGCATCTCCTGGGGCGCCGACGGGTTCAAGGGTTTGAAGGACCACTACGAGGACCGCTTCGACGCGCGCTTCCTCGGCGGCCTGGGCCACTTCTTCGCCATGTTCGACGGCCACGGCGGCCACCACGCGGCGGACTACCTCAAGGAGAGCCTGGCGGACCACGTGCTCGGCGCCGCCGTCGCGCGGACGCCCGACTACCGGACGCGGCTCGACGCGCGGCGCCACGATGCGAAGCGGCGGCGCCTCGAGAAGGACGGCGCGGCCGCGCCGACGCACGGCGCCGACGCGCTGGACGTGCTGGGCCGCATCGAGGACGCGGCCCTCGAGGTCGACGCGCGCGTCAAGGCCCTGAAGAGCGTGAGCTACGGCTCGCCGGAGCTCGCGGCGATCGTCGACGACCTCGCGACGCGGCGCCAGTGGCTCGACAAGGCGTCGAAGAAGCGGCGCGGCGGCAAGGACGCGGCGGCCGCGCGGAGCGACGTCGAGCGCGCCGCCGCGGACCGCGAGCGGGCGCGCGCCGACGCCGCGGACGCCGCCGCGGCGCGCGCGACGCTGCCGCTGACCGACGACGCGTGGCGCCGCGCGTTCTGCGGCGGCTACGAAGCGGCCGACGCCGCGTTCCTCGCGGAGGCGGACCGGCGCAACTGGGACGACGGGTCCACGGCCTGCGCCTGTTTACTGTCCGTCGACGACGAGGCCGGGAGCCGGAAGCTGGTCGTCGCGAACGCGGGCGACAGCCGCTGCGTGCTCGCGCGGGGGCGCCACGCGTTCCGCGCGTCCACGGACCACAAGCCCGACGCGCCCGCGGAGAAGCGGCGCATCGAGAAGGTCGGCGGCTACGTGGTCGAGCTCAACGGCGTGGCGCGCGCGACGTCGCCCGCGGGCGTCGGCTTCGGCATCGACCGAACCAAAAAATCGCTCTACCTGTCCGTCGCGCGGGCAATCGGCGACCGCCAGCTCAAGAGCCCGACGCCCGTGCTGACGCCGACGCCGGACGTGCGCGTGCTCAACCTCCAGGACGACGACTTGTTCGTCGTGTTGGTCTGCGACGGCGTCACGGACGTGCTCAGCGACCAGCAGATCGTCGACGTCGCCGCGAAGCACTACGGCGACCCGGCCGAGGCCGCGAAGAAGATCGTCAAGGAGGCCTTCGCGAAGCAGGCCGCGGACAACATCACGGCCCTCGTCCTCGAGTTCCCCTGGGTCGACGCCGCCAAGGTCGGCCGCGTCTGGGCCGAGTCGGAGAAGCAGCTCAAGGTCGCCCTCCAGGAGAAGAAGGACGACGAGCCCTTCGACATGTTCGCGTAGGAGGGGCGCGCGTTCGTTCCAACCTTCCGGCGGGCGTTCGTGCGTTCGTTACACACTTGCGGACGAACTTATTGGGACGCGCGCGGGCGGAGATCCGGCGCGCGCGCTGACTCGCCGGCGGCCTTGCGCCGCCGGCGGCGAGCTGCGTGCACGTCGCTCAGCGCAACAAGCCGCCGCTGAAGGAGCCGCCGCCCATTTCGGGCTGCGACCCCGCCGCGTCGGCCACGTCGCACTCCACGACCTTCGCCTCGAAGGGGAACTCGACCGTGTTCTGGTTGATGACGCGGATGGTCGTGGCGGGGTCGGGCGTCTGGATCACGGCGTAGAAGGGGTTCTTGTAGCCGGAGGAGCAGTAGATCTCGAAGAACTGCTTGACCTGGTTGGGGCCCGACGTCAGCTCGATGAGCGCCTTCATGTTGCGCTCGCCGAGCTCCGCCGACGAGAGCAGCACCGCGACGCTCGCCACCTCGGCGCCGAAGGTGTACGACCGGATCGCGCCGCCCTGGACGAGCGTGCCCTCGAAGGAGGCGAGCGCCTCCTTGGCCTTGCCGAGGCCCGTGTCGGCGACGCACGCCTCGAACGGGAACTCGCCCGCGTTCGTGTTGTACACGGCCACCGTCTTCGGGTGGATCGGCGTCTCGATCACGGCGTGGATCGGGCGGAGGTTCCCGTCCTCCGTGTAGACGCTGAACTTGCTCGGGATGTACGAGGGCGTCGTCCAGAGCTGCACGTCGGCCTTCACGGGCCGGCCCGTGCTCTGCAGCGACAGCTGCACGCGCTCCGTCGACGTCGCGCCCACGTCCCAGGTCTTGAGGGTGTCGCCCTCCACCCGCGTCGTCGGCTGCGACTTGAACACGCCAAAGTCGAGCGGAGAGGAGGCGGTCGCGGCGGCGGCGGCCACCGGCGCCATGCGGCGGCCGCGGGCGACCGGAGACAGCGCGGCCCGGCCGCCGGCCGGGCCGGCGACGAGCGCGGACGCGCCCGAGAGCAGGAGGAGCATGCTCATGGTTGTAGTAGCAGATGGACGCGAGGCGCGCGAGCGAGATCGCACGTTGCAGGCGCAGAGCGGCGGTACGTACTGGTGCAACATACTGTTGTAGGCGATGTCTCCTTCACCTTGAGCCCATCGACCACGCTGCCCTTCGGCAAAAAAGAGATGATGGTGGCGCCGCGGCTCCTGCGGCGCGCCGCGCTGGTCCTGTGCCTCGGCCTCTGCGATTCCCAGGGGAGATCGCGGACGAAGCCGCCGACGGCCGCCCCGACGGGCACGAACGCCCCGTCCCAGGAGCCCACGGCCAAGCCCACCTGGGCCATGGACGCCGTCCGAAACGACCGCGTCCCGCATGTTTCTACAAAAAAACCATGTCACATAACACGCGTCCCCGTAGCAAAAAGCCTGGCTGTCCGGGTCGGAGATGGCCTACACCATCGCCAAGGACCTCATGACCGTCATCTACACGTCGAACCCGATGCCCTCGGTGACGCAGTGCTTCACGGGCAACGAGCTCTACCTCAGCGAGCGCGTGCTCTGCGACCGCCAGTGCATGACGAACACGGAGGAGACGGCGTCCGCGTCGGGCTTCGGCTACGCGGGGCGCGACCCGCCCTACCGCTACCTCGCGGAGCAGTGCAACGGGCCCTGGTACTGCGCGCGGACGGAGATCTGCGAGACCTTCGTGAACCCGGCCCACGTCCCCGGCGCCGACAGCCCCATCCGGCGGTCCTGCACGGTCATCCGGGGCTGCGCGAACCACAGCCAGTGCTTCCCGACGGAGGACCAGGCCGCCGCGATGAACATCGAGTTCGGCCCCGAGGACGCGGTCGTCGGCTACCCCAACGACACCATCACGGGGGGGCAGGTCTACCGCTCCTCGGGCGAGGGCGAGGGGAACAAGGCGGGCTGGGCCCAGAAGCCCTTCGTCATGCGCTACGGCGGCATCACCGTGAAGACGACGTGCTGCGCGAACCACGACAAGTACGAGGTCGACGTCGACATGCCCTGCAACTCGGCGCCGGGGCGGCCCTCCGCGGCCTGGGTCGCGGCGGCCGTCGCGGGCGTCCTCGGGGTGCTCGTGGCGTGATGTAGGCTTGTAAGTTTCTGGTGAGCCCTAGAGGGTATTTTTCGCCACAGCGACCCGATGGACGATTATGATGAAAACCTAAGAGCCGCAACACAAGCCGCCAGAGAAACGCTTCCGCATGTGATAGACTATGTTGATAAAGCCCGGAAAGGTGAGCTCCGCCCGCTAGCTAAATGGCTCGAGTCAAGCGAAGCTTTGAGCGAAGATGGGCGCAATTTTCGTAAACACCTGTTCACGACCTTCTTTCACCCTGCCTGTTGGTGTCTTAGTCTGTGGTATCCCGTGTGCCGGCTCTTGCTGACCAACGACCCAGAAGCTATCGCGTTCGTACGGGAATTCGAGACTAAACTCAATCGGACTCTTCGTTCGTGCGTGCGGCGCGGAAACGCCAAAGCAGCCGCGCTCCTCCTTGAGTTCGGCGTCGACCCCAAGTTGATAAGCCCAAGCCCATTGTTTGAGTTTTTGAGAGTGTCCCCCTCGGTCGAAGTGCTGACGGTACTGCTGCGCGCGGGCGTCGACTGGGCGGCGACCGAGTGGGACGAGGAGGGCTACGAAGTCCAGGAGGCGGCGTGGCACTGCATTGACTGGTCGCTCGTGTTTCGGGGACCCGAGCACATGGGACCAGGGTACCGCACCATCGAGCAGAAACTGCGTCTGAACCTACAGCTGAAGAACCAGGGTGAACCAGGTTTTCACGGCTTGAACGAGTCGCGCTACAACGAATGCATCTCTCTGCTCGCCGCCGTGCGCGAGGCCGGCTCCTGGAAGGGCTACGTCAACGCGGTCGTCATCGCCCCACAGAAAGAGCTCCTCACGCTCCGAACGCTCTGCTTCCGAGGCCGGGCGCGGCCGCCGCCCGAACTCGCGCGGCTCTTCGACCCGGCCGTGCCCAACGACGTCGTCTGGGTCGTCCTCCAGTTCTGGGCGATCGGGTACTAATGGCAGTTAGCAAGCGTTACACCATCGACGCCGCCGTGCCGAGGAGGATGTGGTCCTGCCACTTGCGGAGCCCCGCGACCCACGCGTCCGCGTCCTGGGCCGTGGGCGCCTTGAGCTTGACGCTGTGGTCGCCGACGTCGACGGAAAACCGCGCCGGGTCGCTCTTGGCGCCCTTGTCGTGCTTGGCGAAGGCGCCGCAGACGCGGAGGTCGAAGGCGAGGTAGGGCCGCTTGCCGGGCGCCTTCGCGTCCGCCGCGGAGTAGAAGAGCGCGAGCTCGCCCTTCGACCCGTCGACGACGACGTAGCGGCGCGCCCAGGTGTCGGCGCGGAACTTGTGGGGCTTCTTGAGCGCGAGCGCGCCCTCGAGCGGCGGCGGCGCGGCCTCTTCGGTGTCAAAGGCCAGCAAACCCGAGAGGCCGTCGCGCTCGACGGCGCGGTCCCGCCAGGCGTGGAGCGCCGCGATCCAGCTCGCCGCGTCGCCGTCGCAGGCTTTGAGCTTCATGGACCGGTCCGCGAGCTCGAGGTCGAAGCGCGCGTCGTCCGCGTCGTCGACGGCGCCCCCGACGCCGACGACGAGCCGCAGGTCCACGACGCCCACGGGCTCGTCGTCGCCCTCGTGCTTGAAGTAGGCCAGCTCGCCCGGCGCGCGGAGGCAAAAGTAGCGCTTCGACCAGCCCGTGGACACGCCCGCGAGGAGGTGCTCGGGCGCCTTCTTGGAGAGCCAGCCCCGCCGCTCGTCCGGGAGCCGCTCGTCGCGGAGCTTGGCCGTCTCGACGCCCGGCGACGCGAGCTCGCGCACGGCGTCGGACGCGGCCTGGAAGCTGCTCCGGCGCTGCGGCTTCGGCGGCGTCGCGGCCGCGGGCGCCCCGGCCGTCAGCGCGGCGCGGTGGCCCGCGCGCTGCGCCGCGTGCTCCAGACGCTTCCGGTCCCGGTCGAGGCGGCCCCGGCCCTCGCGCACCGCGCCCGCGTCCACGGCGGCGAGGTCCGCGCCGAACTGGTAGCCCGGCAGCTTCGCGACCACGAGGAGCCGGTTGAGCATGTTGCCCGCGTGTAGTAACGCGACGACGACGACGAGCGACGCCGCGACCCTATCGAAGTGGGGCGTCACCGCGTCCATCTTCGCGCTGTAGAAGCGGTCGAAGGCGAGGCGCATGTCGCGCCGCGCGTCGTCGTCGTGGAGAGGCGGCGGCGCGGCGGAGGAACCGACCTCGTGGAGCGTCGCAAGGTAGTTGTAGAGCAGCGGCGCCGCGAGTTTGCCGCAGTTGCGCGTGGCGAAGCACAAGACCTTCGGCGGCGTTTTTTTGGACGTGTTCACGTCCAAGAACCCCCGGAGCTTCACGAGCCCCATGGCCGTGCCGCAGACCCCGACCATATAAGTCAAACACAACAAGCTCGCGGCCGCGGCGCCCGAGTCGCCGTTCCTTCGCGCGCCGCTCCGCGCCATGACCGCGAAGGCGCTGCAGTCCAGCGCGGCGCTCGTGTTCGCCGTCGCCGCGCCGATCTGGGACACGAGCAGGCACGCCGACGCGACGGCGGCGCAGACGGCGGCGCACTTCAGCAGGATCGGCTTGCCCCGGCAGTGCCAGAGCCAGCCGTTCCGCGTCGACGGCGGCGCGCCGAAGCTCCAGGCGACCGTCCCCGCGTCGCGGCTCTTGACGAGGTCCTCGAGGTAGAAGGTGCGCGCCTTGATCTTGTCGACGGCGCCCAGCGCCGACGCGTAGGCCGCGCGCGCGGCCGCGAGCCGCCGCCGGCAGTCCGCGACCGCGTCCGCGTCCGTGTCGCCCGTGCGCTTGTTGATCGCGGCCGCGCCCGCGGCGCCGCTCCGGAAGCCGTCGGCGCCGAGCGCCGCGCAGTCCTCCCGGAGGGCCGCCGCGCAGGCCTCCAGCGAAACGTCGAAGAAGGCCGCGAAGAAGGAAAGGTCGCCGCCCGCGCCCCTTTTCGCCTCGCGCGCGCGGCCCTTGTCCACGGCCTCGAGCGTCTTGATGGCGTCGCCCGCGGCGTTGGAGCACGCGACGCTCGCCTCCTTGAGATTGGCGAACTCGCAGGCCGCCGCCGTGTAGCACCGCGCGAGGTCGCGGTCCGCGTCGCCGGCGATCCACAGCGCCTTGGGCAGCTCGACGGCGCCGACGCCGAGCAGGAGCACGAGGACCAACGAGTTCGCCGTGTTGCTGCAGGCGATGAGCGTGACGTTGAAGGCGTCGGCGCTCTCGACCTCGCCGGAGCCCAGGACCAAGCCGAGGAAGAGCAGGCCGCCCAAACCCATCGCGAGCCACATGACGGCCATGCGCCGCCCGCTGTCGAGGAGCTTCCCCAGCGCGGCGACGTGGCCCGACGCGTCGTACTCCTCGGCGTAGGGCAGCCCCGCGAGGGACATGGCGAAGCAGATCCAGTAGACGTCGACGTACATCTTCCGCAGGACCTTGCTGTGCCGCTCGAAGCTGTCGACGCGCGTCGAGTCGCTGTCGGACCGGCGGCCGACGAGCGTCAGCGCGACGTCGAAGGGGCCCACCGTCAGGATGGCGACCATGGAGAAGGCGCCGAGGCCGACGAGGACGATCGTGTGCAGCGGCACGAGCCGCCGGTCCGCCGTCGCGTAGAGGAAGTAGACGACGCCGACGAAGAGGAAGACCCAGACGACGCTCAGGAACTGCGTCATGTGCTCGCCGGAGCTGTCCGCCAGGCGGCGGTGCGCGTCCATGGTGTTGCGTGCGGGGCTGCCCCTTAACTAGCTGCGAATGGCCGCCATCGATTCGGAAGGCAAGGCCAGAGGTGTAGACGAGGTGCCGCAATGCTGCCGCTCGACGCTGAGCTCAGCCCTCTTCGTCGTCACCCGCCGACGCGGCCTTTTTGCGCTCGACGCGTGAGCTCATCACCATCTTCGTCGCACCGGTGCATGACCGCTGCGCGTCACCTCCTCCTCCTCCTTGCTGGAACGGGCGCCTTCGTCGCGCCGGGCAGCTTCGCCGCGCGGCGGCCGATGAAGAAGACGGTCTCGGCGGGCGGCGTGGCGCCGCCGCCGTCCGCCAAGGAGAAGCTGCTGTGGTCGCCCGGCGTGCTCAAGCAGACGGCCGCGAGCTTCGCGGTGCTCTGGCTCGCGAAGCAGTGGGCTTTGAGCGACCCGCGCGCGCTCTGGTACGTCGACGGCGCCAGGGAGGCGGTCCAGGGCGCGCTGCTCCGCGGCGCTCACGGATTGGAGTGGTGGGCCGCGCTGTCGCTGCTGAGCAGCAGCTGCTGCGCGCTCCAGCTGCTGCTCAACGCCTTCTCCCTGGGCTGCGCGGGCTTCAACACCTACCTCGGGCCGCTGCGGCCCTTCTTCCTCGCGCTGACGGCGCACGCGCGATCGTTGGCGGCCGACGCGGCCGCGGGCGTCGCGCGGCTCTCCGGCCCGCCGTCGGGCGTCGCCGCGGCGCGCTACCGGGCCGCGGCGATCTTCGCGTATGGCTTGACGTTCCTGCCCGAGATCCTGGCGCTGGTCTCGAGGGCGCGCCGCGGCGAAACCCGCGAGGCGCCGGGCGCGACGGTCTACGACGTCGCGCTGCCGACGATGGGCTGCCAGGCCTGCGTGTCGACGGTGGAGGAGAAGCTCCGGGGGCTCGCCGGCGTCGCGGGCGTCGACGTCGCGCTCCGCGGCGAGAAGGGCGGCACCGCGCGCGTCGCCGTCGATTCGCCGAATCCCGAAACCGCCGCGGCGATCCTCGCGGCGTGCGCCGACGCGGGATTTCCTCCGTCAGGGGAGGTCATGCTCGTTGCGTAAGTTTACACAAGTTGTAACCTAGACGAGGCTCGTTGCGTATAGCGACGTATTCACACAAGCTACAACTTAGACGAGGTTCGCCACGTGGCGCTGCCAGTTGTCGCCCTTGAACCAGGCGACGAACTCCTCGCGGTCCACGAGGCCGCTCCCGTCCGTGTCGAGGATGCGCAAAGCGCTCTCGACCTCCCGCGGCGCCAGGGCCGCGCCGCAGGCCGCGCAGAGCGCGCCGAGCTCGGAGCCCGCGAGCTTGCCGTCGCGGTCGGCGTCGTGCGCGTCGAACTGGGCGAGGAGCTCCTCCTCCGACGCGCCCGGCAGCAGGTCGCGCAGCTTCGCCACGGCGGACCGCGCGACGTAGAGCATGGCGCCGCCGACGAAGACGCAGTAGAACCCGACGAGCGCGCCGAGCCACGAGCCGCCGTCCGCGAGGAGCAGCGAGCCGACGAAGACGTAGCCCAGCGACCGGCCCGTGAGCGTCGTGAGCACGTGCGCCTCCGTGCGGAGCTTGAGCTTCCAGCGCCGGAGGAAGGCCAGGGCGCTCGGGGGTGCGAAGGGCGGCGCGTTGTGCATGCCCTCGAGGGCCAGGAGCGCGAGGCCGCCGCCGAAGCAGTAGACCATGAGCACGGCTCGCGTCGGCGACAGCTTGACGATGTTGCCCAGGACGTTCAGACAGCTCACGACGACGCTGAGCACGGCGCCGATGGAGCCCAGCGTCGACAGCTCCACGGAGCCGTTGACGACGGAGCGCTTGAGCTCCTGCGCCTGCTGCGACACCTGGGCGCCGATGGACGCGGCCACGGCCGACGTGTCCACGGTGGAGACGCCGCCGTACTCGCCGGGCGTCGTCATGGTGTTCGAGGCGGTGCGGCGGCGGCGGCGGCGCGGCGCGGCGGCGGTGGCTTGGCGGCGGGCGGCGCGGCTGAGGAGCCGAGGATGGCTTTGCCACAAGCCGCATGTTGAACTCATTGCACTTTGCGGTAGCTCTTGTCGCTCCGCTCACACGCACCGCAACGATGGCTCGTGCAATCCTGCTCGCGCTCACGCTCGCCGCGAGCGCGTCGGCCCTCAGCTTCCCGCGGCCGCGGCTCGCGCCGAAGCTCGCCGGCGCGCCGAAGCTCCGCACGTCCGTGCGCGTCGCCACCGCCGCCGTCGACGAGCCCGAGGCGCCCAAGGCCGTCGCGGCGCCGGCGGGGTCCGTCTCCACGGGGACGATCAACCTCGTCAAGTCCATCGTCGGCGCCGGCGTGCTCAGCCTGCCCGCGGGCGTCGGCGCCTTCGCCGACTCCAAGGCCGCGGTGTTGCCCGCGGCGGCGATCCTGACCGCGCTCGGCGCCGCGTCCGCGTACTCCTTCAGCGTGCTCGGCCGCGTCTGCGCGGCCTACGACGTCGACACCTACAAGGACGCCTGGGCCAAGTCCGTCGGCGAGAAGAGCGCCTGGGTCGTCACCGCGTGCTGCACGTTCACGCCCGCGTTGGCGTGCCTGTCCTACAGCATCATCATGGGCGACGCCTTCGCCGCGCTCATCGCCGCGTCGTCGCCGGGCCCGGGCGCCATGGCCGCGCTGAACGCGCTGGGCGGCGCGCGGCGCGCGACCATCGGCGCGCTCGCCGTCGGCGCGCTCTGGCCGCTGTGCAGCCTGAAATCGCTCGCGGCGCTCGCGCCGACGTCCGCGCTGGGCACGGGCGGCGTGCTCTACACGGCGGGCTTCATGGCGAAGCGCTGCCTGGACGGCACCTACGCCGCCGGCGGCAGGTTCGCCAAGGAGTGCGGCGTCGCGACGTTCGGCGACACGCTCGGCTTCGGCAGCGTCAATTTGGGCGTCTACCTCGCCATGTGCGGCACGGCCTACATGGCCCACTTCAACGCGCCGTCCTTCTTCCAGGACGCGGGCAAGAAGATGAAGCCCTACAACGCGGTGATCCGCAACGGCTTCGGGTTGTCGATCCTGCTGAACATCGCGTTCATGGCCGCGGGCTTCAACACCTTCGGCAAGGGCGCCAAGGGCCTCGTGCTCAACAACTACGCGACGACGGACGCGCTCGCCGTCGTCGCCCGCGCGCTCTTCGGCGTGTCCGTCGTCTTCACGTTCCCGTTGGCGTACAACGCCGTGAAGACGGGGCTGCGCGGCGTCGCCCGGAACATGTTCGCCAAGACCGACGCGGAGACCCTCGAGAAGGCCGTCGTCGGCGTGCCCCTGGCGCTGATCACGGCCATCGCCCTCGTCGTCGACGACGCGGGCGTCGTCGCCGCGCTCACGGGCGCGCTCATGGGCTCCGCGGTCATCTACGCGCTCCCCGCGCTCATGCTCCTCAAGGGCGACAAGGTCGCCAAGGCGGGCTGGGAGAAGAAGATCGCGCCCTTCGCCATGCTCGCCATGGGCGCCGTCGGCGCCGTCCTCGGCGTCGTGACGCTGTGAGCCGCGCTCGCGCGCCGCGACCCCGATCCGCCCCTGTGTGGCCGGGGACTCTCTCTAAGCCGGGAATCGTCGTCTGTCTGTTGTCTATTTCGGCTTTGCGAGCTGAGACTCTCGGCAGGCGTCGGCTTCAACTTATCTCGTTGAAGCCTGAGTGAGCCGCCAGAGAGCACTATGGATCGAGACTCCGCGGCGCTTCTCCGTGCCGCGCGCGAGCGCATCCTCGACCTCGAGAAACGGCTCGCCGCCGTGACGCGCGAGCGCGACGAGCTGAAGGCGCAGCAGCAACCGCCCGCCGCGCCGCCGCCGCCGCCGCCGCCGCCGCCGCTCCAGTCCCCCTCCCCCCAGTCCGCCGGCTCGGGCCCGCGGAAGAAGAAGCAGCCGCGGCGCGAGACCTACGCGCCGAACGCGCCGCCGCCGCCGCAGCCCAAGCCCGTCGACGCCGACCCGGGCCCCGAGCCGGGCACGCGGTTCGTCGACGAGGGCAAGCTGTGGGTCGTCTACCGCCGCGAGGGCCGGCGGATGGTCACCAAGGTCGTGGGCACGGCGAAGCTGCGCAAGGTCTACAAGGAGCTCGACGTCGTCTACTACTACGCCGCCGACGCTCCGCGGCCCAGCGAGGAGAACTACCTGAGCGAGTGCGAGTACTCGGGCATCGGCGAAGTCCGCGACTGGATCGCGCGGACGCCGCCCCACTTCGCCGCGCAGCCCGCGCCGACGGCCGCCGCGGCCGCGCCGGCGGCGCACTCGCGCGACGCGGCGGCGGCGGCGGCCGCCGCCGCGCGGCCCCGGCCGGCGGCCAAAGCGCCGGCCGCGCCGGCGGCCAAAGAGCGGCCGCGGCCCGCGCGGCGGCCGGCGGCCCAGAAGGCGCCCGCCGCGCCGGCGGCGCCGTCGGCGCCGCCGCCGCTCCGGCCCTGCAACGGCACGGTCGAGGCGACGAGCGCGTCGGGCATCTGCGCCGTCAAATGGGCCGACGGCACGACGTCGGACCTGCTCGTCGCGGACGCGCGGCGCCTCGGTCTCGCTGTGTGATGTGATAAACTGCCCTTGTTCCACTTCGGACGCGACTCGACGCTGGCAAGTCGTGCGGAATGCAGCGACGACCCGGGAATAAAACAGGGAGGAGCTTACTCGTCGTCGTCGTCGTCCCCCGGGTCCTCGCGGAGGGGGCGGACCTTGCGCGTCGCGTGGTCGACCATCTCCCAGGTCGCGCCGTCGGCCGCGCGACGCTTGACGAACTTGTCGAGCGTCCGCCGCCCGCCCGGGCGCTGCCGGGGGCCGTTCGCCTGGAGGCCCGCGTCGCGGACGAGCCAGTGCTCGTCGCGGTGGACGAGGACCGTCCGCGCGTCCTCGTCGAGCTTCACGCGGTAGGGCAGCGTCGCGACGCCGACGGCGTGGTCCACGGAGAGGACGACGCCCGCGGCCCAGTCCGAGAACGCGTCGGTGTCGTCCTCGACGGCCACGGACACGCGGTCGCCGACGACGAAGCGCCGCGCGCGCCGCGTCGCCGCCTTCGTCGGCGCGCACTTGATGGCGAACTCGGCGCCGCCCGGGCGGTACTCGTCGAAGCAGATCTCGGGCCGGCAGAACCGGTTGCTGTCGACCGGCACCGAAATGAGCTTGCCCACGGGCGGGTCGAGCTTGACGATGTAGGGTAGGACGTTGCGCCGGTCCTGGGGGTCCTGCTCGTCGACGGCGTTGACGACGCCCGCCGCCCAGCCCCACTCGCCGCCGATGCAGCAGACCACCCTGTCGCCGCGCTCGAAGCGCCGCGGGGGCTCCTCCTCGCTGGCGCTGCGGTCGCGGGAGCGGCTGCGGCTGCGGCCGCGCGGTTGCGCGCCGCGGGGACCGTCCGGGGATCGCTCGGCGGCGGCCTTTTCGTTCATGGCGGCGGCGGCGGTGCGCGCTTCGACGCGCTTCGGCGCCGCTGGCGCGCCATGGCGGCACGAGCGGCTTGGCGAGGCAACACTTGACAAGCGTCCCGATAACCACACCTCGCGAGCTCGCCGCCGCGTGCTCTGCGCGCAGGGTTCGCTGTACCACCCCGCGTCCGCCGAAATCTTGTCGAGACTCGTGCGAACGCGCTCGTCTGCGAAAGAATCGAGAAAATCGCGCCGCCAGACCGCCCGTGGCCTCCAAAGGGAGGTTTCAAAAGGAATCGATGCGCGGCGCGCGTTCTCTTTTCGCGCGGTCGCGCCGCGACGACGCGCACGCCTACGCAATCCATGCCGTAGAGCTCTCCACCGATCGCGCCCATATCGCAGGCGCCATGGCCCCGAAGGTGCCGGTGACGATCCTCACGGGCTTCCTCGGCAGCGGCAAGACGACGCTGCTGAACCACATCCTCACGGCGAAGCACGACAAGAAGATCGCCGTGATCGAGAACGAGTTCGGCGACGTGGGCATCGACGATGCGCTGCTGAAGCCGAACCTGCAGTCGACGACCGACGAGGACGTCATCGAGATGATGAACGGCTGCATCTGCTGCACGGTGCGCCAGGACCTCGTGGAGGTGCTCAAGAAGCTCGCGCGGCGGTCCGAGAAGGGCCTGAAACTGGACGCCATCGTCATCGAGACGACGGGCCTCGCGGACCCCGCGCCCGTGGCGCAGACGTTCTTCGTCGACGACGACGTCAAGGCGTTCTGCGAGCTCGACGGCATCGTGACGCTCGTCGACGCGAAGCACGTCGTCCAGCACCTCGACGACGAGAAGCCGGAGGGCGCCGAGAACGAGGCCGTGGAGCAGGTGGCCTTCGCGGACCGCCTCATCCTCAACAAGGTGGATTTGGTCGACGGCGCGGAGCTGGACGAGGTCGAGCGCCGGCTCCGCGACATCAACAAGTTCGCGCCCGTGCTGCGGTCCGAGCAGTCCAAGGTGAGCGTGGACCAGGTGTTGGGCATCAAGGCCTTCGACCTCACGCGGACGCTCGAGATGGACCCCGCGTTCCTCGACACCGACGGCGAGCACGAGCACGACGCGACGGTGACGTCCGTGGGCATCTCCGTCGACGGCGCCGTGGACCTCGACAAGTTCAACGCCTGGCTCGGCCCCCTCGTCGAGGAGAAGGGCGTCGACATCTACCGCATGAAGGGCGTCGTCGCCATCGACGGCAACGACGACAAGTACGTCTACCACGCGGTCCACATGATCTTCACGGGCGCCTACTCCGACCCCTGGGGCGACGAGCCCCGCTCCTGCAAGCTCATGTTCATCGGCAAGAACCTCGACAAGGACGGCCTCGCCAGGGGCTTCGAGGAGTGCCGCGTCCCGGACAAGTCCAAGAAGCGCCGCACGTCCTGAGGTTCCCGGTTGCAGCGCGCGCCGGGGTAAAGTACGACTCTCTAGTTTTGGGGGCGGCCAGCGGCCGCCGTCTTAGAGGTACGGCCCGATGACGGCGCGGATGAGGTCCCGGACCCGGCCCCGCTTCTCGCCCGGGACGCAGTCGCGGAGCAGCGCGGCGACAACCAGCGCGGCCTTGCGCTTGGCGGGAAGGGCTGCATTTTGCACAATCCACTCGTTGTCGACGGTCACGTGGCCGCTGCGCGCGAGCTGGACGAGCGCCTCGAGGCCGACGGTCACCGCGATCGCGACCGCGTTGGCGTCGTTGTTGTGGGCGAGGCCGCGCAGCGCCCGATAGGCAGGGTGTTTCAAATTCGCCTTCCCGTTGCGCAGCAGGTCGACGAGCGGCGGGACGCCGCCGGCCGCAGCGATCGCGACCGCGTTGGCGGCATTCCACTGCGCGAGGCTGCTCAGCACCCACGCGGCCGCCTCTCTGCGCTTCAAAGTCCCGTCGCGCAGGAGCTCGACGAACAGCGGGACGCCGCCGGCCTCGGCGATCAGAACATTGTTGCCGCACGCAAGACAGCGCAGCGCCCACAGGGCCTGCTCTTTGGCCTCCGCGCTCCCGACGCGTAGTAGCTGGACGAGCGGCGCGATGCCGCCGGCCTCGGCTATCAGGACGATTTGGTCGTAGGGCTTGCCCCCCAGCGCCCGCGCCGCCGCCGTCTTTGCCGCATCGTCGCCCTCGCGCAAGGCGCGGACCAGCCCCTCGATCTCCGCCATGCTTGACCCCTTGATAAAACGCCGACGTTTCTCTTCAGCTTGCCCAAGTTACCCATCTCCGGCAGTCTGGGCGGCCGCAGTGCGCGCGCTGGGCAGCCATGCCGCCGAAGAAGAAGACGACGCCGAAGAAGAAGGCGTCGGCGTCGACGAAGAAAATCGTGCCGATTGCAGCGGCAGAGGAGCCGGCAGCGCCAATAGCAACGGCGCCGACACCAGCAGAGCCGACCGTAGCATGCGCTCGAGACCAACCAGCAGAACCAGTCACGTGCACGGTGAAATACACGGTCACCACGACCGTCGTCGAAGCGACCCCCGACGGCGTCCTCTCCATGGAGGCCATCGACGAGGAGCTCGCGATCAGCTTCGCGTTCCCGGGCGCTTTCGTCGCGCGGCTGCGACGAGGCGACGACGTGATCCACGGCGAAGGCGCGGGCCTCGCGACCCTCTTCAGGGATGTCACGGCCGGCGAGTACGTGCTCGAGGTCGACGAGGACGCCGAGCACGCCATCGAGGCCGTCGCGTACCGGGCGGCCGCGCCGGAGGAGGACGTGAGCCGACGGACCGCCGCGGCGCACGCGGTCACGGCCGAGCTCCGGGGCCTGGCGGCGGACGAGCTCCAGGGCACCAAGTACGCGGCGCTCCTCGAGGCGCGGGACGTCGAGGACGTCCTCTTCGGGAGCGGCTAACACGGACTTTCCTCTTCGGGAGCGGCTAACACGGACTTTCCTCATCGGGAGCGGCGAACACGGACTTACCCCGGCGAGTCCGGCCGCGGGTCCGGCGAGCCGCCCGGCGCGGAGTAGTCGTCGACGGAGACGCGGTCGTAGAGGGGCACGGCCGCGCCGCGGCTCGGCGAGCCGGAGAAGCCGTAGTCGTCGACGGAGATGCGGCAGTTGGGCAGGTTCGCCTGGAGCCGCGCGCCCTGGACCTTGGGGTCGCTGAAGTTGTTGTGGTTCAGGTAGACCTCGACGAGCGGCAGCTGGCTCAGGCTCGAGATGGGGATGTCGCCGACGAGCGCGTTCTGCACGAGGTTCAGATGGGTCAGCGGCGCCCAGCGCACCGTGTCGGAGATCTCGCCCGAGAGCTTGTTGTTGAACAGGTCCACGCGCCGCAGCTTGCAGGGCATGGGCACCTCGAAGCGGTCCAGCAGGTTGCCGCCCGCGCGGATCTCGCGGAAGTTCTTCGCGCCCTCGATGAGCTCCCGCGGCAGCACCTCGCCCGTGACCTTGTTGTTGTGGAGGTCGATGAAGTCGAGCCGCTCGAGCTTGCCCCACGCGCCCGGGATAGGCCCGCTCAGTCGGTTCCGCCCGAGCTTGATCGACGCCAGATTCCGGAACCCGCCGAGCGCCGTCGGCAGCGGCCCCGAGAACCGGTTGCCCGTCAGGTCCAGCACCTCGAGCGTCGGCATGGGCATCATCATCACGTCCTCGAGCCGCGCGGAGAAGTGGTTGTCCGACATGACGAGCGTGACGAGCTGCGACAGCAGGCTCACGGAGAACGACGGGAACGCGCCGCAGCGGCCCAGGTTGTTCCCCGGCAGGTAGAGCTCCGTGACGGCGATGTAGGGCTGGGACCGCCGCTCGCACTCCTTCTCCAGCAGCACGCGGCGCTCCTCCTCGACCTTGGACGCGAGCTTCTCCCGCGCGAGCCGCTGGCCGATCGTCGACCGGCCGAGCATGCTGTCCATCTGCTTCAGCTCCTGCTCCACGAGCTTGTCCGTGTCCTCGCCGCGGCCCATGGCCAGCAGCCCGCCCGTGCTCTTCTGCTTCTTCGCCTTGTTGATGATCTTCTCCATCATCTCGGGCGTAAACAAGGGCTTGCGGACGCGCGTGATGACGCCGTGGCAGCCGCTGCAGTTGCCCGTGGGCCCCCGCGTCGCCCGCAGCCGCTCCCAGCCCTCGTTCTTGTTCCACATGCGGTAGTCGCTCTCCTCCGTGATGGACACGAGCGCCTCGAAGTCCTCGGGCCGCTCCTTGAGCGGGTTCACGGGCGCGAAGGAGCGCCCGGGGACGGACAGGCGCGCCGTCGCCATGACCTGCTCCTCGCGCTCCTGGTAGGCGACCTCGCGGAGCTGGCGCCGCACGGTGTCGTTGAGCGTGTCCCACTCGCGCTGCGTCACGCGCTCGCCGTCGTTCTTCGCGTAGATGTTCTTCGGGGGCGTGCCGTAGCGGAAGACCCGGACGCTCTTCTCGCGCTCGCGCTGCGCCTCCGCGCGGCTCGTCTTGAAGGGCGACTTGCGGGCCCCGGAGCCCTTCGCGGCGCTCTTCCGGGTCTTCGTGCTCTTCGTCGACTTGGTGCTGAGCGACCGGTCGTTCGTGCTGTCCCAGGTCGTCGCCGACACGCTCGACATGAGCGATGGCTTCTGGCCGATGGCGCTGCCGTAGTGGTGGTCCGCATGGAGCACCATGCTCGGTCTCCGGCGGCGCGGCGCCGGCGCCGACGACGACGGAGCAGCCCCACCTCGCAGATGCGCGCTAGGACTGCAATGATATTGATTTTATCAGCCGACCGTGCAGTTTTGCGGACGCGTCGGAAAGTGCGTCGGCATGCCTGTGTGGGACACGCCGACGGACGCGTCCGAGGCGCAGAGCACGCGCCCGAGGAGCACGGACGACACACACAAAGCGGCGGTTACGAGTTCCACGCGGGCCCGCAGATGCAGTCCCCGGCGGACGCGCCGCCCGCGCGGCGGTTCATCCAGCAGCAGGGGCAGACGGACGACCGGGCGCCGGACAGCGACCGGCACCAGCAGATGAGCACGCGGCGCTCGCCGCGCGTGACCGTGTCGACCGCGTGGAGGTGGCGGCCGAGGTGCACCGTCGCGACGCCGCGTTTCGGCGCGACGCGGTCGACGCGGGCGCTCGTCTCGTCCGGCGCGCCGCGGACGCCGCCGAGGAGCAGGTCGCCGCCCGCGAAGTCGCGGCCGAGGCAGATGTTCACCGTGATCTCCGAGTCGTCCGTGTGGTGCACGAGCGAGTCGCGCCCCGTCGGCTCGTACTTTAGCACGTAGGCGTGGCGCCAGTCCAGCGCGCCGCCCAGCGTCTCCGCCGGGTGCGCCGCGGCCTGGACCTGGGCGCCCACGGCCAGCAACACGTCGCCGAGCCACGAGCAGCCGACGACGTCGAGGTTCGCGCGCGGCAAGGGCTCGCCGTCGTCGGACCGCGCGCCGTCGACGGCCTCCAGGAGCCGCTCGCAGAAGGCCGGTGTAAGTACATCGATGCTATACACATCATCGACGACCTCGTCGAGGAGCGCGAGGACGCCGCGCGCGGGCGCGGCTTTTCGCGGCGCCGCGAGCGCGTCGGCCATCGACGGACACGCGTCCCAGCCCAGGACCTTGGCGAGCCGCGGCGCGACGACGTCGCCGACGCGCCAGTTCGCCGGATCCCGGAGCTCGCGGAGCTTTTCCGTTTCGACGACGCCCGCGGCCTCCTCTTTGTTCGCCCGGCGCGCCGCCCTGACGGTCGCGAGCGTCCGCTCGAGCTGGTCCTCGAGCTCCGCGATGTCGCCGTCGCGCCAGCGCTTCAGGTACGACGGATAGTGGTCCAGGCCCCACAGCGCGTGCGTGAGGCGCGCGAGCTCCGCCGCGGGCCGGCCGTCGCGCTCCTTCTCGTTGATCTTGCCGCGCAGGGCCGCCATGCGACCGCTCGCCTTGAGGCGCCTCTGCGCGGTCCGGCCCTGCGTCCGCGCGATCCAAATGGTGAGGAGTTGTAGCGCGGCTCTGAGCATATAGTTGTAGCAATTCGCGGCCCTCCAGCCCTGCTGTTCTCGGCGCACGCAGCAGCAATTCGAGGCCTCCACCCTCTGCTTCGGCAGCTCGACGGCAACATTCGCGGCTTGCACGGCAACATGCGGCGACGCGTCCGGAAGCCTTCCGGACAGCCGGTCTACAACCGCCGCAACGAGGCCGCAGCCAACCTCGGCGGCTGACATTCGACGCGACGACGCGAACTGACGCGCGCGCAGCCGCAACGAGGCCGCAGCCGTCCTCGGCGGCTCCGACCTTCTATGGATGCGACGACGCGGCGTGCCGCGCCGGCCGCGCCGCCGACCTCGTCCCCGCGGTCGCGCTCGAGCGGCGAGGATATTCGACGCGATGCCCCAGCACGTCGCGACACCACGACCTCTTACGCGGGCGGCGCGGCGGTCGTGTCGATGAGGGACCGGAGCTCGCGGAGCATGGCCTGGGCCTCGAGCTTCTCCGGCCCGCCGTAGTCGAGGAGCCGCGCGAGGCACGCCTGCGCGGCCGCGTAGTCGGCCTTCTGCTTGTGCTTCGACGCCAGATACAGCAGCGCCTCGGCCGTCGCGTCGACGATCTCCTCGCCCTGGCCGTGCAGGTCCACGTAGGCCTGGAAGCAGGCGACGGCCTTGTCGTGGTCGTTGCGCGACCGGTGGAGCCGCGCGAGCTTGATCGTCGCGTGGCCCTCCGCGTCGTCGTGGGCCGCCGCGCGCTCGTAGCCCTTGATGGCGTCGTCGACGCGGTGGAGCTTCTCGTGGCACTGGGCGATGGCGATCCACATGCGCGCGTCGTAGGGCCGGAGCCGCGCGGCCTTGCGGTAGTAGTAGAGCGCGTAAAAGTACATGTTGAGGATCTCGTAGGTCTGGCCCAGGCCGTACCAGGCGCGGTAGTCGCGCGCGTTGACGTCGACGGCGCGCCGGTAGGCCTCGATGGCCGCCGCCGTGTTCTTCATCTCGATGTACTCGTGGCCCATCAAGGTCCACGCGCTCAGGCAGCCCCGGTCGAGCTTGAGCGCCCGCTGGAAGTAGAGCACGGCGCGCTCGTGCTGGGCCTTGAGCGAGTAGTAGTTGCCGACGACGCAGCACGTCTCGGGGCGGTACTTCTCCGCGCGCGTCGCCGCGTGCGCGAGGCGCGAGAGCTCCGCGCGCGCCTCCTTGACGTAGAGCACGTTCGAGTAGATGTCGAGCTGCTCGAGGCGGTAGGGGTCCGCGGCCCTCAAGGCTTCGAAACGTTCCTGGGCCTACCACATGCGTCGGTAACGATTTTTCGTGGTTTCCCCGGTCAAAAGCTCTCGAAAATCGTCACGGCCGCAGGACGCTGGCCTGCGCCCGGTCAAAGTCTCGGCGAGCGTAGTGCGCGAGGGCCTCGTGCGCCACCACAAACGTCGACGCCGGCGCGACGGCCTCGACGCGGGCGAGCGTCTCCAACGCCTCGTCGCAGCGCTGCTGCTCGATGGCGACGTGCGCGCGGTGGCAGGCGGCGATGAGCGCCTCCGACGCGCCGGGCCGCGGGCCGTGGACGTCGAGCAGTTCGTCGTCGGGGTGCGGCGGCGGCGCGGCCGCCGTCGCGCCCGCGGGCGGGCGGACGATCGCCGCCGCCGCGGCCTCCGGAGCGTCGAGCTCCGCCAGATCGAGCCACGCGGACCAGTTCCAGGGGAACTGGAGCGTCGCCTCGGCGAGCACGGCGCGCGCCTCGGCCGTCGGCGCGTCCTCGGCGGCGGCCACGGCCGCGCCGGCGATGCGGCCCGGCTGCGCCGGCGGCCGCGGCTCGTCGCCGCCGCCGCCGCCGTCGACGTCCATCGCCGGCGGCGCGGCCGCGTCGCCGCCGCCGCCGTGGCGCGCGCGCGCGAGCTCCTTGAGCACGATGCCGTAGGCGTAGCCGCCGAGGCCCGCGAGCGCGCCCCGGGCCTTGCGCGCGGCCAGCGCATCGCGGAGCGCCGGCGCGTAAGAGTTCCGGGCCTTGGCCCGCGCGAGCGCGTCGCGCGACGCCTCGCAGATTTCCTCCTCGCGCCGCTTTTCGCCGGCGAGGTAGAGCGCGTAGGCCCAGAGGAAGACGTCGCGCGCCGCGGCGTCGGGCGCGGGCGCGGCCGCGGGCAGCGGGCCGCCGCCGGTCTCGACGCCGCACAGCGCGACGGCGCACCGCGCGTACTCGCCGAGCTCGAAGAAGGAGCTCGCGAGCATGAAGGCGTCGGTGACCGGCTCGGCCTCGAGGGCCCTGAGCGTCGCGACGCCGGCGGACGCGGCGGCGGACGAGGGCGACGCGCAGTCCATGCCGCCGCCGGCGAGGCCGACGAGCTGCTCCGCGCAGAAGCAGGCGCTTTTCTTCAGGCCGTGCTCGCGCAGGATCGGGATCGCGCGCCGCAACTCGTCCTTGCACGTCGGGATGGAGAAGCCGGTCATCCTGTCGAGAGCTGCGGCCGTCGAGGCTGCTCCCAGACGGCGAGCTCGAGGCAATGCCGCGGCATGTTGAACCGATTCGGGATGCTTGATGCCGCTATTTCCGATTCAGCCCGCCGCAGCCCTGCGTGCGCCGCGCGCATGGCGGTGTCTCTGTACTCCGCGGCGGAGCGCGCGCGCATGAAGAGCTACGGCGCGCTCCTGAGCCACGATGGTCACGACACCCTGCGAGATGACCGGGAAAACACCTGGCTTTTGAAAGCATTACGCTGCTCATATAAAGGTATTGTCGAGTTCGCATTTGGTTGGTTGTATCATTCATTATCAGAAGGCGAGTATCCGCGTAGCAACCGGTCTGTAAATATTCTGATTGAGGACGAATACCAGCCATTGTATTTTGGCGGCTTCCTCCACTATGTTCTCCACGGCATCCGGGACATCGACGGTGGCGGTGTGACGGACGGATATGATTTTAGAAGTATGCCGCGTGTGGATTGGTGTTTGGATGGAGACAGACATGATGTGATTCATTTTCTAATAGAGCAGGGCATAGATGTCAATCGTAGAGACAGCCTCGGTCGAACGGCGCTGCACTACGCTTGCTTTCCGAGTGAAGTTGATCTGTTGCTCAAAGCCGGGGCCGACATCGACGCTCAAGATGGGCGGGGCCGCACAGCGCTTATGCAGTCTGTCAAGTACTTTTCGGAGGACGAGGACCCCGAGTATGACGATGCGCGCACCCAACTCACGCATCATCTTGTACGCCGCGGTGCTGACGTTACGCTCCGTTGCCACATGAGCCTTGATGCCGAAGATTACGCTGTGGCGAATCAACATTTCGTGAGCACGAAGCTCCTTCGCAACGTGCGCCGCGCGGGCTGCTGGAAGTCTTACGTGAATGCAGATTGTGTGGGGCTCGTAATGCTGCGATCGTTGTGTCGTCGTAGTCTCCTGGCGCCACCCAACGGCCTACCGTGCCTCTTCTACAAGCCGCTTCCGGACGCGATCTTCTTGGACATCGTTCTCAAATTTGTCTATGGTACCAGTGCTGACTTCTTCAAATATGACTTCGCATGCTTGGCTGCAGATCGCTGGAACTATAAGCTCGTGGAGCTTGATCCTGAGGCAGATCCTCGCACCACGAATGGCACGATCAACGCTGATGAAGCAGAGTGTTTCAGACTTTTGATGGGATTCCCAGACGACGATGCTTGGCGCGCGTTGCCTCTCCAACGCGGTTCGAATCTGTAGCCGCCAGCCCTGGCTTGGGCGTCCTGAATCTGAAGCATCACCATGGAGCTTGCGCGTGCTCATGAGGCGGGGGTTAGGCGGCGGCCGCGGCGCGGGGCCCGGCCGTCTAACTAGGAGTGGCCTCTGCCGATGAGCTTATGATCGCGGCGCGCGGCCCGGGAGGCCTACGTCCATTGTGAAAAGGCGACGACGGCTGGAGAAGTCGCGGCGTCTGGGCCTGCCGCTCGGGCCCAGACGCCGGAGACGCCGTGGTGGCGCGGCCCGAAGCGGGCGCCGGAGGCGTCGACGGACGGCGTCGCGGCCGGCCTTCGAGCCCGAGAAGGCGTCCGAGAGCCCCGGCGACAGCGAGCCGGCCCGCTGTCGACAGCATGTGCTCGCCTCGCCGCTGAGTTAGTGCAGAGCGACCACCGCGCTTCGGACCCGCCCGACGCCGCCGCTCCTTCGCGCACCACTTCGCCGCGCCGCGGAGCTCGTGCGCGCGCGCCTCTCACCGCCCCGCGTCGCGGAGCGCGTCCGCTCGCCTTCCCACTCAGCGAGGAGGCAGCCAAGCCCGCGCGAGGAAGGCCGACGACCTCGACGTGGGCCGGTCGTGCTGCGACGTGACCGAGAAGACCACTGGTGACCATGGGCGTCGAAGACGACGAGATCGCGGCGCTCCAGGCCGCGCGCAAGGGCACGGCGCTCGGGGCGAAAGCCGGCGGAGAGTTCGACCGCGACTTGTACGGCGGCAGCGCCAAGGGATACTCGCGCGAGGTCGTCGATGACGTCAAGGAGGATGATGACGAGGCCATGGACGTCGGCGCGAGCCACCCCGCGACCAAGGCCAACGCCCCGGTGGACGAGGAGGCGGCCGACTTCGACCCGTTCGCGGAGCACCGCGCGGCGTCGGGCCGCCAGGCCATCGCGGAGCGCGAGTCCGAGTACCAGAAGCGGGGCCGGGCCCTGCAGCGCCTCTCGCCGGAGCGCGGCGACGTCTTCGCGGACAAGACTCCGGCCCGGTCGTACAAGGACGTGATGCAGTCGCAGACTGTGTGGAATTCAACTTCAATGTGCGCATATGCGACAGTTTCGACGCAAGCTCTTCGGCTGTGCTTCGAGAACTCGACGAGAGCAATCGATTCGTCCAAAAATCAGCCGAATCGACTTCGATTTGATCGAGCTAGAGAATTCTGAAGTTTGGTCAGGACCACCCAAACCAGTGGTTGAATTCCACACAGGTCGCAGAACATGGATCACGAGCGCGACGCGCTCCTCAAGAAGATCGCCGACGGCGAGAGCCTGCAGCAGGAGCCCGAGAAGAAGAAGCGGCGCTGGGACGACTCGGGCGCCGCGGCCGCGACGGCGGCGCCCGAGGCCGTCTCGCGCTTCCAGGACACGCCGGGGCGCTTCGACCAGAGCCCGGCGCGCGGCTTCGGGGGCGAGACGCCGTCGCGCTTTGATGCCACGCCAGGGCGGTTCGACTCCACGCCTGGCCGTTTCGATGCGACTCCTGGGCGCTTTGACGGGACGCCCTCAAGATTTGCCGAAACACCGGGGCGGTTTGGCAACACGCCGAGTGGCGGCCGCTTCGAGGCGACGCCCGGGCGCTTCGACCAGACGCCGAATGCGGGCGCCGGTGGCGGCCGCTTCGACGCGACGCCGGGGCGCTTCTCTTCAACGCCGGCCGGAGGCACGTCGCGCTTTGACGCGACGCCCTCGCGCGGCGCCTTCGGAGGCTCGACGCCGGGCCGCTTCGACGCGACGCCCGGGCGCTTCCAGGATACGCCAGCGGCATCGTCGCGCTTTGATGCAACGCCCGGGCGCTTCGAGATGACGCCTAGCGCCGAAAGATTTGGCTCGACGCCGGGCCGCTTCGAGTCCACCCCCGCGACGGATTCGGCGCGCTGGGACAGCACGCCCGGCCGCGAGGTCGCCGCGGCCAAGGCGTCGCGCTGGATGGAGACGCCCGCGCGCGACGACGCGCCCGCCAAGGCCCAGCGCTGGGACTCGACGCCGACGGCGCCGGTCGCCGCGGAGTCGGGCGGCAAGCGGTCCCGCTGGGACGAGACGCCCATGGTCGACAGCGGCGCCGCCGCGGGCGGCGCGACGCCCGTCGGCGGCTTCGGCGGCGCGACGCCGCTCGGCCTCGCGGACGCGATGACGCCGACGCCGACGTCGTTCGCGGCGCAGTCCGCGGCGGCGCTCGCGCTGGACCGGGGGCCCGTGACGCCGGAGATGGCCCAGCGCATGCGCTGGGAGCGCGAGATGAACGAGCGCAACCGGCCGCTCAGCGACGCGGAGCTCGACATGATGTTCCCGGCCAACGGCTACAAGATCCTCGACCCGCCCGCGGGCTACGCGCCCATCCACACGCCGAGCCGCAAGCTCACGGCGACGCCGACGCCCCTGCCCGGCAGCGCGGGCGCCCTCGGCGGCTTCTCCATCGCCAACACGCCGAAGCGCGACGAGTACGGCGTGCCCGCGACGCCCAACGAGAACGAGCTGCCGACGATCAAGCCCGAGGACTACCAGTACTTCAGCCGGCTCATGGAGGACGTCGACGAGGACGGCCTCTCCAAGGAGGAGGCCATGGAGCTCAAGATCATGCGCCTGCTCCTCAAGGTGAAGAACGGCACGCCGCCGCAGCGCAAGACGGCCCTGCGCCAGATCACGGACAAGGCGCGCGAGTTCGGCGCGGGCAGCCTCTTCAACCAGATCCTGCCGCTCCTGATGTCGCCGACGCTCGAGGACCAGGAGCGCCACCTCCTCGTCAAGGTCATCGACCGCATCCTCTACAAGCTCGACGACCTCGTGCGGCCCTTCGTGCACAAGATCCTCGTCGTCATCGAGCCGCTCCTCATCGACGAGGACTACTACGCGCGCGTCGAGGGCCGCGAGATCATCTCGAACCTGGCCAAGGCCGCGGGCCTCGCGACGATGATCGCGACGATGCGGCCCGACATCGACAATTTGGACGAGTACGTGCGCAACACGACGGCGCGCGCCTTCGCCGTCGTCGCGTCGGCGCTCGGCATCCCCGCGCTGTTGCCCTTCCTCAAGGCCGTCTGCCAGAGCCGGAAGTCGTGGCAGGCGCGCCACACGGGCATCAAGATCGTCCAGCAGATCGCGATCCTCATGGGCTGCGCCGTGCTGCCGCACCTGCGCCAGATGGTCGAGATCATCGAGCACGGCCTCGTCGACGACCAGCAGAAGGTGCGCACCATCGGGTCGCTCGCGCTGGCCGCGCTCGCGGAGGCGGCGCACCCCTACGGCATCGAGTCCTTCGACTCCGTGCTCAAGCCCCTGTGGAAGGGCATCCGCCACCACCGCGGCAAGGGCCTCGCGGCCTTCCTCAAGGCCATCGGCTTCATCATCCCGCTCATGGACAGCAACTACGCCAACTACTACACGCGCGAGGTCATGATCATCGTCATCCGCGAGTTCCAGTCGCCCGACGAGGAGATGAAGAAGATCGTGCTCAAGGTCGTGAAGCAGTGCGTGGCGACGGACGGCGTCGAGGCGTCCTACGTCCGCGGCGAGATCCTGCCCGAGTTCTTCCGCAACTTCTGGGTCCGCCGCATGGCCCTGGACCGCCGCAACTACAAGCAGGTCGTCGAGACGACCGTGGAGCTCGCGAACAAGGTCGGCGCGGCGGAGATCGTCGCGCGCGTCTGCGACGACCTCAAGGACGAGTCGGAGCCCTACCGGCGCATGGTCATGGAGACCATCGAGCACGTCGTCCAGGACCTCGGCGCGGCGGACATCGACGAGCGCCTCGAGGAGCAGCTCATCGACGGCATCCTCTACGCGTTCCAGGAGCAGGCGTCCGACGACACGGAGGCCATGCTCAGCGGTTTTGGGGTGGTCGTCAACGCGCTGGGCCTGCGCACGAAGCCCTACCTGCCCCAGATCTGCGGCACGATCAAGTGGCGCCTCAACAACAAGGCCGCGAACGTCCGCATGCAGGCCGCGGACTTGATCGCGCGCATCGCCGTCGTCATGCGCCAGTGCCAGGAGGACCAGCTCATGGGCCACCTCGGCGTCGTGCTCTACGAGTACCTGGGCGAGGAGTACCCCGAGGTGCTCGGCTCGATCCTCGGCGCGCTCAAGGCCATCGTCAACGTCATCGGCATGTCGAAGATGACGCCGCCGATCAAGGACCTCCTGCCGCGGCTCACGCCCATCCTGAAGAACCGGCACGAGAAGGTCCAGGAGAACTGCATCGACCTCGTGGGCCGCATCGCGGACCGCGGCGCGGAGTTCGTCGCCGCGCGGGAGTGGATGCGCATCTGCTTCGAGCTTTTAGAGATGCTCAAGGCGCACAAGAAGGCCATCCGCCGCGCGGCCGTGAACACCTTCGGCTACATCGCCAAGGCCATCGGGCCCCAGGACGTGCTCCACACGCTGCTCAACAACCTCAAGGTCCAAGAGCGGCAGAACCGCGTCTGCACGACCGTCGCCATCGGCATCGTCGCGGAGACGTGCGCGCCCTTCACGGTGCTGCCGGCCCTGCTGAACGAGTACCGCGTGCCCGAACTCAACGTGCAGAACGGCGTGCTGAAGGCGCTGTCCTTCATGTTCGAGTACATCGGCGAGATGGGCAAGGACTACGTCTACGCCGTGACGCCGCTCTTGGAGGACGCGCTCATGGACCGGGATTTGGTGCACCGGCAGACGGCCTGCGCGGCCATCAAGCACCTGGCGCTGGGCGTCGCGGGCCTCGGCTGCGAGGACGCGCTCGTCCACCTCATGAACCACGTCTGGCCCAACGTCTTCGAGACGTCGCCGCACGTCATCGCCGCCGTCTTCGAGGCCATCGAGGGCTTCATGGTGTCGCTCGGCGTGCCCGTCGTGCTCAACTACGTGCTCCAGGGCCTCTACCACCCGGCGCGCCGCGTCCGCGACGTCTACTGGAAGATCTACAACTCGCTCTACATCTACGGCGCGGACGCGCTCACGTGCTGCTACCCGAACCTCGAGTCCGACGAGGCCAACTCGTACCGCCGCACCTACCTCGAGGTCTTCATCTGATCGGGCCGGCGCGGCGCGCGCACTCCCTACGTCCCCCCAACACCAATCACACCCCCGCCTAAGCCCCGTCTATTCGACGAGCGATGAGCTCTAGAGCGGCGCCGCGCGGCGGGGACCGGGACCCCCGGCAAACAAGGCAGCCCCTGAGCATGGACAGCATCAGCCCGGGCAGCGGTAGCGACGGCGACAGCATGGACAGCGACGTCCCGCGTTACTACGCCGTGTTTGTGAGGCCGCGCTGGAAAGAGGGGGTAGCGTACTCGCCCTTGCCTTGCGGCGTGTGGGAGCGCGAGCTCGATGCTGTGCGCGAGATGGAAGCGGCGAGCGCCGCCGTCCTGCGCATCTTCCGCGGCACCGACTGGCCCGACTCGAGCTGGGCGCTATCGCACGCGCTGCCCGTCGAATGCCTCACGACGGTTCGCACTTACTGCGGCTCCGAGGCGGACTCGAAGCTGCGCGCCCTGAACCCCGCGCTTCATCGGAGGCTGCGCACTGTCGCGGAGAGCATGCTCGAGCACCAGCGCGAACGGTACCTCGAAAATCTGAGTAGGCTCTCGACGCCGCATCTCTTGAAGGCGCTACACCGTCTAGCCGACACAGGCCATCGATTCTCAGTCGACGAGCATGATGATTTCGACGTAGAAAAATACAAAGGTTGGCTGGAGTACTGGCTCGTTCATAGGCTCGGACATCCGAGTCAGACCGCACGGGTGATTGGGCACGACAAGCGGTTCAAACGCGAGCTCACGCTCCTCGGGATTCCTCGCGCCTCGCTGCTGTATTCGGCCTCTTCGTCGCGGGGCCCGCGAACGCGAATACCGCGGCGCGCCATCCTCGACTTCACGGTCCAAGCTGTCCCCGCGCCACTAGAGGACCCAGGACTGGTCCCAGAGGCGCCGCTCTACTTGATATGCGGGCGTCTGTCTTCCTACGATTTCGATGGTGGGACGAACATCCTGTCTACCATCCTGACGACCGGAGAATCAAGGTCCACGGCATCGCGCGAAAGCCACATCTCGACGCCGCAGTCACCGAGGCTCTGGTCTCTCGCGCATGGTAGTATGAAGAAGCTTGTGGTGGCAGGGTCACAATGAGAAAGGGTCCCTTGTCGCAATCGCTAGATGAGTTGTCTGAGGAGGACATGGTGTTTTTCGAAGATCCCGTGGACTCGGACCTCATCTTTGGCGAGGGCCGAGTCCCGCTGGTCCGCGAATCAAAGGGTTTGAAACTCGAAAAGGCGGTCCGCGAAAGGATGTGTTCGGTTGACGCACCGCACGATACGCCCTTCTTCGTCCACGCGGCGCGGCGCGACGCCGAGGGCGCGCCCGTCGCCCAGGGCTACCTATACCACCACAGCGACTCCGACACATTTGAGGCCTTCCTCGCGTGGGCGGAGCCGGTGGCCTTCCACCCCTCGCGCGCTCCAGTAGACGCCCACTAGCCCGTCGCCTTACTTCTTCTGCGCCTGCTCCGGGATCTCGCCGCCGACGCGGACGAAGCAGTCCCGCGCGGGGTCGATGGCCGGGTAGTCGGAGAGGCTCAGGGGGTCGAGCATGAGCGTCTCGTCGAGGTAGAGCGACTGGACGCCCATGGGGATCTCGAACTCCTCCTCGACGAAGCTCTTGAGCACCTCGACCGTGTGGCCCATCTTGAAGTGCTTCTCGCCCTCGCTCCCGTCCGGCAGCTCGAAGACGACGAGCACCTGCGCGTCCAGCGCCCGCTCGACGCGCTCGTGCTCCGCGCAGGGCCGCGGGTTCCGCTCGCTCTTGACCACGGCGGAGATGTCGAGCCCCCGCAGGCCCAGCGCGGCCTTGGGCTCCGCGGCCGACGGCAGCGCCGACCCGACGGCCGTCACGTAGTCGTCGTCGCCCTTGGACTCGCAGGCCTTGCTCGACCGCTTGCAGTCGTCGCCGTCGTCGTCGCGCGGCATGGCTCGCTGCGCCGGCGGCGGCGCGAGGCGGTGGGCTGCCTCCTCGAGCTTTCGAACCAAGGGGTAATAAATAGTATGGGGTGGCAGCTCAACGAGATTATGTTGCGCGAGCTCCTCGTACTGCAACCCATCGTTTTGGGGCAATGTTGACGACTTTTGGCCGGGGACTTTTCGACGCCGCCGTCGTCGACGCGGCCCCAGACGGACCGCAGCGGTATTCGCTCCCCCGCGAAGGCGCCCGCGACAAGACTTACGCGTCCGGGCGGTTCGGGTCCGGTGGAAGGAAACCGAGGCGCGCTGGAGGGCACCGTGTCCGGTTTGGCGCCACGCGAGGAAGGGGGTTTTGGGGCAGCTCTTGGACGTGTTCGCGATGATGATGGTCGTGGACCGTCTGCTGGCGCTGCAGAGCCCTTCGTTGGTACCTATGGATGGGCTCGAGCATCTCAGGACACGAAAAGTTCTCGACCTCGAATGCCCGCACGCTGCCCGAGAAACTGTGTTGCGACACCGTCGGCGCCGGGGCTGCGCAGGCTCTGAGATCGTGGGAAAAGTGTGTCCTGAAGGTTTCGAGCCCCCCGCGGGTACCCATAGGGCGCCTCCAACCTCTCAGGACAAGAAAATATCGCACACTCGACTCACACCGCCGCCCTCTCGTCCCGCCGCCGAACATCAGCCCGCGCGCTGCGGCGTGGAAGAAGAAAGAAAACGCTAGCGGCGGCCCCGAGTAGTACGAGGACCTCGCGTTTCGCCTGCCACCCCATCTAGATTTATATCCCCTTGTTCGAACTCGCAGAGCGTGCATGATTGATGCATGTTGCAGTGCATCGTCAGCTCAGGGAGTGACATCTCCAGGCTGTGCTCCCGCGCGCGCGCGGTGGCCGAGCCCAACCCGAGCCCGAACCCGAGCCCGAGCCGGAGCCCGAGCCGGAGCCCGAGCCGGAGCCGGAGCCGGAGCCCGAGCCGGAGCCCTTTAACGACGCCGCGGCGAGATGTCCGGGCCCGCGGGGTCGTTCCCTCCGGAATGGGGCGACCAAGCTGAAGACGGAGACGCGGCGTGGTGGGGTTTGACGGAGTACGACACGCTCTCGCTCGAGTCTGCCGAGGTCGGCTTGATATCGACGATGCTCCGCCAGGCGTGCCCGACGGCGCGGCTCTCCGTGGTCCGCCGCGTTCGGAATCGCCAGCTCTGGAAGAATTATCGCGAGTGTCGCGACGACATTAAACGCCACAACGACGGGGACGCGAACGAACAGCTGCTCTTTCACGGCACGGGCGCGACGCGCGCCGACGACGTTCTGAAGGATCCGGGTGGACTCGACCCACGCCACAGCCAAGGCGGCGGCTTCTACGGACGCGGCGTGTACCTGAGCGAGCGACCCGATTATCAGATCGGTGGGCGCTACGCGCACTTCGTCAGCGGCTCGGGACAGCGGCGCGCGGAGCTGGTGGTGGTGAAGGCGGCGCTGGGCGCGCAGCAGGACTTTGGGACGCGCGTCGATGCGGACACTCGCAAGATGGCGATGCCTGGCGTGCGAAGCGAGGAGCCCATCCTGCAGCGATTCGACAGCGTTCGCGCGGGGCCGCACCGCCCGCACGTCGCCGGCGCGGGCGAGAGCGGGCTCAACGCGTCTTTCGTTCACGTGCTCTACGAGAAGCGCCAGCTGTACGTGGCCTACGCCATCGAAGTCCAGCTCGGGCTCAACGGTGAACCGCGGCCCGCCGTCGCGGCGGCGCCCGCGGCCGTGCCGACTGCAAAGCCCGCGACCGCGCGTACGGCGAAGCCCGCGCCGACGGCGAAGCGCCAAAAAACGACGCCCGACGATATCCTGAACGGCCGTTTCCGGGACCAGAATGGTGAGGAGATCTACTTCAAGGTCAAGAAGACGGTTAAGCTCGAAAACCTCTTCAACACGTACGCGCAGCAGAACAAGGGCGTCAGCGACCAGACGTGGCTCCGCTTCCTCTTCGACGGCCAGCGCATCCGCAGCGACCAGACTTGCGAAGACATCAACTTTGAGGACGGCGACCAGTTTGATGTCGTCGTCGTCGATTCCCTGAACATCATGCTCCGGGACCAGACCGGCGAGAAGACCTTCTTCAAGGTCAAGAAGACGACGAAGCTCGACAAGCTCTTCAACGCGTACTCGCAGCGCAAGGGCGTCAACGCGTCGTCGCTCCGCTTCCTCTTCGACGGTCAGCGCGTCCGCGGCGACCAGACGGCCCGAGACGTCAAATTGGAGGATCGCGACCGAATTGACGTCATGCTCGACCCCACAGCGACCCCACGGTAGCGCCGTAAACATTCGTAGCCTATTTCATGCTTGCAAGGGTTTTCTAAAACACGACTTTATTTTCAGGATCGACGAGCTACGCGACGTGGTGTCAATCGGCGCGCGCCGCCAGACCCCGCCGAGCGGTGCGCGAGCTGCGCAAAGACTCCGAGCATGGTCGCGACGCGCGGGCGCGGCCCAGAACGACCTTACGTCCCCGGATCGACCCCTGCGCTCGGCGGAGCGGTGCCGCTAGCTCGTCGATCCTGAAATAAAGTCGTATTTTACAAAACCCTGCTAAGCATTATATTCGTCCTGTCCAACTTCTGTGCAAGTTGACGCCGGCCGGCGAGAACGGCATGGCCGCCATGGCGAAGGCCGCGCTGCTGTTCATAGCTACCATACACGCCTTCGCACCACACATCAACACACCAGTAAAGAAACACGCGCCACTGTTCGCGAAGCCGACGGAGGTGCACTACGCGCTCAACGCGGAGCTCTCGAAGGAGCAGTCGCCGGCGAAGCTCGTCGCCCTCGTCGAGGAGCGGTCCCAGGACTTCAACGGCGTGAACATGGCGACGGCCCTGCGGCGCCTGGCGACGGCGCCCCTGGGCCGGCAACCGCGCGCGCGCGCCGCGGGCCTCGTCGCCGCGCGGCTCGAGACGTCGCTCGCCGAGCGGCCCGACGACTTCGACGCGCGGTCCGTCGCGACCGCGTGCTGGGCCTTCGCGAAGCTCGGCCTCGGCGTGCCCGGCGCGCTCGCCCGCGCCGCCGCGGGCCTCGCGGCGCGCATGGAGCCGCGCGAGCTCGCGACGACGGCCTGGGCGCTCGCGACGGCCGCGCGCGACGCCGACGCCGCGGCCGACGGCGGCTACGCCGCCGCGGCCGCGGGCGAGACCGAGGCGGCGCTGAAGGCCGCGGCGGACGGCGCGACGCGCCGGGCCAAGGCCCTCTCCGGGCGCGACGCGTCGACGGTCGTCTTCGCGCTCGCCACGGCCAAGGTCCAAGGCCGGTCCGACTGCTACGCGGCGCTCGCGCGGCGCCTCGGCGGGCCCGCCGTCGCCGGCGCCGGCAGCTGGAACGGCCAGGACGTGGCCAACGCCGCCTGGGCCTACGCGTCGGCGCGCGAGCCCGCGCCGCGCTTGTTCGGCGCGTTCTCGGCGTTCGCGGCGGCGAACGCGAGCCGCCTGTCGCCCCAGGGCGTCGCGACGCTCGCCTGGGCGTTCGCGACGCAGCGGCGCTGCCCCCGGGGCACGGGCGTCGCCGGCGACCGGCCGTCCCAGGACGCCGCGGCCTTTTCGGCGCTCGCGGCGCGGGGGGCCGCGGTTTCCAGAGAACTGGACGCGCGGAGCCTCGCCTTACTGAGCTGGGCCTTCGCGGCGTCGCGGCGCGGCGGCCGGTCGCTGGCGCCCCTCTGCGAGGACACGCTCTTCGAGGCGCTCGAGGCCCACGCGATCCCGCGGCTCGCGCGCGGCCTCGGCGCGCGCGACTCGGCGGCGCTCGCGTGGTCAATGGCGACGGTCGGGCGCGCCTGCCGCCCGGCCTTCGAGGCCGTGGCCGCGGGCGCGGCGCGCGTGCCCGCGGCCCAGTGGTCGCCCCAGGCGCTGGCGAACGTGCTCTGGGCCTTCGCGACGCAGCGGTCGGGCTACGGCCCCGGCCGCCTCTTCGACGCGCTCGAGGACGCGGTCGTCGCCAAGGCCGACGCGCTCGCGAGCCGCGACGTCGCGACCGTGCTCTGGGCCTACGCGGCGCGGCGGCGGCTCTCCGAGGCGCCGCGGCCCGACGCGGTCTTCGGCGCGGTCGCGCGGTCGCCGGGGCTCGCCGCGCGGCTCCGAGGCGCGTCGCCCCAGAGCCTCGCGAACGTCGCCTGGGCCGTCGCCGCGCTCTACGCCGACGGCGGCGGTCTGGACGACGCGGGGCGGGCGCTGGGGTTGGATGCCGTGCTCGCGGCCGTCGCGGACGCGGCGGTGCCCGTCGCGCGCGCGGGCCGCTTCGAGGCGCGGCAGCTCGCGACGCTCGCGCGCGCCTTCGCCGCCGTGCGCGCCGACGCGCCCGAGCCCACGCTCCTGGGCGCGCTGGGCCGCGCCGCGGCGGCGGACGCGCGCGCGCTGTCGCCCCTCGACGCGGCGATGGTCGCGGACGCGGCGTCGCGGTGCCGCGCCTTCGTGGGCAACGCGGACGCGGTCGTGGCGGCGCTCGCCGACGACGCCGCGGACCGGGCGGCGACCTTCGGCGCGCAGGAGCGGGAGGACCTCTGCCGCGCGCTCGCGGTCTGCGGCTTCGCGGACCACGCGCTCTTCGGCGCGGCCGCGGAGGCCGTCTTCCCGCGCGTCGCCGACGACGCGAAGCTCCTGCCCGTGCCCACGACGGCCTACGCCGCCAACGACACGGACCGCGTCACCGTGCTCGAGGTCGTCCCCTACGACGCCATGTTCCTCGCGCCCCTCGGGGGCGGCCCCGGGGGCGACGCCGGCGCGCCCCGGCGCGACGACCCCATCCGCGAGCTCGACGTGCCGCCCCAGAACGCCGACGTCGCTAGTTTGTAAGGCAATTTACTCGTCGTCGTCGTCGCTCGTCTCGTCGGCCTGGAGCTTGAGGCGGATCTGCAGCGCCGGCAGGTGGTCGTGGACGAGCTTGTTCGACGGCTCCAGCGCGAGGATCCGGCGGCCGAGCTCGACCTACGGGAGCGTGGTGCTGGGCCGGACGACCCGGCCGCGGTGGAGGTGTGCTTGGGTGCTGGGCCGGACGACCCGGCCGCGGCGGAGGTGTGCTTTGGTGCTGGGCCGGACGACCCGGCCGCGGCGGCGTCGCGCGCGCGGGGTCTCTCCCGCGGCGCGCGATCGATCGGTCCGAACGCGACACTTTTGACCTCTTGACGACGCCGGCGCGCGCGGCCGCCGCGATGTCCTCGCCGCTCTGGGCGAGGTCCAGGAACTGCGAGGGGGCGCGCGTCGTCAAGCGGCGCTCGGGGAGCGTCTCCGCGCCGCGGACGCGCCTTCATGAGCATGTCCACGGGCACGAGCTTCGGGTCGCCCCGCGGCGACTGCGCCCAGTCCGGCGACGCGCCCGACTGCTGCAGCCGGTCCAGCGCGAGCGGCGGCGTCGGCGCCACCATAGCGCAGCTCCCAAACGACGCGCGCGAGTCGGGGCAGCCCTGAGAAGTGCAAGTTAGTGTGCACCGTGCCGTTGCAACGGATATTTCGACGATCTGGGCTGCGCTCTCGACCTTGTGATCGAGCGCGCCGTCGCGCCGTCGCGCGCGATGCCGCGGCCCGAGGGCGTGCTGATGATGCGGTCCAAATCCTTCTTCGCGCGGAGGCACCGACGGTTCGTGGCCATCAGCCAGGGCGGCCTATCTACGTTCCGCTGCGACGAGCACGACATCGCCATCCTCGAGACGCGCAAGGACCTGCCCTTCGAGTACGTCGAGTCCATGGTGTTGGACGGGCGGCGCTTCGAGGTGCGACGGCTCAAGCCCTGGCGCCACGCCGTGACCTTCTACTGCGAGTCCGACGACGCCGCGCGCCTCTGGGCCGACGCGTTCCAGTCGCGGCTCGACGCGTTCCGCGCCAAGGCCCGGAGCCAGCTGCGCAGCGCGCCGGACGATTTCGCGGTGGAGGGCGACGAGCCGCCGCGGCCGCCGGGCGCGCCGGAGGCGGCGGTCTCGCCGCCGAAGCCGCCGGGCACGCTCGCGTAACACGTGGTTTCGGTGTTGTCGTGGGCAACGGACGCGCCGCGACACAACACAGGCGCGTTACCAGAGGTGGAACCACTTCCGCTGGGGCTCGTCGGCGTGGTCGTCGCGCTTGCGGAGCTCCGCGTCCGTCCACCAGCGCTGCATGTCGTGGGCCGTGAACTCGATCGTGAGATTCGCCTTCTGCGCCGGGTTCACGTCGCCCTCGCGGATGTGCGTGATCTTGTTGCGGATCTCGAGGGGCACGTCCAGCAGCTTCTTCGTGCCCGGCGCGAGCGCCGCGACGGCGACCGTCGCCTTGCCGAGCCACGTGTTCGGGCCCACGCGGTTGTGGTCGATGACGGTGATGAGCAGCGCGCAGCCGACGTCGGCGCCCGTGAGGAGCAGCGTCTCGTCCCAGGTCGGCGTCTTCGTGTTCTTCCGCTCCGCGGTCTGCGCGACGCACCGCTTCTCCTTGGACTTCTCGTCGACGACCTGGATCCGCACGAAGGGGTTCAGGGGCCGCGCGCCGATGGCGTAGGGCGAGTGGAGCTGGGGCGTCACGTAGAGCACGCGCGCCTCGACGGCCGGCGGCGGGAACACGTCGGGCCGCGCGACGAGGTACGGAGGCTGCAGCTCGACGTCGTCTCCGCTATCCTCGCCCTCCGCGGCGACGTCCATGAAGTCGTCGGGCACGCCCTTGCCTATAGTTCTTCGTTTCAGGGGACGAAGGCGGCGCGGTTTCCCGGCTGTTTCCGGCGGACGCGCTCGCGGGCGGCCGAGCGTCGCGCGAAAACGGGAGGGCGGCCTCTCGAACGTTTCTCGCGGGACGCCGGACCGCGCCGATGCCCACCTCCACCAACACGCCGCGGCGCACGGTGAACTCGAAGCCGAGGCGGATCTTCATGCCCATCATCGACGCGACGACGAGCGCGCGGACGCGCTCGTCGGACGCGAGCTGCGCGAACTCCTGGCTGCCCAGTTTGCCCTTGAGCTTCGACGAGATTTCGCCCATCTTTTGCAGCGTGCTGTCTTTGCCGCTCGACTCCTTCTTCTCCGTCAGCGCGTAGAGCTTCACGTCCGGCGCGACGGAGGCGTCGAAGCTCGCCAGGTCGTTGGCGTCGAGGCCGGCCAGGATGGTCTTGGCGAGGTCCAGGGCCGTCACGTTCGGCGCCTCGAGGTCTGGGGCTGAATCGTCCTCCGGGTCCTTGGCGTAGGAGGCCATGTCGGGAGGCGGCTTCTTGGCCGACGGCGGGGCGCAGCAGGCGAAAATGCTGGGCCAGACGAGACGCCGCGAAGTCGATGGGGCAGTCGACGAGGGCTGCTAGGCATTGAGGAAGACATTGAAGTAGCGCGTGGGCCACCTCACCTTGTCGCACCTCACCTTGTCGACTCAGCCCGCACAACACCAAGCACCCTCTCTCGCACCACCACCGCGCGCCGCCGCGTCTGGTGCACTTTGCGCGCGCCAATGCGCCCGCACCCCGCCCCCCTCGCCTCCCGGTGCCCCTGCGACAGCGCGCGCAAGATTGGCGCACGCGGCGGCGCGCGTCCTCGTCGAGAATCGGGGAATCGACCGAGCGCGCCACGCAAGCGCCCATTGCACACTCGCAGCACGCGCGCGCGCCCTCCCAATTGCAACCCGCACGCCCATGGCTCACCGCGCACCCCCCACTCGCAGACACCCACCCACCACCACAATGCAGAAGATCGTCCTCGCCCTCGCCGCCGCGTCCGCCTCGGCGTTCGTCGGCCCCGCCGCGACGCGCCTCGCGACGAAGATCAACACGGCGACCATCGAGCCGGAGACGCCCGAGGAGGAGGTCGTCGCCGAGGTCGCGGCGCCCCCGGCGCCGCGCGCCTGGGCCATCGAGCAGGACATGCGCGCGGGCATCACGGGCCCCTTTGGCTTCTTCGACCCGCTCTCGCTGTCCGCGGGCAAGTCCGAGCAGCGCCTCAAGTACTTCCGCGAGGCCGAGCTCAAGCACGCGCGCGTCGCCATGCTCGCGGCCGCGGGCTTCCTCGTCGCGGAGAACTTCCACCCGCTCTTCGGCGGCGCCATCGACGTGCCGTCGTACGTCGCGTACCAGCAGACGCCGCTCCAGACCTTCTGGCCCGTCGTCGTCCTCTACGTGGGCATCGTCGAGATCTTCTCCGTCTTCACCTTCGAGTCGCCCTTCGAGGGCAACCTCTGGACGCTCAAGAGCGACCGCGTCCCCGGCGACTTCGAGTTCGACCCCGCGGGCCTCTACCCGGAGGACGCCGCGGAGCAGCTCGACATGCAGAACAAGGAGCTCAACAACGGCCGCCTCGCCATGATCGCCATGGCCGGCATGGTCGCCCAGGAGCTCGCCTCCGGCGCCAAGCTCTTCTAGAAACTCCCCCTCCTGTATAATTGATATCGTTCCGTTCCAGTTCCCGCGTACTCACCGGATGGCGCCGCGGGATCGTGCCGCAGCGCGCCGTGGGCGACCGGACAGTGCCAAATCCGCCGGCGCACGTGGCCACGCCGCGGCGCGCCGTGAGCGGCTGGCTCAAGCGTGGCCACGCCGCGCGCAGCGCGCCGCGGGCGCACCACCCCGACGGGCCTGGACGTCTGGAAGAGATTCGCTTACCCTTAGCGCCCTAGAGACACAGCTTGTTGAGGAGGTCGAGCGCCTGGCGCGCCTGGGGGTCGAGCTGGTCCTTGTTCGCGTTGGCCTGGCGGATGGCCTCGTCGACGTCGCCGCCGCCGAGCTGCTCCGCGAACATCTTCTTGATCTCGCGCTTGTCGTCGTCGCCGAGCTGGCCGCTGTCGACGAGCTGCTGGAGCGCCGCCATCTGGCCCTCGACGTCGGCCGGGTCGGGCATGCCCGGCATGCCCGGCATGCCCCCGGGCCCCGACGCGCCCGCGAGCGCCTCGAGGAGGCCCTCCGGGTCCTCGGCCTGCGCCTGCTCCATCATCTGCTGCACGAGCTTCGTGACGACCTGCTGCGCGAGGCGGTCCGCCTGCTTGTCGCTGATGGCGAAGATGGCCTGGAGCGTGTCCACCATGGCCACGTCCGCGGCCGCGGCCGTCGCGTCGCCGTCCTCGCTCAGGCCCGCGGCGACGCCCGCGGCCGCGTAGCGCGAGAAGAGCGACTGGAGCTGCGACTTGGACGCGCGGCCCTCGTAGACGACGGGCGTGCCCGCGTACTCCACGAGGCCGAGCTCCTCGAAGACGCCGCCCGCGGCCGCCGTCAACGCGACGACCTTCTGCAGCGGCGGGAGGCTCTCGGCGTCGGACCGCTTGAGGGACGGCACCGCGGCGTCGACGAGCGCCACGAGCACGGCGTTGACGACGTTCGCGAAGGTCGCGGCGGCCTCGGCCTTGTCCAGGCCGGCGACCATGGCCGCGAGCGTCGCGACGTCCTCGACGGCCACGGCGCGCGCCTCGGCGCCGTCCGGCGCCGCGGCGCGCGCCGCGGCCGTCGCGCGGACGCCAAAGTCGTAGTGGCTCACGCAGCCCGTCGCGGCGCACTGGGCGGCCCAGGCGCCGGCGAGGCCCGCGCCCGGGATCGCCGTCGCCTCGTGGTCCCGCGCCGCGTCCGTCGCCCGGGCGCCGAAGTCGTAGTGGCTCGCGGGCCCCACGGACGCCGAGTAGGCCTTCCACCGCTCGAGGCCCGCGTCGACGGCCGGCGCCGCCACGGCGCGGGCGTCGCGCGCCGCGACCCAGGGCGCGACGAGCTGGGACTGGAGCCCGGGGCTCACGACCAGCGCGTCCGGGATCGCCGAGATCAAGAGGCCCGCGACGGCCACGGAGAAGCGGCGCGCGGCGACGGCGGGGCCCTCGAGGGCGGCCTCCGCGGGCACCGTCAGCAGCTCCTCGAGCTCCACGGGCCGCGCGGGCTTCTTCCGGAAGACGTCGAGCACCTTGCGCGGCTTCTTCTTCGGCGGCGCGGCCGCGGCCTCGACGGCGGCCGCGGGCGCGGCGCGCTCGACGGCCTTCGCGGCCTCGACGGCCGCGGGCGCCACGGCGACGGGCTTCGGCGGCTCGAGCGTCACCGTCGACGGCGGCGCCGTCGCGAAGCTCGACCAGCGCGCCCGCCGCGCGGCCGCGCGCTTCTTGAGCTTTCGACGGACCGCGTTGACGATGGAGAACGCGAAGACGGCCGTCGCGAGGCCGCGCACGGCGTTGAGCAGCGGCGACGGGCCCCGCGCGACGACGAGCGTCGCCTCCGCCGCCACCTCCGCCGCCGGCAGGGCGGCCTCCACGGTCGACGCGACGGCGCGCTGCGCGAGCGACGCGCTCGCGACGGCGGCGGCGCGCAGGGCGCGGCGCTTCGCCTTGGGCGCCTTGGCGACGGGCAGACGCGGCAGGCGCAGGGCCTGGCTCGTGGCCAGCGCGAGCAGGAGCATCTTCTTCAAAGAGGAGGCCATCGGCCGCGGCGCCGTTCTCTAATCTCGGCGATTGGCGGCTTCTTCAGCTCATCATCAACCCAGATCTGCTCGCGGGGCGCGCGCGCGTGCCGGTGGTGTCCCGAGCGCCTCCTTACCGCAGCGGCCGAAGCCGCGCGAGCGCGTCGGCGAACGACGGCCGGTCGTCCGGGTCCGCGGCGCGCATGTCCGCGAGGAGGCGCGCCGCGGCCGCGGCCGCGGCGCCGCTCAGGTGGTCGAGGGCCAGCGGCAGGAGGTAGCTCCGCGCGGCGACGTCGAAGGCGTGGGTCTGGGCTGTGATGGGCGCGCAGGTCCCGCGCCGGCAGAGCCCCGCGGCCTCGGGCGCCGCCGTCGTGTTCGCGTCGCAGTGGCACGGGCCCGCGCCGGCGGCGCAGCCGCGGTCGTCGCGCGAGACGCCGCGGCAGCAGCAGTGGTACGCGTGCGTCGGCGGGCAGTCGGCGTCGGCCGCGCAGGGCCTCGGCGCGTCGCTCCGCGAGCTCCAGCGGCGCGGCCGGTCGTCGTCGAGGGGCCGCGGCCCGTCGACGAGGGCGAAGGAGACGGGGTCCGCCGCGTACGCGAACTGGTCCGAGCGAAAGTCCTCGAGGAAGAGGCCGCCGACGCCGGCGAACGACTCGAAGCACTCCAGGATGGCGACGGCGAGCGCCAGCGGCTCGGCCCGCGCGAGCGCCGCGTAGCCGCCGTCGATGTTGAGCTTTCTCGAGTCGCCGGCGGACGCGCCGTTCGCCGTCACGGTCCGCCCCGCCGCGAGGCTCCGTCCCGCGTCGGCGACGACGAGCGTCGGCAGGCCGCGCTCGAGCCAGCCGCCGAGGAGCAGCGGCACGCCGCGGCGACCCCGGAGGCCCACGAGGAACGCGAGCTCGTCTTTCGCGTGCGCGAGCGCGAGCGCGTGCGCCCGTTTTTTCGCGTCGCGGCGCTTCGGCTTCGCGTCGCGGCGCGCGCGCTTGACGACGACTCTCAGGTCGCCGACCCGGCCGCTCGAGATGGCCTTCACGATGCCGTGCCTTTGTAACGGATGCTTCACGTCCGTGACGTTACTCGGGCTCGTCACGCGCCAGGGACCCGGCGGCGGTCCGCCGCCGAGCCAGGCGTCGATGGCTGCGAGAGTGTTTTTCTGGAACCGCGCGCGGCTCGCCTCTTGCGGTGATTGCTGCGCGCTGACGACGATTGCTGCGAGCAGCGTGACGATGGGCTGCCGCATACGGCTGCTGCGAGCGGCGCGACAGGCTGCCGCAGTGGCTGCCGCGCCATACGAGACCTTCAAGCTGGGTTCTTGAACTGGTGCAACACTTTTGCGCGGCAGAGCATGGCGGCCTCGCAAGCCCTTCGTTGCTCGCTCGGGGATCTACCGGACGTCTTACTCGCCGGCGCGCTCGACTACTCTGACCTTGGCGAAGTCGCTGCGTGCGCCGCAGCGTCCATCCAGCTCCGCGACGGCCTCAGACGCGTCGCGCCGGCGCTCCAGCGCCGCTTCGTCTTTCGCCGCTTCCCGATACTCTCGACGATCGAGGCGTCCGCGGAAGCGCCGCCGCCGCCGCGCGAGCTCTTCCTGAGTCAGACGCGGCTGTTCGCGGCGGAACGGCCAGCTCTCCCGCCCTTGAGCCGATCGTTCGACGAATACGTATTCTCCATCGAACTGGAGCTGGTGATTTCGCACAGCAGCGATCAAGGAGTCGTGACGACGTCGCGCGAATCAATCTTCGTCGGCAAGGGAAAAGCGAATGACGATGAAACGCACGCACTCGTTTCCTTCGATATTCCGGCAGGCATCTTCGATCGAGCGTGGGAAAGCAAACGAGGACGTGCGGATCTATATTTGCGCGTTATGGCCTCCAAGGGCTTTTCGCGAGCTCGCCTTGGACATGGGACAGTAGATGAATACGAAGGTGGTCTTGAATACTACAGTCGAGGAATGTTATTTTACAATTTGAGTTTGGCGAACCGCCGGGGTTGGCGGCACGGAGAGATGGAGGGTTTGGATTGGCTCCAGGATCGCCAGTTAGAAGCTGACAATTTCCGCCTACCGATAGTTGAAGCATATTGGGATATGGAAGACGAATTCTTCGTTAGGGGTTTGTCGAAATTCTTCTTGGCCTTCCGATGGCAGAACCCGAACGACGACCACGAGATGAACCGCGAAGACGCCGCGCGCGCGCTCGAGCACTACGCCGAGTGGACCTAAAGAACGCTACTTCTTAATCTCCCCCTCCTCCACGGCGACGGGCACGGCCGCGAGGATCTTGTCCTGGAGGAGCGCGTGGCAGACGGCGGCTTTTGGAACCGCGCGCGGCTCGCTGAAGAACTTGCGGTGATTGCGCGCTGCTGAGAACGACTGCGAGAAGCGCGACGATGGGCTGCCGCATACAGCTGCGGCGAGCAGCGCGACGACGGATGCCGCATTACGAGAGCTTCAAGCTGGGTTTTTGAAGACTTGGTGCACCTGGAAAAGCCTCTGGACAATGGACAACTCGCGGCGGCGCTGGAGCGACGCCGAGAACGCCCTCTTCCTCCAGGGCCTCGAGGCCCTCGGCCGGACGCAGTGGCGGCGAATCGCGTCGGAGTTCGTCAGGACGCGGTCTGCGGAGCAGGTCCGCTCGAAGGTGCAGAAGCACTTCAAGACGCCGCCGCCGCCGCGGGAGGAGGAGGCGGCCCCTCGTCGCTCGCTCGGCGATCTGCCGGACGTGTTGCTCGCCGGCGCGCTCGACTATTGCGACCTGCGCGAAGTCGCTGCGTGCGCCGCAGCTTCCGTCCAGCTCCGCGACGGCCTCAGACGCGTCGCGCCGGCGCTCCAGCGCCGCCTCGTCCTTCGCCGCTTCCCGATACTCTCGACGATCGACGCGTCCGCGGAAGCGCCGCCGCCACCGCGCGAGCTCTTCCTGAGTCAGACGCGGCTGTTCGCAGCGGAACGGCCACCTCTCCCGCCCTTGAGCCGATCGTTCGACGAATACATTTTCTCCATCGAAGTGGAGCTGGTGATTTCGCATAGCAACGATCAAGGAGTCGTGACGACGTCGCGCGAATCAATCTTCGTCGGCAAGGGAAATCCGATTGGTGGTGATGCGGACGCACGAGCACGAGTTTCCTTCGATATTCCGGAAGACATCTTCAATCGAGCGTGGGAAAGCTATGGGGGAGGTCCGGATCTATATTTGCGCGTTATGGCCTCCAAGGGCTTTTCGCGAGCTCGCCTTGGACATGGGAAAGTAGATTTTTACGAAGGTGATATTGGACATGGGCGAGAAATTGTATTTTTCAATTTGGGTTTGGCGCCACGCCGGGGTTGGCGGCACGGAGAGACGGAGGGTTTGGATTGGCTCCAGGGACGCCAGTTAGACGCTGACTACTTCCACACACCGACAGTTGAAGCATATTGGACAGACGGAGAATCGTCTACCTTAGACTTGGACTTCCGATGGGCGAACCCGAACGACAGCAGCGAGATGACCCGCGAAGATGCCGCGCGCGCGCTCGAGCGCTACGCCAACTGGACCTAGGGCGCCCATAAAGAACGCTACTTCTTAATCTCCCCCTCCTCCACGGCGACGGGCACGGCCGCGAGGATCTTGTCCTGGAGGAGCGCGTGGCAGACGGCGGCGGGCGCGAGCGTCGCCGGGTGCTTCGCCGCCGCGGCGCCGGCGGCGACGGCGAGCTGGTTCGCGACGTGGAGCGCCGCGGCGCGCGCGCCGCGCGGGTCCGCGGCGCGCGAGACGACGTCCCGGTCGCCGAGCGCCGCGCGCGCCATGTCGGCCGGCGCCGTGGACCGGTAGACGCGCTCGCCGAACCAGCCCGGCCGCGCCGTGATGTCGTCGCCCTCGAAGGCGCGGGGCGTGGCCGCGCGCGCCTCGCGGACCCACCACGCGAGCTGCGCCGCGGAGACGGCGTCGCCGGCCGCCGCCGTCGCGTCGGGCAGCGCGTGCGCGGGCAGCGGCGCGAAGCCCTTGGGCAGGGGCTGGTAGGGAAAGTCGAGGTAGTAGCCGAGCCCCCCCGCGTCGCCCGTGCGAAAACAGTAGCCCGGCCGCCGTCCGCCGTACGTCTTCGCGGCGACGAACGTCGGCACGGCGGCCGTCGCCGCCGCCGGCGCGGCCGCCGCGGGCGGCGGGTCCACGGGCGCGGCGGCGAGGAGCGCCCAGACGACGTCCGTCGCCGTCGCGCCGTCGCCCTCGGACGCCTTCTGGAGCTCCAAGAGCGAAAAGCAGACGGCCTCCGGCGTGAGGCCCGGCTCCTCGAAGGCCGCGGCGCGCGATTGGGCCGCGGCGACGACGGCCTCGAGCACGGCGGGCCGCGCCTGCAGCGCGGCGATCGTCGTCGCCCAGGGCCCGCAGCCCGCCGCGTCCGCTTTCGCGAGCGACGCGGCCGTGACGAGGCCGCTCTCGTCGCGCGCGGCCGCGAGGCACTCGTGCCAGAAGTGGGCGACGGTCGCCGGCGGCAGGAACCGCTCGCCCGCGAAGCCCGCCGGCGCCGACGCCTCCAGGGCCGCCGCGAACTTGCCCGCGCCCTCGGCGCTCAGCGGGCTCCCCGGCTGCATCAAGTAGCTCGCGGTCATCGCGCTCACGCCCATCGCGAGCGACCCGCCGACGGGGCCGCACCAGAGGCCGTACCAGCCGAGACGCGCCGCGATCGACGGGCCCGCGCCGCCGAGCGCGTAGAACGCGCCGGCGCCGGAGACGTAGGTCGCGCCGAGCGCCACGCCGAGCGGCACGTCGTCGCGGATGCCCTCGGGCAGGGCGATGAGCGCCGCCGACGCGCCGGCCTGCGCCGTGAAGCTGCCGAGGGCGCGGCGCCACATCGTTCTTCGAGTCCTGCGGGAGTCGCGGACGTCGGCGCCGGAGGTCGAGCGCTTCGGCAAGTGCTGGCGTCGACCGACGGTCGCAGACGTCGTGCGCTCGGCCGCAGCCAGGCTGACTGGCGAAGGCTTCAAGGTGCCGTTCAATGTTGAACCTAAATGCCGCCGGCGCCGAGACGCTAGGCACACCCTGGAGGTTTTTTCTCTAAAGTTCCATCTGGAGGTGGCGCCGGACTTCCCGGTCCTTCAGGTCCGGGTGGTCGCCCCCGCGGAGCGCGTCGCGCATCTCGCCGCGGTGCGGCTCGCCGTCGCAGCGGGGCCCGCCGTGGCGCTTGTGCAGGAAGTCGCAGTAGGGCGCGCCGCGTCCGTCGGTCGTGCGGTAGACGTGGGGCCGCGGGCAGGCGCCGTGGTCGTCGGGCCGCCGCTCGTGGCGGTCGAAGGGGTCGCGGCGCCGCTTCTTCTTCTCCGCGGCGTCGTCGTCCTCGCCGAGCTTGCGCTTGCGCTCGAAGCCCGGCCGCGGGATGAGCTCGGCTTTCGTCTCCTCGGCGCAGGCCATGTCCTTGTAGGTCGCGTAGGTGCCGCCGATGTCCTCGAGCGCCCGGCGCCACATCTTGTTGCAGCGGAACGTGTTCCAGCCCGCGACGTCCCGCTCGAGGCAGCTCGTCGGCTCGCGGCGTTTGAGCATGGCGGAGAAGCAGGGGTAGAACCAGGCCGGCGACGAGTAGACGTGGTCCATGTCGACCTCGTAGAACTTGTCCCGGTCGACGGTCAGGTGCCCCGCGGACGCGTCCGACGCCCAGGCCACGGTCGTGATGACGTCGAAGCGCCACATGAGCACGGACCGGTACATGTTCTCTATAGTCGAGCCCGAGTCCGCCACGTGTCGTTCCAGCTTGTCGAAGGCCGCGACGATCGTCGCCTGCTGCGTCTCCTTGTCGCCGTTGCCCGGCACGAGGCCGAAGGCGCCCCGCTCGACGAGGTCGCTGTTGACGACGCGGTGCGGCCCGATCCAGCCCACGAGGTCCGCGTGCCAGCGCCGCGCCTCGGCGTCGGTCAGGGGCGCGTACGCGGCGCCGACGCAGCCGTAGGTGGAGACGAAGACGTCGACGGCGACGCCCTGCTTCTCCAGCGCCTCGATGACGTGCTCGACGATGTTCTCCGCGCAGGCCTTCTGCACGTCGTAGCTCGCCGGCAGGCAGACGACGTCGCGCTTCAGGTCGCTCGTCAGGCCCATGTGGAGGCCCCGGAAGGACTCGCCGCGCAGCAGCAGCGCGACGCGTCTTTCGTCGTTCTCCGGGTGCGACGCGGCGGGCGGCGCGTCGTAGCAGACGGGCGGCGGGTCCTGCTGGACGATGGCGACCGCGACCGCGACCGCGAGCGCGGCGACGAGGCGCGGGGCAGCCGCCATAATACCACACGGCAACGTTCACCCATCGTTGGTTTCATTGTTCAGTTTGTTCAAACGCAGTTTGTTCAAACGCTGCCCGACCTCGTCACGTCAATCGAGCCCTCCGGCCGCCACGCCAGACCTTTGGTCGAGCGCCTGCGTCGGCGCCGAGGCGCTTGTTCCACACGTCGGTGATCTCGCGTTGCATCGTAAACCATGCCCCTCGGTACCCCAGACAAGCCGCGGAGCCCCTTCGCGAGCGTGCCCAACGGGTCGTCGCCCTGCGGCCTCGCGGCGATTTTGAAGAAGGCGTCGACGCCGCCGAAGCGGGCCGCGTCGACGCCGCCGAAGCGCGCGGCGACGCCGCCGCGGAGAGCGACGACGCCGGACGCGACGACGCCGCCGCGGTCGCGGCGGAAGACGCCCAAATCGTCGCGCGGCACGCAGACGCCGCCGCGGTCCGCGGACGCCGCGGCCGGCGCGTCGACGCCGCCGCGGTCCCGGCGGCGCACGCCGCGGTCGTCGCGGTCCGCGAAGGCGACGCCGCCGCCGTCGCGCGCGTCCGACGTCGACGCGCTGCGCCACGTGGACCTCGAGGCCGACGACGCCTTCGCGTGCCTGCTCCACGACGCCGTCACGTCCGCGCGGAAGAAGGCCGCGTCGGCGAAATCCGCGCGCGCGTCCGCGCGGCGGCGCATGCGCCCGCTCCGCGAGGACGCGGACGTCGAGGCCTGGCCCGAGATGCCCCTCCCGGCGTCGCCGACGCGCGCGCCGGACGACGACGACGCGCCCGCGCCGACGCGCGCGCCGGACGACGACGACGCGCCCGCGCCGACGCGCGCGCCGGACGACGACGACGCGCCCGCGGCGCCGGACGCGGACGCGGCGCCGGCCGCGGCCGCGCCGTCCCTCGCGGGCATCGCCGGCGAGGCGCGCGCGCGGCTCTCGGCGGCCATGGTCCGGCTCCTCAACGCCGCGAGCCAGGACGAGCTCAAGGACGTCCTCGCGGGCATCGGCGTCGTCCGCGCGCGGCGCGTCGTCGAGGCGCGCGCGGAGCGGCCCTTCGACGACCTCGACGAGGCCCTCGCGCGCCTCGGCCTCAGCAAGCGCCAGGCCGAGAACATCGTCCTCGCGAACCTCCAGCAGATCCTCTGCTTCCCGGCCTGAGCGCGGTTGCTTACCAGTTGAGCGTGCTGTGCTACGCTGTTTTCTTTTTTTTTTTGGACGCCTTGCGACCTTCCCGAGGCGCCGCGGAGGGGTCTCGGAAGGCGCCGAGGGGCTCGAGGCGTGCGCACACCGACGCCGTCGACGTCGCGGCCGGTCCGCGCCGCGGCTCGCGACCGCTTCGCTAGTGGCAAAGCAATGGGCGTGCTGAGCGCAGCGTGAGGGCGTCGGGCAAAATCCAGCGCTGAACGTCGTCGAACAGCGCCCGCTGAAGACAACAAAGAATAATGGAGCAGGACTCGCTCCCGGCCACCGTCTTCGCGGAGCAGGAGTCGCCGCTCGCGCTGGCCCAGCGCGTCGCCGCGTCGGCCCTGCGGCGCGCGGGCGCCCTCGTCCCCTGCGGCGCGATATCGTCGCCCGCGTGCCTCGGCGCCGCGCGTCGCTGCGTCGTCGAGCGCGAGTCCTTCGCGGAGCACGCGTGGGCGCCGTTCCGCGCGCTCGCGCTCGCGCCGGGCCTCGCCGTCGCGGCGACGCTCGGCGCCTACGCGGTCTTCGTCGTGCTCTACGGCGTGCTCTGGGCGCCGCTGACCGCGGTCCTGCCCGAGCCGCTCGCGTGGGCGTGCGTGCTGCTGGGCCTGAGGCGGGGCGGCGGCGCGCTCGCGCGCTTCGCGACGTTCCCCGGGTCCTTCGCGACGGTCCGCGGCGAGGTGGAGCGCGAGTACGGCCGGCGGCTCCTGGGGCGCCTGGAGCACGCGTGCTACGCCTTGGAATCCTGGTGGATCGACCTGCACCCGCGCGCCGCGTCGGCCGTGGACCAGGAGGCGTTCGCGCGCCACTGCCGCGAGGCCTGGGAGGCGCGCGACGCGATCCTCAAGCCCGTGCTCGACGCCGTCGACGCCGCGCGCGGCGCGGGCGACGTCGACGTGGGCGACGTCGCGGACCTGCCGGACCTCACGCCCCGCGCGGCGGAGGCGCTCGAGGGGTTCCGCGCGTGCCTCGCGGCCGCGGTCGACGCGTGCGGCGCCGCGGAGCGCGCGAGTTTGGAGCTCCTGGCCCTGCGGCCGCGCCAGTTCACGGCCGCGCACCGGGACGCGACGCGGCGCGGCGCGCCGGGCGCCGCCGCGGCGCTGAAGCTCATGGACGCGTGCCGGGCCCTCGCGGCGGCCTGCCCGCGGCTCCGCGAGGGCGGCGACGGCGACGGCCGGCGGCGCCAGGCCCCGGCGCCGGGCGCGGCCGCGGCCGCGGGCCGGCTCGCGCGCGACGCCGCGGCCGGCGTCGGGCGGCTGCTGCGGTCGCCCTGCCCGCCGCCCGCGGACTGCCCGCTGGGCGTGGGCCTATTGCGGGCCGAGTTCGTCTTAGCCTACGGCGCGACGCAATTTTGGGTCGACGCGGCCGACGGCACGCGGCTCGACTGCTGCGTCGTGCCGCCGTGCTTCGGGCGGCCCGAGGCGGAATCGGCCCCCGAGGCGCCGCCGGACCCGAGTCCCAGCGCGCGGCGGCGCGGCGCGAGCCCGTCGCGCTGCTGCCGGCGGCAGGCGACCGGCGACGACGCGTTCCCCGCGCGCGGCGCGGCGCGGCCCGCGCCGACGGTGCTCTTCTTCTCGCCCAACGCCGTGCTCTACGAGTCCTTCGGCATGGCGCCCGTCGACGGCGCGGGCTGGGTCGCGACCTACGCGCGCCTGGGCCTCCAGGTCGTCGTCTGGAACTTGCGGGGCTACGGGCGGACCAAGGGCGCGCCGCACCCGCGCCGGAACGCGGACGACGCGTTGGCCGTCGTCGCCTATTTGCGGGACCGCTGCGGCGTTACGAAGCTCGTGCTCCACGGCGAGTCCATCGGCGGCATGTGCGCGACGCGCGTCGCCGCGGCGCTCGCGCCGCCCGGCGGCGCGCCGGACGGCGCCGCGCCCCTGGCGGTCGCGCTCGTCGCGGACCGGACCTTCGCGAACCTGCGCGTCGAGGCCCAGTACTTGACGGGCGTCGCCGGCGTCGCGTCGCTGCTGGGTCTGGTGACGGGCTGGGGCGAGCGGGACACGGACTCGCGCGCCGACTACGCGGCGGCGCACTGCCCGAAGCTCGTCGCGTGCGACTGCCGCGACCACATGATCCCGGACCAGGCGTCCCTCAAGGCCGGCGCGGCGGCCTTCAAGGTGCTGGGCGCGGCGACGCTGCGGCGCGCGGACCTCGACGGGGCCCTCCGCGTCGCGGACCTGAGCGGGCTGGCGCCGCCGCCGCCGGACGGCGACACGCTCCGCGCGCTCCGCGCGGGCGCGCTGACGCCGGCGAGCCTGGCCCAGCTCTTCGCCGCCGTGCGCCACGTGCACCGCAGCGCGCGCGCGCGCGCGCCCCGCGCGGCCGCGGCGGCCGCCGCGGACCCGCGCGCGCCGCAGCCCTTCGCGGACGTCGAGGCGGGCGAGGCCGCCGTCGCCGGCGCCGCGGCGATCCTAGCGCGCGTCGACGGGGGCTGCGGCATGGCCCTGGGCCAGGCCTGCGGCCTGGACCTCGGCGCGCTCACGTCCTGGGCCTGCGCGGCGGCCGCGTGGCCCAACGGCGCCGCGCACAAGCTCCTCGACGGGCCGCCGCCGGACGCGCTCGCGAAGAAGGGCGGCGGCGACGGCGACGACGACGACGACGACGGCGGCGACGACGACGGCCTCGACTGCGCGCCGCCCATCGCGCCCCGCGACGCCGCGGCGGCGCTCGCGGAGCTCCGGCGGACGCGCGGCGACGACCTCGGCGACGCGGCCGACGCCGTCGCCTACGTCGCCGAGTTCCTCGCGAAACTCGCGGACGTCGCCGACGCCGCCGTCGCCGCCGCCGCCGACGCGCGCGACCCGGCGCTCGGCGCGCTCCTCGTCCTCGGCTGCGGCCACAACGCGCCGTGGCGCCGCGGCGAGCGCGACGCCTACCTCGCCTGGCTCGGGAAGGAGCTTTAAAATTCTAAACTCGCAGTTTCGGAGAAAGGCGGTCAATTAGCCCCGGGGTCGGTGGGAATAGCAATCTGGTTGATTCTGCCAGTAGTCATACGCTCGTCTCAAAGATTAAGCCATGCATGTCTAAGTATAAACGATTTTGTACTGTGAAACTGCGAATGGCTCATTATATCAGTTATAGTTTATTTGATAGTCCCTTACTACATGGATACCCGTAGTAATTCTAGAGCTAATACAACCCTCGCGCGCGCGCGCGCCCGTCGCCGCGCGCGTCCGCGAATACGGCCTTTTCTCCCGCCTTCGCGCGCGCGCCGCCGCGCCTCCTCGACGCCACTCGTCCCTCGCGCCGCCCACGCCCCGCGACGACGTCGCGCACGGCCCGCTCGCGACGCGCCGCGACCCGTCGCGCCCGCGCTGCGCGCCGCCGAGGCCTCGCGGCACCGTGCCTGCACGCTGAAGTCGAGCTCCGGAGCTCCAGGCCTTGGCCACTTCGGCAGCTCGCATGCGCACCGTCGTCCCCGTCGGCGCCGCCGCCGCGCAGAGCACCTCGACGAGCTCCGCCTCCTCCTTCGCTAGCTCGACGAACGCGTTCCACCGGTAATCGACGCCGCAATGATTCGGCGCGCGCTCCTGTTCGTGGCGGCCGCCGCCGTGACCCACGCGTTGAGCGCGGTGCCGACGAAGAAGCTCATCGCCGTGACCGGCTCGACAGGAAAACTCGGCCGCCGCGCAGTCGAGGCGGTAGTGCAAAGCGGCCATCGCGTGCGCGCACTCGTCCGTCACGATCCCGCGTCCAGCGCGTCCGACGGCGCGACGGCGACGGGCCCGGAGGTGACCGCGTGGCTCTCGACTCTGGGAGACGACGTCGAGCTCGTCAAAGGCGACGTCACGAACGCTACGAGCGTCGCCGCGCTCGTCGAGGGCGCGGACGCGTGCCTCTCGCTCCACGGCGCCGTGCGCCGCGCGAAGATCTCGGACCTCTGGCGCGACCCCACCGTCGACGCGGACCACGCGCGGAACGTGAACTACAAGGCCGTCGCCGGCCTCATCGGCGCGTGCGAGGCGGCCGGCAGCGTCCCGCAGCCGTGACGATGTTCGAGAGATTTTGACCGGATGAAAAATCGTTACCGACGCGTGCGGTAGGCGGCCGGCTGCCGGCGGCTCGTGCGCGTCACGGGCAAGGGCGAGACGCCCTGGTCCTTCTTCTCCATCCTCATCAACCTGCTGGGCTCCCACGCCAAGGCCTGGAACTACGAGGGCGAGCAGTTGTTGCGCGCGTCGTCGCTCGACTACACGATCGTGCGGCCGGGCGTCATGGGCACGGCCTCCGAGCTCGCGGACGACAGCCTCGCGCTCGCGGACGACGGCGGCGACCTCAAGGTCTCGGCGATCCCCCACGCGGCCGTCGCGGCGCTCTGCGTCGAGGCGCTCGACGCGCCGGGCGCCGCGCGCGCGACGCTCACGGCCATGTGCGTCGAGCCGGGCGACGGCGCGGCGTCGTGGGCGCCGCTCCTCGCCGCGGTGCGGCCGGACCGGCGGGCCTTCCGCGACGACCTCCTCGCGGAGCACTACAAAGCCGTCCGCGTCGGCGGCGCGGCGCTCGCGCTCGTCGGCGCCGCGGTCCTCTCCGGCGTCGTCGCCGCGGCCAAGGCCGTCGCCGGCGCGGTCGCGGCGCTCCTCCTCCGCTAAGAAGACGAACATCCGAACGTTAGGCAGCGAGCTCCTCCATGTCCGCGGCGGTGAAGAGGACGGCGACGGACCCGTCGGCGACGTCCGGCGCGGCGCCCGGCGGCCAGGCGACGAGCGCGGGCGCGCGCGCGGCGCCCGCCTTTCCGACGAGGAGGCCGCAGCCGCCGTAGGAGCTGAGGTCCGACGCGCCGAGGTCGTCGCCCGCGCGAACGATCCCCCGGGCGACGACGTCGCCGCGACCCGCGAGCGCCGCGATCTCCGGCGAAAAGTCCCGCCCCGCGGCCGCGAGGAGCGCGTCCCTCAGCGCGGGCGTCCTCTCCATGAGCCCCTTCGTCGCGTCGTTGGGGAACTCGAAGACCTGGGTCAGCCGGTCGGCGACGTAGGCGTAGGGCCGCGCGGGCGTCCCCGCGAGGAGCTCGAGGAGCCCGCCGGTCCGCCCCGCGCCGAGCGTCGCGACGACGTCGGCCTCCGCGGCCGCCGCCGGCTCGAACGGCGGCGGCCTCTCCGGCGACCCGCGCGGCGACGTCAACGCGGCGAAGACGGAGCGGCGCCGCGGGCTCGCCGCGGGCCGCGGCGGCGCGTCCGGCGCGCGGAGGCACCGCGCCTCGCCCCGGAGCACGAGGAACCACGACTCGCCGACGCAGAGCGTCGCGCCCGTGGCGTAGGCCGGCCGCCGCGCGAGGGCCGCGAGGGGCCCCAGGCCGTGGAGGCGGTCGAAGATGGCGAGGCCCGGCAGGTTCTTGAGCTTGGCGAGCGCCGTCGGCGGCGGGATCGCCGTGCGACCAAAGTCGAGCCGCGCGGCGGACGCGGCGAGCGCCGCGCGGAGCACGCGCTCCTCGCGGCTTCCGAGCTCGCCCGCGTGCACCCGCTCCAGCACGTCCTCCGTCTCGCGCGCGAGGACGACGCGCGCGGCCGCCTCCGTCGTCACGGACCGCGCGACCTCGGGGAACGCGCCGAGGTACTCGTCGAGCCACCGCGAGGCCTTCTCCGCCTCCTCGGCGAGCTCGGCGCCCGCCGCGTCCGCCGTCGCGCAGCCGCCGCCGGCGAGCGCCTCGGCGACGGCCGACGTGGCCCGCGCGTAGCAGGACGCGACGTCGAACGCGTAGGCCAGATTCGCGCGGAAGAGCCGGTCCAGGATCGGCGCGCGCGCGGAGAACCGCGACGCGCAGCGGCCGAAGCCCAGGCCGCCGCCCGCCGCGAAGCGGTCGAGCTGGGGCCGCACGCGGGCGTCCCAGGACCGCAGGTCGCCGCCGGCCTCGACGCCGTCCCGGAGCTCGTCGCAGACCACGAGGAGCGTGTCCACGGCCGTCGCGCGCGCGTAGCCCGCCTCGCTGAGCCGCCAGAGCTCCGCGCGGACCATGCGCGCGGCGCGGCGCCGCTGCTCCGTGTCGCAGCGCGCCGCGGCGCCCGCGGCGCCGAGCGCGACGAGCTCCCGGTCGCCGTCGGCCGCGGCGGCGCCGCCGAGCACGCGCGCGACGCTCGCGCGGCGCCGCGGCGGCTTCGCGCTCGTCGGCGTCGGCGCGGCGTTGGGACCGCCGAAAGCTTTCGCGTAGCCGTGCCAGCGCTTCGCCATGAGCGGCGCCGCGCCGGCCTCCGTCGCCGCGAGCCGCGTCCGGTACGTCTCCGCGTCGTGGACGGGCAGGTACCGCAGGCACGTCGCCCAGTCGCAGTCCACGAGGAAGCGGTCGTCGTCGCGGAGGCGCCGCGCGTGGTCGTCGGACGCGAGGCTCAGCTCGCGGCCGACGGCGACGAACTCCGCCTCCGCGGACGCGGACTTCTCCGAGAGGCCGACGCGCGAGAGCACGTACTCCATGGTCGTGCCGTTGACGCAGAGGCTCAATAACGTGATGCCGGCGACGTGGAAGACGACGGCGTGGCGCACGTCCGCGTGGACCGCGTGGTCCTCCTCGACGATCAACGCGAGCGTGAGGCCGACGGCGCCGCGGAGCGCGCCCCACCAGAGCGCGACGCCGAACTTCCAGTCCATGCCGTAGCCCATGCGCCGCAGGAGCGGCCAGGCCACGAGGAGCACGACGAAGCGGATGACGTGGAGCGACGCGTAGAGCACCGCGAGCTGCCCCAGATCGCGCGCGACGTGCTCGCTGTGCGAGAGGCGCACCTCGACGATCAGGCCCGCCACGAAGAAGATGAGCGTGTTCGCCACGAAGCCCAGGGCCTCCCAGGTCGCGTGGAGGTCGTGGCCCACCGTCGCGGACACGCGCGACGCGCCCTTGGAGCCCACTATCAACCCGAGCGCGACGACGGCGAGGACGCCGGACGTGAGCGCCTGGCCGTCGACCGTGATCATCTCCGCGATCAGGAACGTGCCCATGGCCGCGACGATGGTCAGCGTGATCTCGCTGAGGCCGTCGTCGTAGATGTAGGACAGGCCCAGCACCGTCGCGCCGCCGACGAGCACCCCTAGAAGGACGCCGCCGCCCGCGAGCCGGAGGAAGTAGACCGCGACCTCGCCGCCGTCGATGCCGCCGCCGTTGCCGCGGTCGCGGAGCTCGTGGAAGAAGACGTTGAAGACGACGATGGCCGTGCCGTCGTTGAAGAGGCTCTCGCCCTCGATGAGCGTGCCCACGCGCTTCGACACGCCGAGCTCCTTGAGCAGCGCGACGACCGCGACGGGGTCCGTCGCGGACAGGATCGCGCCGAGCATGAGGCTCGCGGCCCAGGTGAACTCCCGGCCCGCGAAGAGCCACCGGGCGACGCACGCCGTGAGCGCCGTCGACAGCGCGACGCCGGGCACCGCGAGCGTCAGCACCTGGAAGAGCTCGCGGAAGAGCGTGTGGACGTCGACGGAGAAGGCGCTCTCGAAGATGAGCACGGGCAGGAAGAGGTACATGAGCAGGTGCGGGTTCACGCGGTCCCAGGCGCGCACGGACCGGTGCAGCGGCTTCTTGTCGTCCGCGCCCTCGTAGTCGACGCCCCAGCCCACGGCGACGCCCGCGAGGAGCAGCAGCACCGTGTAGGGGATCTTCGACTTGGCCAACAGGGTCTTCGCGAGGACGCCGAAGAAGAGGGCGACGACGAGCAGGATGAGCGGCGCCGCGTGGTTCGCGTGCTCGCCGCCGTGGGCGTGGGAGGAGGAGTCGTGGCCGTCGTCGTGGGAGGCGTCGCCGTGGGAGGCGTCGCCGTGGCCGTCGTCGGACACCGCAGAACCGTCGTCGTCGTGGCCGTCGCCGAGCACCGCGATGGCGAGGCAGGCCGCCACCGCTAGCACAAGCCATGGGCGCGCCCTCATCGTGTGGCCCGGGCAGCCTCGCAAGGCGATTCGTTGAATGTGCAACTCGCTGTCGTTGAAGGTCGACGATCGAAGTGGTCAGACCGTCTGACTCCGACTCTAGAGACCTCCCGCTTACGGCAAAGAGCCCGCCTTCTCCGCGAGCGCGAGGCTCGCGCCGCAGAGGAGCGAGTGCGCGGCGGGCCCGTCGGGCTCCGCCGCGGGCGGCTCGCGCGCGGCGGCGGCCGCGGGCTCCGGCGCCGGCTCGGGCGTCCGCGCGCGGGGCTCGGGCGTCCGCGCGCGGGGCGGCGACGCGCGCGCGGCGGCGGCGGCCTTGCGGCCGGCGGCGGGCCCCGTCACGGCGACGGCGACGACGTGCTCGTGCGTGTGCCACTCGATGGGCTCGCCGTCGGGCCCGAGGAGCTGGATGTGGCCCTTGATGAGGTCGTTCTGCAAGTCGCCCTTGGAGCCGCCGAGGGCGATGAAGACCTTGGCGTTCGTCGCGGACTTGTAGCCCTCGTAGCGGGCGCGGGACGCGCCGCCCTTGGGGTTGTGCTGGCGGACCGCGAGCGGCACGGCGTCGCCGACGAGCATCGCGATCGCGGCCATGGGCAGCGGGTGCTTCGACGGCGCGCGGCCGCCGCCGGCGGAGGCTTTGGGCTTCGCTTTGCCGGCCTTGGCCGGCGCCGCGGCGCGCGGCGCGGGCGCCGCGGGCGCGAGGTCCGCGCAGTCGGCGCCGCCGCGGCGGAGCCGGCACCGGTCCGACACCGCGGCCGTCGACGCGCAGGCGTGGACGAGGCCGTCGAGGAGCGCGAGGCGCCGCGCGGCGCCCAGGGCGCCATAGGCGCCCCGGGCCGCGCGGAGCGCCGCGCACGCGTCGAGCGCCGCTTTCGAGGTCGCGCCCGCGCCCGCGTCGTCCGCGTCGACGCGCGCGTCGCGGAAGACGCAGGCGGCCGCGAGGGCGGGCCACGTCGCCGCTGTCAGGGTCTCCGGCGGCGGCAGGGGCCGCCACCACTGCTGGCGCTCGCAGGCGTCGTCGAGCGCGCGGAGCGCGAGCGCCGCGCCGCGGTCCTCCGGCGCCGCGTTCTCGCCCTGGCCCGACCGCGGCGGCCGGACCCAGCGCGGCCCGGACTCCTCGACCTCGGCGGCCTCCAAATCCTCGCGGTCCCCCGCGAGCTCGCCGGAGACGTAGCGCACGCTCCAGAGCGCCGCGGGCGCGCCCGCGTCGTCGAGGAAGTCCGCCTCCTCGGGCGGCAGGTAGCCCTCGACGAGGCCCACGGACGAGCTCGTCTGCTTGCCGTTGCTGTAGACGGCCCGCGTGATCCACATGCCCACGTGGGGGCCCTCCGTGCGCCACTCGGCGCCGAGCGCGGGCGCGCCGGGCTTGTCGGGCGGCTTCTCGGTCTTCGCGGGGTCCGCGTTCTCGTCGGCCTTCGGCTTCCCGGGCGCGGGCGACGGCGCGGCCGCGTCGTCGTCGTCGTCGCTCTCGTCCTCGGGCCGCTCGCGCCGGCAGGCGAAGAGCCGGTCGCCGAGCGCGACGCGGCAGAGCGCGACGTGCGTCGCCTCCGCGAGCATGGCGGCGAGCTTCGAGCGGCCGTCGTCGGCGAGCATGGCCGCGAGCGCCTCGAGCGGCGGCGCCGCGACGTTCAGCAGCGGCGCGAAGGACCCGAGGAAGTCGGCGACGCGGAGCAGCGCGTTGACGTCGCCGAGGCCCTCCGGCAGGCCGTCGTCCTCGGGCGGCTCGGTCGCGCCGGCGACGGCGAGCCGCCGGCGCCGCGCGCGCGCGGCGGCCCCGCGCGCGACGCGGAACGACGCCGCCACGTCCGCGTCCTGGGGGGACAGGGAGAAGTGCGCGACGAGCGGCTCCTCCGTCGGCGCCGGCGCCGCGGCGCGCGCCGCGGGCGACGCGCGCGGCGCCGGGCTCGGCGCCAGGCTCGGCGCCGGGCTCGGCGCGGCCGCCTCCGGCTCCGCCGCGTCCGGGATCGCCTCCGGCGGCGCGGGGCCCAGGGTCGCGACCGGGGGCGCGGGGCCGAGCGTCGCGACCGGCGGCGCGGGACCCAGGGTCGCGACCGGCGGGGCGTCCGCGTCCGCCGCGTCCTCTTCGACGACCTCGTCCTTTCCGCCCGTCGTGAGCCGCACGCGGAGCGCGCGGCGCGCGGGCCCCGGCGGCGGCGGGCCGCGGCGCTCGGCCCAGTAGGCGTCGCCGACGGCCGCCGCCGCGGGGCGCTCGCGGCCCCCGGCGACGCGCACGGCGACGACGCGCGGCGGCCAGCGCGCCAAACGGAGCTCGCAGGCCATGGGCTTGAGCCACGCGGGCGTCTTGCCGCGGCGCCGCCGCTTCCGCGGCGGATCGTCGCCGTCGTCCGCGGGCTCGTCGGGCTCCGCGAGCTTGAGCCGCACGGTCGCGAAGCGCGCGCTCGGCGGCGCCCGCGCGTCGCCGCGGAAGGGCGCGCCGCACGCGTCCGCCATGGCGGAAGCGCGCCGCGCGGCCGCCGCGGCGTGCAGCAGGAGGCGCTCGAGCACGGCGTCGTCCTCGTCCTGGGCCGCGGCGCACTCCGCGGCGACGGACGCGGAGAGCGCATACGCCGCGGCGCCGTCGCGCGCGTCGTACGTCCGGTCGCGCGGCGGCGCGGGCGCCTCGGACGCGCGCCGCGCGGGCGCGGGCGCGCCGGCGAGGCCCAGCGCGCGCGCGATCTCCGCCTTGGACCGGAACCGCTTGCCGAACTCGTCGAAGTAGTAGCGGTCCGTCGTCCCCGCGCTGCTCCCCGTCGGCCGGTCGTGCACCTCCGTGCGCCAGCCGTCCAACATCGACGCGTCGCCGCCCCACTCCTCGACGGCGTCCTCGAGCTCCTCCATGGCCTGCTCCGCGTGCGGGTCCTCGACGCGCGGCATGGTTTAGTGAATGCGCGGCGACGGCGAGCCTGCGCACGCCGGTAACACGCCTAAGTGTGCGTCTCTAGCTTTGAAACGCGGTGCACATCGGCCGCGGCGGCGACGATTTTGACCTCACACAAATGCTTGAGACGCGGCTTGAGGCACGGTGCACTCGGCAGCCCGACGATGGACGAAGCTTGAGCTCCAAAATGCGTGCGTGACGCCAGTCTAGCAGTGCTGCAACTCCGGCGACGAGGCGGTTGCACACGGACGCCGAGCTGCCACTGACAAAAAAAACACAAGAGGCCGCCCATAGCAAAGACACAACCAACTATGATCGCGGCCGGCGCGCCGGTTGGCGCCGACGAGGTCGCGCACGCGCTCGAATCGCTGGACGAGGAGGAGCGCGTGCTGCGCGAGGAGCTGGCGGAGGTGCTCGCCCGGCGGCGCATGCTCGACGAGCTCCTCAAGGCGCGCCAGAGCAAGGTCTCGCCGTTCCCGCCGGCGCCGCCGCCGGCGTCGGACGTCGTCGTCGCGCGCCCGCGGGGCGCGCGCGTCGCGCCGGTGGGCCTGCCCGGGCTCGAGCTCGCCGTCGCGCCAAAGGGGGCGACGCCGCGCGTCGCGCCGGCGGACGACGCGGCGCGCGCCGTCGTCGCGCAGCGCTCGTCGGCGACGCCGCGCGTCGCGCCGGTCGCGACATCGCAAGAAGCATCATCGGACGTGACCATGAAATCTTCCGCGACGCCGCGCGTCGCGCCCGCGGCGGGCGCAACATCAGAAGTCTTTTCAGAGCTCGCCATGCGCTCTTCGGCGACGCCGCGCGTCGCGCCGGTCCCGACATCGCAAGAAGCATCATCGGACGTGGCCATGAAGTCTTCCGCGACGCCGCGCGTCGCGCCGGCGGACACCACGTCAGAAGTCTCTTCAGAGCTCGCCATGCGCTCTTCGGCGACGCCTCGCGTCGCCCCAACGGACGCGACGTCGCGCGAAGCATCGCCGGAGCTCGCCGCGCGCTCGTCGGCGACGCCGCGCGTCGCGCCAGACCCGAAAGAGGCAGCAGCAGACCTTGCCGCCCGCGACGACGTCGCGTCGCCCCTCGCCGCCGCGTCCGACGACGAGAACGACGAGGCGCGGCTCCTGTCGGACGCCTCCTCGACGCGGCTCCTGTCGGACGCCTCCTCGACGGAGTCCTCGCAGGACGCCTCCTCGGCGCGGCTCCTGTCGGACCCGGAGTCCTCGCAGGACGCCTCCTCGGCGCGGCTCCTCGGGCCGCGGCCGGCGAAGCGGCTCGGCTGGGCCGCGTCGGCCGCGCTCGGCGTCGACGTCGCGCTGCGGAGCGGCCGCGTCGCCGCGGACGTCGTCGCCGTCGTCGCCTGGGCCCGGCGGGGCGGCCTCGTCCAGGCGCTCGGCGGCCTGGCCTGCCTCGCCGCGGCCTACGTGCTCGAGGTCGGCGTCGCCGACGACGCGCGCGCGCCGCCGGGCGCGGCGGCGGCGGCCGCGGCGGGCCTGGGCCTCGCGTTCCACGCGCGCGAGAGCTGCCGCGGCGGCCGGCGCACGGAGTCCTACGCGACGCTGCGCGCGGCGACGACGCTCTGCGCCTTCCCCATCGTGCTCGCGCGCGCCTACGACGCCGCGGCCGGCGGCTGGCGCGCGGACGACGCGGCCGCGGGCCTGGCGCTCGGCGTCGCGGACCAGGCGCTCGCGGCGGCGGCGGCGACGCTGGGCGCGCCGACGATGTGGCGGGCCCTGCGGTCCGCGCGCCTGCGCGTCGCGGCGCTGGCGGCGCTCTGCGCGGCCTACGGCGCGGACGTCGCGTGCCGCGCGTCCGCGTACGCGGCGGTAGCGAGAGCGAGCTGGGCCGCGGACGGCGAGGCGCGGTTCGGCGAGGGCCCGGACCTCGGCGCGGCGGCGCCGCTGGTCGTCCTCGCCGCCGACGTCGCCTTCCTGGTCCTCGTCTCGCGGGGCTGCGCGCGCCACGACCGCCGGGGCCGCGGCACGCGCGGCCGCGCCGCGGTCCGCGCGTTTCTCTGGCTCGCCGTCGACGTCCCCCTGGACTACGACCGCCACGTGAGACTCGCGTGGGCCCACCGCGCCGTCGTCGCCTTCCACGGCGCGCTCCACGTCGGGCTCAACCTGCGCTACCGCCGCCACGCGCCGCTCGCGCGCTTCGTCGCGGGCGACGACTACGTCGCGGCGCTCGCGGCGCTCGCGGGCGCCAAGGTCCTCGTCTTCGTCGGCTTCTGGGCTGCCCACGCGCTCTTCGCGGCGGCGGGGGACCCGGCCCGGGGCGACGCCGTCGCCGTCGCGCCCGACAGCGCGCCCGTCGAGCTCCGCGCGATGCTCCCCGCGCGGCGACGGAACCTCGTGTAAGAGCGCGCCCCCGCCTCAGTCCGCGTCCCCGTAGAGCTCTTCCAGGCGTGCAGTTACCCGCGCTCAGTCGCGGCGCGCGGACGCGTCGCCGTACTTGTCCTCCAAGTCCGCGTTGCGGCGGCGGTCGTCCTGGCGCCGCGGCTTCGGCTCCTCCTCCGCCTCGGCGGCGTCGTCGGCGTCGTCCGCGGCGCGTCCCCCGCCGCCGCCTCGGGGCGCGGCGTCCGCGAGCGTCGGCGCGACGTAGCGGGCCTTGGCGGGGCTCTTCGACCGGGACCGCTGGCGGTAGGAGAAGCGGTCCGCGGGCACGATGAGGGCCGTGTTGTAGCCGATGGGCCGCTTGTGGACGTCGCCGCGGTGGTCCGCGACGGCGAGGTCGCGCTCCCTGCGGATGACGTCGCCGAGGATGTCGCGGCCCGCGAGGAGCGACACGCCCTCGGCGGGCGCCGGCGCGGCGTCGCCCTTGTCGCGGGGCTCGCGGTCGCGGCTCCGGTCGCGGCGGCTCCGGTCGCGGTCGCGGCTCCGGTCGCGGCGGCTCCGGTCGCGGTCGCGGCTCCGGTCGCGGCGGCTCCGGTCGCGGTCGCGGTGCTCGCGGCGGTCGCGGCTCCGCGACCGGCGGCGGCGCCGGTCGCCGTCGTCGTCGCCGCCGCCGGAGCCCCGGCGGCGCCGGTCGCCGTCGCGGCTCCGCGACCGGTCGCGGCGGCTCCGGTCGCGGTCGCGGCCGTCGTCGCGGTCGCGGCGGCTCCGGTCGCGGTCGCGGTGCTCGCGGCGGTCGCGGCGCTTGCCGTCCTGCTCCGCCGGCGCCGCCGCGAAGTCGAGCTGGCCCAGCTTGACGGTCTCGCGCGCGCCGCCGGGCACGACGGCGTCGCCGAACGTCACGACGTACGACGGGAGCATGCCCTCCGGCGCGCCCTCGTAGGGCTCGACGCAGGACACGACCTCGGCGTCGTACCACGCCGGGTCGCGCTCCTCGTCGCGGTAGATGGCGCGCACCGCCGCGCCGGGCTCCAAGGCCTTCGTGCCCACGCGCGGCGCGTTGCGCGCGCCGCGCGCGACCATCTCGCCGTGGAGCACCAATTCCACCTTCAAGCGCCGCTCGATGGCCACGGGGATGCGCGGGAGCATGGTCGAGAAGTACTGGAGGTCCGTCATGAGCTTGACGCAGTAGGCCCCGAAGGTCGTCGTCTGGTTCGGGTTCAGGCCCGGCGCGAACTCCTCGAGGTCGTCCGCGTAGTGGCCGAGCCAGTGCCACGTCCGCTCGGGCGCGCAGCCGTAGCGCACGTAGAGCGCGCCGAGCGCGCGGATGTAGGGCGAGTCGCCGTGGTCCAACAGCGCCTTGACCTGGATCTCCGTGAGCCGGAGGTGGAAGAGCTTGAGCAGGAGGCAGTACGCGGACGACGGGCTCCGCGTCGACCCGGCGGCCCAGGGCTCGACGTACGTCACCTTCTCGTAGATCACGTCGACGACCTTGTCGAAGGTCTTGAAGACGAAGAGGCACTTGTAGTACTCGCTCTCGTCGATCTTCTCGTGGAGCATCGGGTGCAGGTTGAACGTGTCCGGGTTCCCGTGCAGGTCGAAGATCGGGCCCTTGGCGTCCATGGGGTCCTGCGCGACGTTCTTCGGGAGCAGGTTGATCTTCGACTGCGAGATGGGGATGCCGGAGCGGTCCTCCCACTTGGGCATGAGCGTCGCGCCCTCGATGAGGTGCGTGCCCTTGGCCATGCCCAGGTTGTTCACGTACGTCGCCATGGTGTTGTTTGGGTGGGTGCGGCGGCGCGGGGCGTCAAGGTGCGGTCTCGGGGCCTCGGCGGGGGCCCGGCGCGCGTCGCGAAGGCGGAGGCGGCGCGCGACGAGGCTGAGCTGCGCGGCACCTCGGCGGCATCGTCAGGAGCCAGGCCAGTGATGCACCAGGCTCTCCATTTGAGCAGCCGAGCTCTCCCGCCGCGCGACAGCCGCCGCGCGCACGCAGTAGGGCTCGCATTGCATCGCCGCAGCTCACGAACGCCATGTTCTACGCGCGCTGGACGCGGCGCGACGTGCGGCCGCGGGACGCCGGCGGCGTCGTCGTCGTCGACGCGTCGACGGTCGTCGAGCCCGGCGGCGAGCCGCTGCGCGTCGGCGGCGACGGGTCGCGCTTCCGCACTTCCTTCTCCTACAGGGACAGCGCGACGACCTTCGCCGTCGGCGACTGCGTCATCGTCTGCCTCGAGGGCCCCGCGGGCCCGGACGGCGAGGCGACGAACCACGCGGCGGCGCAGATTCTACAGATCTGGTGGCCGCCGGGCGACGGCGACGGGCCCGACGAGCCCTGGGTCGAGGTGCGCTGGTTCTACTGCGCCGAGGAGATCAAGCCCGCGAAGCACCGGCCCGCGGCCGCGCGCGCGCACCCGCTCCGCGAGGTCTTCGAGACGGACCACGTCGACGAGGTGCCCGCGAGTAGCCTCATGGCGCGCGTGGCGGTGCTCGACGCGGACGCCTTTTCCGCGCTGCCGCGGGCCACGGCGGACGACAAGCTCGCGGCGCGCGACGCCTTCTTCTGCCGCTACGTCTGGCGGTTGGCGTCGCGGACGCTCGTCCGCGTCGGCCCGGCGTCCGAGCGCATGAGCCGCGCGCTGGCCTGCGCGCGGCGCGCCAAGGGCGCGACGCGGCGTCCCGCGACCGTATTTGCGAGAGCTTTTGACCGGGAAGACACACGGTGTTTGGTAGGCACGAAGCGGTCCGCGGCGGCCTGGGACGGCGACGTCGTCTCCGAGAGCAGCGACGACGAGGGCGACGGCCGCTGGTCCGCGCGGCCGCCGCGCGACGAGGGCGACGACGTGACGAAGCGGCTCCGGCGCGCGGCGGCGGCGCTCCAGCTCTCCGCGGCGCCGACGCCGCTCCCGTGCCGCGAGGCCGAGCGCGGCGCCGTCGCCGACTTCCTCGAGGAGGCGCTCGCGGCGTCGCGGGGCGACGGCCGCACGCTCTACGTGAGCGGCATGCCCGGCACGGGCAAGACGGCGACGGTGCGCGAGGTCGTCGGCGACCTGCGCAAGTCCCGGGACTTCGACTTCGTCGAGATCAACGCCATGCGGCTGCCCCAGCCGGCCCACGCCTACGCCGTGCTCTGGGAGGCGCTGGGCGGCGAGAAGCGCGGCGCGGAGGCCGCGGCGCGGTGCCTAGAGAAGCTCTTCGGCGCCAAGGGCGGCCGGGACGGCGCGAGGCCCGCGGTGCTTTTGGTCGACGAGCTCGACTACATGGTCACGCAGCGCCAGGACGTGCTCTACAACCTGTTCGACTGGCCGAGCCGCGCGGGCGCGAATCTGTGCGTCGTGGGCATCGCGAACACGATGGACCTGCCCGAGCGGCTCGACCCCAAGGTCCGGTCGCGGCTCGGCGGCCGCCGGCTGACGTTCCCGCCGTACGGCCGCGAGCAGGTCGAGGCCATCGTCCACCAGCGCCTGGACCGCGACGACTTGCGGGGCGCCTTCAGCGGCCAGGCCGTGACCATGGCCGCGCGCAAGGTCGCGGCGTACTCCGGCGACATCCGCCGCGCGCTCCAGATCTGCGCCAAGGCCACGGACGTCTGCGCGGACCGGCGGCGCGCGGGCGGCGACGGCGGCGACGAGGTGTCCATCGCCGACGTCAACGCCGCGCACCGCGCGTTGACCGCGTCCGCGTACCTCGCCGCCGTCGAGCACGCCGCGCCGCTCGAGCGGCTCGTGCTCGTCGCGCTCTGCGTCGAGCTCAAGGCGCGGCGCGCCGAGGTCGCGGGCTTCGACGACGTCGCGCGCCGCGCGAAGCGCCTCGTGGCCCTCGCCTCCGACGACGACGGCGCGCGGCGCGCGCCGACGCACGCGGAGCTCCTCGACATCGTCGACCGCTTCGCGGACGCGCGGCTCCTCGCGCCGGAGTACAACGGCCGCAACGACCGCTTCCCGAGCCTCCGCCTCAACTGCGCCGAGAACCTCGTCGCCGGCGTCCTCGTCAACGCCGGGGACCCCGTCGCCGTCCGCTTCCTCGGGGACACCTAAGGTTGATGTTGATCGTGCACTGCTCTACCCGTGTGACGTCGCGCACTTCTGCATCGACAAAATAAAAGCGCGCAATCGCCGCGCCGATGGACCAGCCCATCGAGGATGGCCTCGAGGAGCGCGCGCCGGTGGCCTTCGACTCGTCGGACTCGGACTACGAGGCGGAGGAGCCGTCCTACGGAGCGGCGGAGGAAGGCAAGCTGCCCACGCGGCGCCTGCGCCCGTTCGCCTGGTCCTGGCGCAAGTTCGCGGCCTTCGCCGGCCCGGGCTGGTTGATGAGCCTGGCATACCTGGACCCGGGCAACCTCGAGAGCGACCTGCAGCTCGGCGCCTATACGCGCTACTCGCTGCTCTGGGTGCTCTTCTGGGCGACGGCCGGCGGGCTCCTGCTCCAGGAGATGGCCGCGCGGCTCGGCGTCGTCACGGGCGAGACGCTGGCGAAATGCGTGAAGCGCGCCTACGGACCGCGCGTGTCGCTCCTCCTCTACGGCGCCGCGGAGCTCGCGATCGTCGGCAGCGACGTCCAGGAGGTGCTCGGCACGGCGACGGGCCTGCGGATCTTGTTCGGCCTGCCGCTCTGGGCGGGCTGCGTCGTGACGGCCATCGACACCTGCACCTTCTTCTTGGTCCAACGCCTCGGCTGGCGCGCGCTCGAGGCGGCCATCGGCGCGCTCGTCGTCACGCTCGCCGTCGCCTTCATCGGCGTCTGGGCCGCGGCGCCGTCCGAGCCCGGGCCCTTGCTCTACGGCCTCGCCGTGCCGACCATGCGGCCGTCGATGCTCACGCAGGCCGTCGGCACGGTCGGCGCCGTCGTCATGCCCCACACAGCGTCGAGTGACAGGAGTGCTTTTTCGCGCACTTCCCGCCGGGAAACGAGAAGAAATCGGACCCTGTCACCCTTGTAGGCCCCACAACCTCTACCTGCACAGCGGGCTCGTGCGTTCCGCCGTCGCGGACCGGACGCGGGCCGCGCGCGTGCGGGACGCGCTCCGCTACACGCTCGCGGACTCGGCGCTGAGCCTGCTGCTCTCCTTCGTCGTGAACATGGCCGTCGTCGCGGCGTTCGCCGCTTTCTTTTGGTCCGCGGCCTGCGGCGACGAGACCGCGTGCGTGCCGGACGCCGCGGGCGACGGGACACCGGGCGCGGCGTGCGCTTCCAATTTACTGTCGGGCACCTGCTCGACGATCGGCCTCGGCGCGGCGGCGCCGGCCCTGGGCGCCGTGCTCGGGCGGAGCGGCGCGGTGATTTTTGGCGTCGGACTGTTGGCGGCGGGCCAGGCGTCGACGACGGCGGCGACGATCGCGGGGCAGTACGTCATGGAGGGCTTCTTCGACTGGGACGTCGCCCGCTGGAAGCGCGTCGCCCTGTCGCGCTTCCTCGCGCTGGGCCCCGCGGTCTTGGTCGCCGTGAGTCCCATGGGCCAGCGCAACTCCTTCAACGAGATGCTCAACGTGCTCCAGTCGGCGTGCCTCCCCTTCGCGATGCTCCCGCTGCTCCACCTCGCGCGCGACGAACGATTGATGGGGCGTTTCGCCAACGGGCCGCGGCTGAACCGCGTCGTCACGACGGCGAGCGTCGTGGTTCTCGCCGTGAATCTCATCCTCGTCTACCAGTACGCGCTCGTGGACGTGTTCGACCGCCCGCCGGCCTACGCGGCCGGCGTGTCCCTCGCGACGCTCGCGTACCTCTACGCCGTGTCCCTCGCGTTCCGACCAAGGGCCGCGCCGGAGGCGCCCGCGAAGGACGACGACGCCGTCGCCGCGTTCCTGCGCCAGGAGATCGAGCTCCGCGCAAAGGGCCGCGTGCCCAAGCACGGCCTCGCGACGCCCGTCGACCCGACGGAGCAGGTGTGCTGCTGCGGGAAGAACCCGGACGCGACGCGCGACCTCGTGTAACCGTTTTGTATGTCGCTGCGAGTCGCGGCGCGCCGTCGAATATTAATCGTCACGGTGTATACGTAACTTGAAGCTATTTTTATGTCGCTCGCGGCGCGCCGTCGAAGGCGCGGCCCGGCACGTCTGCGGGGTAGAAGGGCGAGTAGAGGATGCTCCCCGTGCGCCGCTGGAGGACGCCGTCCTTGACCCACGCGTCGCCGCGCTTCTCGTCCTCGAAGTGCGCGACGAGCCTTCGTCGCCACAGCGCGAGCCGCTCGGGCTGCGCCGCCGCGAGGTTCTCGCGCTCGCGGGGCAGGTCGAACAAAAATTCCTCGAGCGTGTGCGCGTCGAAGACGTACTTCGTCGTCGACCCGTCGGTGAGCGCGTTCCAGTGGTTCGTCGTGTTCTCGAAGCACACCGCCCCCAGCGTGCCCGGGTCGTGCTCGAGGTCGACCCAGGACCGCCACGTCGCGTTGTCCCCGCGCAACAGGTCCAGCAGGGACCGGCCGTCGACCGCCTCGCGGGGCTCGAGCGAGCCCGCGGCGCCCGCGGCGTCGAGGAACGTCGGCAGCAGGTCGCGGTGCTCCGTGACGAACGCCAGCGCGACGCCGCGCGACGCGGAGAGCGGCACGTAGGCCTCGGGCCAGCGCACGATGAGCGGCACGTGCGCCGACCCCTCGAAGGGGAAGCCCTTGCGCCAAAGATAATGGTCGCCCTGCATGTCGCCGTGGTCCCCGACGTAGAGCACGAAGGTCCGGTCCGCCATGCCCAACGCATCGAGCTCGTCCAGCATCAACCCCAGGTGCTCATCCACAAAAGCGACGGACGCGAGGTAGGCGCCGCGCGTTTTGCGCACGTGCTTCGCGCCGATGTCGCCGCAGAACATGGCGACGTCGGGCGCGCCGCCGTAGGGCAGGTCCGTGTAGTTGCGGCCCTGGGCGAACTGGGCGTCCCAGCCGTCGACACTCATATCCGCGCCGGGCACGACGCACGCCGCCGGGTCCTCGAACTTGGCGAGGACGCGCGCCGGCGGGTCGTAGGGCGAGTGCGGCCGGTGGAACGAGGCCTTGAGGAAGAGCGGCGCGGACGCGTTCGACGCCGCGTGCCGCCGCAGCGCGCCCCGCGCCGTCGCGCCGACCCAGGCCGTCGGGTGGAATTGCTCGTCGTAGGCGTAGGGCGCGCCGCGGTAGTCGTCGAACGCGAGCTCCTCGCCGAACTCGGCGATGCCCGTCGCGAGCGGGTCGCGGCCGGGCAGCGACGCGTTGAACCACCGGTCGTAGGAGTCGAACTCGGCGATGATGCCGTCGTAGGTGTAGCGCTTCGCGAAGCCGTGGCCGGGGTTCTCGCCGCCCGACATCTCGTTGTAGAAGTGGTTCTTGCCGACGGACACCGTGGCGTAGCCGACGCGCGCGAGGCAACGCGGCAGCTCCGCGTAGGGGTACGTGAGGGCGATGTCGCCAAAACCCAACATGCCGTGGTGCCAGGGCTTGCGGCCCGTCAGGATCGCCGCGCGGCTCGGCGTGCAGGAGGGAGTGGACGTGTAGTGGCTCGCGAACGTCGCGCCCTCGCGCCGGAGCCGGTCGAGCGCCGGCGTGAGCCCGGCGGGGATGAGCCCGCCGCCGATGGCGTCGTGGCGGTGCTGGTCCGCGATGACGAAGAGGATGTGGGGGCGCTCGCTTTCGGCCGGGGGGGCAGCCGCCTCCAGGGCAGCCGCGTCCAGGGCAGCCGCGTCGGCGCTCGCCGCAAAGGACAGCGTCGTCGCGCCGTGCTGACGACGCACATAGGTCCCGACGGCGAGGACGAGTGCGACGACGCCCAACGGGAGGATGATAGGCAGTGCTTTACCCATCTTAAGTGTGTTTGCATCATCGAAATGTGATTGAAGGCAACTTTGCTGAGTTGACGAGCGAAGATTGGGCAGCCCAAGGTTTCATTGGTCGTGTGCCCAAACTCGACGCTATTCAAGCGCACCGGCGGCCGCGACCGCCAGAGGCAGCCCGACTCGGACAGCGACGCCTCGCAGGCGCCTTCACCGCGAGCCTATAGTAACCAGAAGCGAACCCATAGTAACCAGATGAACTTCTGCGTCGCGCAGCGGTCGCAGGAAGGCGGCGTCGTCCGCGCCAAGCCCGTCCTCGCCCACAAAACCCACGCGGACGACGCGCGGCCCTCCTACGCGCCGCCGCCGCCGCCGCCGCCGCGCCAGCACTCCGGCGAGCCGAACAAGGGCATCTCGTTCCTCTTCGGGGGCTGCGCCGCCCGTCCCGCGGCGACGACGCCCCCGCGCTACGCGAGGCGACGGCTCAGCGACCTGCCCGGCTACAGCATGCAGTCGCCGACGGACGTGGACCGGAGCCTCTAGCGCGCGCCGCCGCGGCGTTCGTACAAACACACTCTAGTCCGGCCGCGCGCCCGACTCCTCGGCCTCCTCCGCGTCCGGCGCGAGGCGCGCGGGCGAGTCGCGGCCGCTCTTGAAGACGACCTCCTCGTCGGCCTTCTCCTCGTCGGCGGACGCGAACGCCGGTGCGCGGGGCCTCGGGCCTCCGCTCTCGTCCTTGGCCTCCTCCGCGGGCTCCTCGGGCTCCGGCGAGCGCGGCGGCGGCCCCGCGAGCGCGGGCGGCGGCGCGTGCCGCGCGGCCTCGGACGACTCCGGCGCCGGCGCCTCGTCCGGCCGTGGCGACCGCGGCGGCCGGCGCAGGCCGCGGATGATGTAGGTCTGGCGCCCCCGCGGGTGCGGCCGCGGGAGCCGGTCCTCGGCGTAGGGCTCGTCCGAGGACCGGCTGTCGTCGCTGTCGCGGCGCGGCCGGGGCGCCGGCACGTAGGCGAAGCCGTCGACGGGCACGGGCTCGGCCACCGTCGCCGGGTCGTCGAAGACCGCGGTCGCCTCCGGCGGCGCGCTCCGATCCGGCGGCGGCGGCGCGGCGCCCTCGGAGACGGCCCGGGGCGCGGGCGCGGGCGGCCGGGGCCCGTCGCGGAGGCGGATGCGGAACGTCATCTGGCTCGGGTCGCGCCGCCGCGGCCGCGCGTCCGCGAGCGGCACGCCGTCGTCGGGCGCCTCCGCCGCGTCCGGCACGACGCGCGCCTGCGCGACGGGGATCTCGATCTGGTGCTGGGGCAGCGCCATGCCCGGGTCCACGCGCGCGCCGACGGGCTTGCTCGGGCAGGCGCACAACACGCGGCGCAGCGCGACGAGCGCGCCGAGCAACAGCCCCGCGCTCACGGCCAGCACGCCGACGGCGACGACCGTCGCCACGTCCACGCGCCGCCCCCGCCGCCGCTGCTTGTCGAGCAGGCTCGGCCGGTCGTCGGGCGCCTCGACCTCGTAGCGCAGGTCCGCCGCCGTCCGCGGCGCGACGACGTACGCGAAGCCGAGGCCCGCGCCGCGGCTCAGGCAGTAGACGGGGTCCTCCCGGTTCTCGCAGGCGTAGGCGTAGCGCACGACGCCCGTCAGCGCCGCCAGGGGCGCCGTCGACACGCCGTCGCCGAACACGGTCCGCTCCGTGACGTCGCGCTCGAGGACGCCGCCCGCGTAGAGCGCGTCGTCCAGGAGCGCCGCGCCCGAGCCGTCGTCGAACGGCAGGCGCCCCAGGCACGTCGGGCAGTAGTCGGCGCCGTCGTAGACGGCGACGTCGACGTCGTCCACGGCCACGAGCAGCGACTCGAGGCCCTCGCCGGCCGAGAAGCAGCCCGAGGCCTCGACGTCGCGGAAGCCGCCGCCGAGGTCCCCCGAGCGGATCGCCAGGGCCTCCAGCGTCCCCGACCCCGTGACGACGACGTCGACGGCTTCCAGCACCGTGGACCCCATGGATTCCACGACCAGACCGACGACGTCGACGGCGTCGCCGGGCCCCAGATCCGCGAGCGCGAGCGGCGCGCCGGACGCCGTCGCCACGCCGTGGACGGCCCGCGCGAGCAGGGCCACGTAGACGCCGCCGTGCCGCGCCGCTCCGTCCTGCATGTAGAAGCCGAAGGAGTCCGTCGCGGAGACGACGGCCGACAGCGCGACCGTCGCGCCCTCGTACCGCGACGGCCCGCAGTCGAAGGCCGGCGCCGCGCCGTCGTCCGGCGCCGTCGACGCCTGGAGCGCCGCGACGGACGCGAGGGCGACGACGCCGTCGGCGGCCCAGGTCGGCGCCGGCGCGACGGCGTCGTCCGCGACGTCGAAGGACTCGGGCGCCAGCCGGAGGTCGCGCGGGTGCCGCGGCGCGACGGCGAACGTGAAATCCATCCGCGCGCCGCCGGCGAGGCACGCGAGGTGGTCCTGGGGCGTGGCGCACTTCCAGGCGTAGCGCGCGACGCCCGTGACCGACGCCAGGACCACGCCGCCGTAGTCGCAGAGCGCGTCGCCGCTCGTGAGGCCGTAGTCGTCCCAGTCCTGGCGCGGCGGCTCCCAGATGGCGCCGCTCCGGCAGCCGTCGTGGGGCCGGACGAGGGCCGCGAGGTAGGCCGCCGTGTCGAAGGCCGACGACGAGTCCAGGAGCGTGCCGCCGGAGCCGTCGTCCGCGGCGACGCGGCCGAACGCGTCCGCGGACCCTGACAGCGCGACGTCCGACACGCGCACGAGGACGCCCTCGTAGGGCTCGCCGGCGTCCGGGCAGCGGGCGCCGTCGACGTCGTCGCGCTCGCGGCGCCGGTACGCGCCGAGCGTCGCCGTCGCGACGTCGACGGCCGCGTAGGGCGCCGCCCGCCCGACGACCGCCACGCCGAAGGCGTCGTCGCCCGCGACCTCGACCTGCGTCTGGCCCAGGTGCTCGTCGACGTAGCCGACGACGTCCACGACGTCGCCGACGCGCAGCGAGGACAGGACGGCCGCGGTCGACCCCGCGTGCGCGAAGAGGCCGCTCCACGGGCCGACGCCGTCCTGGAAGTAGAAGCCCGTGCCGGCGACCGCGGACACGACGCCGGACACGCGCACGACCCGGTGGCTCAACACGCTCCGCGAGCAGTCGAAGACGATGGACGCGTCGTCGCCGTCGTCGTCCTCGAAGTCGAGCGTCGCCCGGCGCTGGATCTCCTCGATGGTGGCCGCGTAGACGTCGCGCTCCCTCGGCCCGCTGGGCGTCGGCGCGTCCGTGCCGCACTCCGACGCCGACGGGCAGTCGCCGCCGTCGCAGCCGAAGGCCGGGCAGTCGAAGTCCACGGTCTTGCCGTCGTAGAGGTACGTGCCGTCGTCGCACAACCCGTCGCCGATGAAGACCGACGGCGCCTCGACGCCGTGGCAGTCCCGCAGCAGGCTCCCGTACTCGCCGCAGAAGCCGCAGAGCTCGTCGCAGTAGCCGCTGTAGGGGCAGCCGGGGCAGAAGAACTCGCTGCAGTGGAACGTCGCGTCGATGGCCGTGTAGTGGAAGCAGTCCCCGTACCCATATACGTTTGAGCACCCGCTCGTCGCGGGGAGGCCCACCGCCGCGACGAGCGCCGCCAGGCGCCGCAGCGCGGTCATCTCGGGGAATTGGCGGGGCGCCGCATCAGCGGAAGCCCATGCTTGGCCGGCTTTCCTTGCAGCACCTTTACCTCGTCATCTTCTTGTGTCGATGTTTGACGGAAAGAGGTGAGTATGGGCATGCTCTCTAATGCTCGCTCTCACTCTGCTATGCTTCGTGCCAGCGGCCGTTGCGCTCGACTTTGAATGCAGCGAGACGCCATTGACCGTGGAATATTCCATAAAGTACTACTCCGGCGTCGTCAATTGCGGCAATCTGCTGCTCGAGTCTGACATCGGCGGCACGCACAAGTGGATCGCGCCCACCGTGAAGTGGAGCGAAGCGGAGGCGGACAAGCTCTATTCGATCTTTTACATCGACCCCGACGTCGACCTGCCGAACAACGGCTCCTGGCCCGACGTGCAGACGCCGGGTTCCAAGGCGCCGGCGCGGCACTGGGTCGTCGGCGCTGCCTCCCGCGTCCGTCCGAAGGACGATACCTGGAAAAGACGCTTCGCGTAGGCAACATCAACGGCTCCGCGCTGCGCGCCGGCGACCTCTCGGCCGCGACGACGGTGTCGGCCTACAAGGGCCCGAGTCCGCCGTGGGGCTCGCACCGCTACGGCCAATTTTTATTCGAGCAGCCGAAGCGGATCGACTTCGAGATCCTGCCCTCGCCCGACGGCATCTACAACTGGGACCACGGCGCGTTCGTCGAGCGGTACGGCCTCGGCGCGCCCGTCGCGTCGAACTTCCACATGACGCAGCACATGGACCCGCGGTAGATCCGAAGCCGTTACGCCCCCCGGTAGATCCGATGCCCTTACGCCCCCCGCATGGCGCGCCGCGCGGCCTCGCGCGCGCCCTGGTGGTCGCGCATCATCTTCCGCCGGTCGGCGAAGGGGTCGCCGCCGCGGGGCTTCCGGAGGTAGGGGTCCTCGCGCGGCGCCGGGTGGAACTGGGGCCGGCCGCGCGCCGGCTTGGCGTCCTTGTCGTAGGGCGCGTCGTACTCCGGGAACTGGCGCGGCCGCCGCGGCGGCGGCTCCTCGCCGCCGTGGTGGTCGCGGCCCGGCCGCAGGCCCTCGCCGTCGCCCTTCTTGTCCTTCTGGTGGAACTTGACGAGCTTGAACGCCTGCGGGAGCGGCGCGCGGAAGAGCGACGCCTTGACCTCCGTGGCGACGGCGATGGTGTCCTGGAGGTTGATGATGCCATGGCCCCAGAGCTCGGGGATGATGGCGACGTCGCCCGCGCGCTGGATGCACTCGAGCGGCGGCGGCTGGCCGACGCCCTTCTCGTTCTCCTCGCGCTCCGTCTCGTCCCACTGGCGGATCTGCATGTTGGACATGAAGCTGTAGGCCGGCGGGAAGACGAGCCAGCGCTTCGCGCCGTAGACCAGAGCGTTCCAGGCCGTGTTGTGGAAGTGCTGCGGCGCGCCCGAGCCCTCGACGCCGAGCGCCCACTGCAGGTTCACGAACGGCCAGATCCGCGCCGCGGGGTCGGGCAGCGGCGCGTCGTCGTCGTCGCCCTTGAGCGTGAAGCGGTCCTCCCAGGCCTTGCGCTGGGCGCTCTCGCTCGCCTCGGCCATCCGGTCGCGCTTCTCGCGGCCGCCCTTGGGGCCGCCGCGGCCGCCGCGGCCGCGCTGCGTGTCGTACGCGGCCGCGTTCTCGAACGTCTTGTAGATGACCTCGGGCGTCGGCGTGTCGTCGGGGTTCACGAACCAGCCGACGTTGTGGGCGACGTCCTTCTTGGGCATCTTCGACGTGGGGTGGCCGCGGAAGACGTACCAGGGGTAGCGGCCGCCCGTGAGGTTCCGCGCCTCCATCATGTCGACGTACTCGCCGAGCGTCATCTCCGAGTCGCCGAGCACGCTCGAGAACTTCTTGGCGTAGGGGATGGCGGACACCGTGACCTTGGCCTCGCCGTGCATCTCCTTGAGGCGCGACGGCGTGTAGGTCGCCTTCGCGCCCGTCCATCCCTCCAACACGCCGCGGAGGATCACGGGCTTGTTCCGCGTCAGGTGGTCCAGGACGAGCTCGATGGACGCGTCGCCCGCCTCGACGACGTCGAAGTCGCAATGATCTAGACGCGCCTCGATGGCCGCGTCGGACCGCGGCGCGGCGCCGACGCCCCAGAGCAGCTCCGACAGCGAGCTCCGGAGCGGCCCGTTCCAGCCGCCCGCCGCGAGCGCCGGGAGCGCCTCCGGCGCGCCCGCGGGCGCCAGGGCGCCGTCGGCCTTGGCCGCGTTGCCGTCGCGGTCCCGGTAGAGCCCGCCCAGGAGCTTGCTCAGGCGCCGGCGCAGGAGCACGGGGTCCGCGTACTCCGTGAGGTCCGTGACGCGGCCCGCGCCGTCGTCCGCGGGCTCGTCGGCCTCCGCGAGCATGATGGACAGGGGCGCGCCCCGGCCCGTCGCCAGATCAAATAAGTCGTGGCCGTGGCCGTCGCGCACCTGCGGGCGCGCGCCGTTCTCCAGCAGCGCGACGACCGCGCGCGCGTTGCCGTTGAGCGCGGCCTGCGTGAGCGGCGTCGCGCCGTGCTGCTTCTCCGTGAGGTCCAGGTTCGCGCCGCGTTTCGCTAATAATTCGATGGCGTCGCCGAAGCCCGAGTTGGCGCAGTAGTGCGCCGGCGTCTTGCCCTGGGTGTCGAACGCGGACGGGTCCGCGCCGTGTTTGAGCAGCGCGTCGACGACGGCCGTGACCGCGTTCGAGATGGCCTGGCGGATGTGGAGCTGGCCGTAGGTCGACTTCGTGCCGCGCTCCTTCAACAGCTTGACGCCCGCGACGGCGCCGCCGCGCCGGATCGCGCCGTCGATGACGTGCGGGTCGCCGCCCAGGAGGCTGAACGTGAACGAGTCGCGCATGCTGTCGCCCCAGAGGCCCGTCATGCACGCGACGTGGAGCGACGACTTGCCGTGGGCCTCGCGGCCCTCCGTCGCGTTCGCCGACACGCCGCCGGGCCCGAGCAGCAGCGACACCATGGGCTCGTCGAGGATGAGCGCCGCCGACGCGAGCGCGTCGCCCGCCGACACCTTGCCCTCGGCGATCAAGGCGGGGCCGTGGGCCTCGAGCGCGTCCCGGAGCCCGTCGTGGTCGCTGCGCGTGACGAGGTCGAGCACGGAGATGTCCGCGGGAACGTCGCGTTTCGTCGTCGTCGCGGCGTCCCCGGGCCGCGCGCGCTCCGCCTGGTGGCGCTCGCGGTCCTTGCGCATGGAGTCCTGGGCCCGGAGCACGTCCTCCGCCGTGCGGCCCGTGCCGCCGCCGACGGCGACGTCGGGCCAGGCGAACTTGGGGTCGCCCAGCAAGTCCGCGAGGCGGTCGTTGTGCGGCCGGAAGAACGCGCGGAGCACCTGCGCCGTGTCGTCGCGCATGGCCGGCCGCTCCGACGCCGCCGCGTTGGCGTGCTCCCCCAGGGCCGCGTCGTCGAGGCCGCTCATGGCGCTCGGGTCCATGTCCAGGAACTCGAAGACGCGCGTCATCTCCGCGCGCATCGACGGCGCGTCGCTCCGGTCCTCGAGGCGCGTGAAGAGGAACTGGTCCCGCGGGTAGGCCTCGAGCCAGCGGGCGACGTAGGCGCTGTAGACGCTCACGGCGATGCGGCCGCGGCCGTTCTTCGCGAAGTGCTTCATGTCGTACGCGCAGCGCTGCACCGCGCGGACGTCCCACTTGAACTTGCCGCCGCCGCCCGCGGCGTCGTGGCGGTCGAAGCAGAGCTCCATGGCGCGCGCGTCCTCCAGGGCCTTGCCGTGGAAGTCGTCGGCGGACTGGATTTCCGGGGGGGGGCCGCGGCCCTTCTTCCGCCGCTTCGGGTCGTTGACCATCTTCGCGACGCCCGCCGCCGTGAGGAACCAGTAGTCGGAATACATGCGCTTCGCGGGCTCCGCGAGGGACACGAGTAGTTTGGCCTCGGGCACCATGTGGAACATGAGCTGCGGCGCGGGCACCATGCCCGTGTCCGCGCCGTCGTGGCGCTGCGTGCTCCACCAGAGCGTGTGCGGCCCGCCGTCGACGACGGCGACGTCGCTGCGGCCGCCGCCGTGGAGCTCCGCGGCGACCTTGCGCGCCGTCGCCTCGTGGGACTGGGCGAACTCGGAGAGGCGCGTGCCCTGGTCCACGTAGCCGTCGCGCGGCGCGCCGAACTCGCCCCGGGTCAGGAAGCGCGTCTCCTTGCGCGACGCCTTCATGGACCGCGGGTGGCTCGTGAGGACCCGCCAGAGGTCCGACGTGCCCGCCTTGGGCGCGCCCAGGATGTAGACCTTCGGGATGCAGGACAGCGCCTCGTCGCTCTCGTCGTCCTTGTAGCAGAAGCTCCCCGTCGCGCCGGCCTTGGCGCTGCTCCGCGCCTCCCGCAGGTCCCGCGCGAGCGCGCCGTGCTTCGCCTCGATGCCCGCGGCGTCGTAGTCGACGAGATCCGCGGCCCAGCCCACGGGCAGCTCGTCCGCGAGGCCGACGTCGCGGCCGACGAGCGCGCCCCGCGTCGTCGCGACGGCCGCCGCCGCGGCGCCGCCGAGCATGTCGTCGGCGCCGGGCGGCGCGCGCCGCGGCTCGCGGAAGCCGTTGGGCAGCGGCCGCGCCTTCTGGCGGCGGAGCGCCGGGCCCTCGTACTCGGCGGGCGCCGCCGGGGCCTCGTTTCGCCGCACGCGCGTCGCGAGCTCGACCGCGAGCGCCGCGTGGAACGCGAGGGTCGCCGGCGACGTGTTGCCGCCGCCGCCGGGCCTCACGAGGAGGCCCCCGGACACGGCGCCCGCCGTCAGCCGGCAGGCCGCCCAGAGGTCCCGCGGCTCGAAGACCAGGCGGCAGGCGCCGACGACGACGCACGCCAAGTCCACCGCGAGGCAGACGAGGATTAAGAGGACGGGCAGGCGGCTCTTCCGTCCCGAGCGCGCCGTCGCGACGTGGTGCCGCGGCGGCGATTGTTGTCCATGGCGGCGCATGGCTGGAGCCAGATCGACTGGGTCGGGCAAGCTCCGCGAGCTGTTTTTGCGCGGCGATTCAGCATGTGTTCACCTTCGGCCGCGATCATCGACCGCCGGTTTTAGAGCGGGCTGCAATCATTATGATGTCGGTGCAATCGTCGCCTGGCTCCGCCTGAGCAAGACACGACGCGCCATGGCGCCGTCGGCGCTCGACGTCGGCGAGCACACGCTGGAGCCCATCGAGCACTGGCTCGACGGCATCAAGGCGGGCTTCGCGGAGAAGTTCTACTGGCTGTTCAGCGGCATGGGCATCGAGGACACGGAGGACTTGCGACTGATGAAGGCGCACCGCGTCGCGGCCATGCGCGAGGATTTGGTGCTGGAAGGCTGCAAGCCCGTGACGTTGGACCGGCTCATGGACGCGGTCAAGGCCGCGCGGCGGCCGCCGCGGCGGCCCGGCCGCCGCAAGAAGAAGGTGCGCCAGTCCAAGTCCGCGCGCAAGCTCTACGTGCCGCCGCAGCGGCCGCCGGACGACGGCGGGCGCGCGCGCGCGTCGCCGCCGCGGCCGCGGCCCCGGTCCGCGCCCGCGCGGCGCCGGCCGCAGCCGCGGACGCTCGCGGAGCCGCCCGCGAAGGACCCGGCCGCGGAGGAGCCGTCGATCCACGTGCCCGTGGCGCCGCCCGTCGTCGTCCAGCGCGGCGCGACGGGCTGGGAGGCCGCGGACGAGGAGCGGCAGAAGCGGCTCGACCGCCTCGTGCGGCGGCGGTCGCTCCCGGAGCAGCCGCGCGCGCCGTCGCCGCGGACGCTCGTCGTGGAGAAGGGCGACGGCGGCAACTGGGCGTTCCGCGTCGACGAGGACCGCGCGAAGATCTGGGAGCGCATGATGCACTCGCCGCGCGCGGCGCGCGGGCCGGAGCCGCCGCCGGAGCCCGCGCGGCCCGCGAGCGCGGGGCCGACGCGGCGCCTGCACGTCGAGAAGGTGCGGGGCGCCTGGACCTGGCACCTCGACGACTCGCGGAAGAAGCGGTGGCAGCGCATCATGCGGCGCCGGCCCCGCGTCCGAGAGACTTTTTTTGTGTGCGAAACGACATCGGCGTTCTCCGTAGGCCCCAGCGGCGCGGCGACGAGCTCGCGAGCCCCCGGCGGGACCGGCGGCCGTCGAAGTCCTACGGCGAGGACACGGCGGCGGGCGTCCGGTCGGACCTGAAGGGCAAGCCGCGCGTGAGCGCGGACGACAAGCCGCGCGTGAGCGCGGACGACGTCGGACGTCGGTGGAAGGAGGGCGCGGGCCTCTACAAGCCGCTGCGCGTCAACGGCGTCCACGTCGACGCGCTCGCCGAGGAGGAGCGCGAGGAGCAGGAGCGGCTCCATTCCAACCGGAAGAAGTTCTACGTCGCGCCCAAAAAACACGTCGAGTTCAGCCACCGGCTCTCGGAGGCCGTCAAGCGGCAGCGCGCGTGGATCGAGAAGAAGGCGCGCAAGGGCGCGGACCACGGCGGCATCCACTTCGCGGCCATGAAGGGCCACGACCTCCCCGGCGAGGACGAGAAGGCGAAGACGCCGGAGGGGACGCCGCGGTCGCCCCTGAGCGCCGCGCGGTCGCTCCGGTCCGCCGCCGAGGACGACGACGCGGAGGAAGAGGAGGCCGAGGACCTCTTCGCGGGCCTGTCGTCCATCGCGCGGTCCGTCGCGCGGTCGTAATTGGAAACTTACGTCGGACCTTCAGGACCCGAAGGGCTTGCCGAGGCCGCCCGCGGACCCGAAGGACGGCTCCGTGCTAAATCCGTCGAGCGGGTTCGCGGGCATGCGCACGCCGCCCTGCGCCTCGAAGCGGTAGTCGCTCTCCGCGTTGTATTTCAGCTTCGTCGCCTTGGCCGCGGCGACGCGGAACGACTGGGACACGGCGCGCGCCGCGGCCTCGCCGCCGCTCGCCCAGCGCGCCTCGGACGCGGACGACACGAGGAGGAGCACGTCGCCGCTGCCCTCGGCCGTCGTCGCGGCGACGACGGCGCGCCGCGGCGTCGACGAGCCGCCCGGCGTGATGGCCGAGAAGGACACGTCGACGAGGCGCGCGGCGCCGGCGGAGACGTCGCGCGTGATCTTCACGTCCGTCGGCGGGCCGAAGGCGCCGTAGCGGCCGCTGGGCTGGAGCACGCGGTCCGCGATCTGCGCCGCCGAGAGCTCGTCGAGCTTCTTGCCGGGCTTGGCCAGCACCTGGACGTAGGACGAGTCGCCGGTCTTCGACCGCGCCTCGACGTCGTAGTAGAAGCCCTTGGCGAGCTTGAGGGCCGGCGCGTCGAACTGGACCGTCGCGAGCACGCCGTCGTTGAGCACGAGCAAGGCGGAGACGACGGTGCCGGACGCCGCGGGCGCCTCGACCATGACGCAGCCCGTCTCGGGCCGCGACTTGCCGCTGATCGTGCCCGCGCCGAGGTTCGAGCTCATCATGCCCGTCGCCTCCTGGTAGCTGCCGATGTCGCCGGACGTGCGCATCTGCTGCTGCACCTCGGCGGCCGCGGGCCGCAGCGCGCCGACGGCCGCGGCGCTGGGACCGGCGAGCACGACGCGCCGGCGCGACGCGTCGAGCGCGCCCGCCGCCGCGAGGAGGAGGAGCACGCCGCGCGTCATCGATGAGCTGCGCGGGCGTCCAACACTTCAGCTCAAGTCGGAGCTCGTGAGGAGCTCGTGCAAGTCGCTTGCCACCTCGGCGCACTGAGCAGTGCTTGTCGAGATCGAGATGAGAAGACTTAGTGATGAGATCGCGGTTCGACGCCGCGGCACCATACCGAGCCAAGCTCGTGTTGAACATCCTGTTCGTGTGGCTGCCCGGCAGGCCCGATGGCGGAGCCCGACCCCGCCGCCCCGGCGGCGGCCGAGGCCGAGGCTGCACCCGCGCCGCCGCCGCGGCCGCCGCCGCCCGTGGGCGAGGCGGGCCCGGCCCCGTCGGACGCGGCCGTCGAGGCCATGTTCGCCAAGCTGTTGCAGCTGCAGCTCCTCCCCGGCGACGCCCAGCAGCGCCTCATCGCGACGCTGAGCATCGACAAGAAGCAGCAGATGATCAGCATGCACGGCGCCCTCCTCGCCGACGACGCCGCGGCGTCGAAGAGCCGCTTCACGGCCGGCGAGGACGGCGCGCTGCTCCAGCTGATCCGCGACGCGGACGCCGCGTGCGCCGAGGGCGGCGCGAGCGGCGCGGGCGCGCTCGGCGGCGCGCTGAGCGTGCGCGGGGCGCTCTTCCAGCTCACGCAGCGCCTCGGCGAGCTCCACACGCGCCTGAAGACGGCGAACCGCGAGTGGCTCCGCGGGTTCCTGGACCACGGCGGCCTCGAGCTCGTGTCGGCCGTCGCGCGGAAGCGGCTGATCCGCGACCCCTTCCTCAAGCCGGACCTCGCGGCCGTCGAGGCGGCCCTGCGCTGCTTCAAGACGATCTGCAACAACGCCGACGGCCTCGCGGCCGTCGTGTCCGCGCGCGGCGCGCTCGACGTGCTGGCAGCGTGCTGCGAGCCGACGGCCGCGCTCGCGTCGGTCCACGGCGAGGCGCTGGACATCCTGTGCGTCGCCGTCTGGGCCAGCGACGGCGCGCGGAGCGCCGTGCTGCGGTCGCTGACGCGCCTGAGCCACCAGCGCCTCGAGGCGCCGTTCGCGTTCGCGCGCGCGCTCGTCAAGCGGAGCAAGTCCGTGCCCGTCAAGGCGAAGACGATGGCGCTCTGCAACCAGATCATCATGAAGGCGCCGGAGCTCGAGGAGCGCTGCGCCTGGCGCAACTGCCTCCTGGCCGCGGGCGTGCCGTCGGCCGCGCTCGAGGAGGCGGCGAAGGCGGAGCGGCTCTACGAGGCCTACGACCCCGACGACGACGACGACGACGACGACGACGAGGACTCGGACGACGACGCGGAGGTGGAGATCCGCGGCACGCTGGTCCACGACCCGGAGAACGGCGTGGACCCGCGCAACGGCAAGATGAAGGGGTCGCTCGTCGCGGCCAAGGCGCGGTCCGCGAAGATCAACGCCGTCGCCAAGGCCTTGGGCGGCAAGGCGACGAAGCACCGCATCTACGAGCTCGACGAGGGCATCCTGAGCTGGTCCATGGAGAAGGACGACGAGGTCACGAAGTCGGAGCAGCGCGTCTACATGGACGAGGTCTTGGTCGTGCGACCCGCGACGACGCACCAGGAGATCTTGGCCGTCGCCCCGCTGGCCGTGGAGCTGGTGTTTGCGCCGCCGCGGCACCCGCTCGTGCTCGGCGTCGAGGACGAGCGGGACCACGACGCCTGGTTCACGGCCTTCAAGGTCGCGCGGCGCGACGCCGCGTTCTACGGCGGAGAGAAGGAGTCAATGGGAGAGGCGTCCAAGGACGTGCGCGCGAACCGCGCGCGGTCCGAGCTCGCGCCGGACCAGCTTTTAGCCGAAACGAAGAACCTGCGGAAGCAGTGCGAGATCTTCCGCGCGGTGTCCGACGCGGACCGCGAGATCACGGTGCAGCCGCTGCTCGGCGACGGCGTCGACGGCGCGGACGTGGGCGGCCTCGCGGCGCTCGTCGCCGAGTCGGCGGCGCGGGCCGGCGCGCCCGACGTCGCCGTGCGGCTCCTCCAGGAGCTGCTCCTCTGGCCCGTCGAGGGCGCGCTCGGCGCCGCGAGCGCGTGGCGCCTCGCGCTCAAGTCGCTGTCGTTCACGCGCGAGCGGCGCCGCGAGCTCGAGGCGGGCCTCGCCGACGGCGGCGACCCCTACGTCGGCGCGGCGCCGACGCAGGAGCGCAAGCACCGCAAGGCCAGGAGCGCCTGGTCGTCCCACGCGCTCGCGCTCGGCGCGATGGTCGAGCGCCAGCGAGAACGCGAGGCGGAGCTCGCGGCCGCGCTCCCGCCGCCGCCGCCGGCCCCGGTCGTGGTCGTCCGGGCGCCGCCGGGCGCGACCGCCGCCGCGGACCCGGCCTACGCCAAGTTCCACAAGATGCTCAGGATGCACGTGCCGCGCGGCGCGGTCGAGGCGAAGATGGCCGCCGAGGGCCTCGACCCCGCGCGCCTCGACGACGCGCCGCCGCCGGCCGCGGCCGCGCCGGTGGCCGCGGCGGCCCCCGCGGAAGAAGAAACGCCCCAGCTCGGCCTCGCGGCCATGCTCGCCGCGCGCGCGGGCCCGCCGAAGCCCGCGGCCGCGGCCGCGGCCGCGCCCGCGGCGGCCGGCGGCGCGGCGAGCGACCCCAAGTACGCCAAGTACTTCAAGATGCTCGCCATGCACATACCGAAACCCGCGGTCATGATGAAGATGTCCGCCGAGGGCCTGGACCCGCGCGTGCTCGACGGCGGCGGCGCCGCGGGCCCGCCGCTCAGAGACGACCCCAAGTACGCCAAGTACTTCAAGATGCTCGCCATGCACGTGCCCAAGGGCGCCGTCGCGGCGAAGATGCTCGGCGAGGGCCTGGACGCGTCGCTCCTCGACTGCGACCCGTCGAAGCCCGCGCCCCCGGGCAAGGGCAGCGGCCTCCCCCCGAAGAAGAAGGCCGCGGGCAAGAAGGCCGCGGCCGGCGCGCGGCTCAAGGGCGCCTTCTGGACGAAGCTCGGCGACGACGATCTGAAGGGCACGCTCTGGGCGGACCTCGACGAGGGACGGGGGCGGGCGGGGTCCACGGTGCCCCTGCCGTCGCGCGACGCTTTGGTGGCCGCGTTCGGCACGACGAAGGCCGCCAAGGACGACAAGCCCAAGGAGAAGAAGCCCAAGGGCCCCGTGCTCACGCACCTCGTCGACGGCAAGCGGAACCAGAACGTGCTCATCGGCCTCGGCCGCGTCAAGCTGAGCCCCGCGGAGACGCGCGACGCGCTCGTGGCGCTCGACGTGGACAAATTGCCGTCGCTCGGCGACGCGTCCGGCGCGGAGATCTGGCTCGGCCTCATCCCGACGGACGAGGAGACGCAGCTGGTGACGGGCTGGCTCACGGCCAACGGCGGCGACGGTGCCCTCGAGAAGCTCGCGCCCGTCGAGAAGTTCTTCGCCGTGGTTTCCGGTGCGCCCCGGCTCAAGCAGCGGCTCGAGGCGCTCCGGGACATGCACCGCTTCGGCGAGGCGCTCGAGGACGCGCGGGGCAAGGCGAGTTTGCTGCGGGCGGGCTGCGCCCAGCTCGACGCGGCCGCGAAGCAGAAGGGCGGCGCGCTCCGGTCCGCGCTGCGATGCGCGTTGGGCGTCGGCAACGAGCTCAACGCGGGCACGGCGCGCGGCGACGCGCACGGCTTCGCGCCGGACTTCTTGCCGAAGCTCGCGACGATCAAACAGAACGACGCCAAGGCCGGCACGCTCATGAATCTGGTCGTGACGCAGCTCGAGGACGCCAAGGGCGCGGCGCTCGCCGCGACGCTCGCCGGGGACCTCGCGGGCGTCGGCGCCGCGGCGGCCGTCGACGCGCTGGAGATCGCCGGCGACCTGCGGAAGCTCGAGGCGGCCCTGGCGAAGAGCGTCGGGGCCGAGCTCGAGGTCTCGCGGAAGGGCGGCGACGGCTCCGCGAGCAAATTCGTCGAGACCTTCGGCCCCTTCTACGCCGACGCCACGGACAAACTCAAACGGGCGCACGACGACTACGCGGAGACGAAGACCCTGGCTTTGGGCGTCAAGAAGAAGTTCGGCGCGGGCGACGAGCCGACGCTCCAGGACGGCGGCTGCGCGATCAAGGCGTTCCTCGCGCAGGTCCGCGACTTCGCGGCGGCCTTCGAGACCGCGCGCCTCGCCAACGTCAAGAAGCGCCAGCTCGCGGCGCTCGAGGCGAAGCGCAAGGCCGAGCGCGCGGCGCGCGACGCGGCCAAGGCGAGGAAGGCCGAGGCCGCCGAGGCGCACAAGAAGAAGCTCGCGGACCTGCCGCCGGGCGAGGCGCCGCCGCCGCCGCCGAGCGACGACCTCTTCAACGCCTTCGCCGCGTCCCAGAACGCCTCCGCCGACGAGATGCTCGCCAACTTCCAGCGCGGCGTCGCCGCGAAGCTCGACGCGCGCCGCGCGCAGGTCGTCGCCGACGACGCGTCCTCGGAGTCGGGCTGGTCCGACTCCGACTAAGGGCTCTACGAGGCTGTCTTTCAGTTACACGGCGGGACAGGAGGCCCCTCTCACAGCGCGGCGAGGCCCAGCGCGGCGAGGCCCGCGAGGCCCGCGAGCGCGCGCGGGGCCGCCGCGTCCGCCTCCTCGTCCGTCGGGTCGTCGCCGTGGTCGTGGTCGTGGCCGTCGTCGTGGGCGTGGTCGTCGGCGTCGTCGTCGCAGGCGCACTCGTCGGCGTCGCCGGGGTAGTCGCCGTGGTACATGTCCACGCCGTTGGGCATGTAGACGCCTCCGTGCGCGTGGCTCGTGCCGTCGCCGACGGCGTTCGCCTCGGCCTCCGTGCAGTAGCTCGGGTACTCGCCGTCGCTGTGGCAGGCGCCGGCGTACTCGACGAGGACGGGGCTCGACGTCGGCGCGCCCGTGGAGCTGAGCGACGACGAGTCCCAGGTCACGGCGACCTTCTGGCCGGACGCGCAGTGCGAGCCGACGCTGCAGCTGTAGTAGACCGTCTGGCCGGCCTGGGCGGACACGGCGACGCCCGACGAGCTGCCGAGGTCCGTGCCGCCGGAGAAGTCGCAGGCGTCGTAGGCGGTCTCGTCGGCCATCTCCCACACATCGTGGCCGCCCGTCCAGGAGAACAGGAGATCAGAATCGTCGGCCACGGTCGTCGTCTTCGGGTCGGCGGAGAACTGCGCGTTCCAGTCGATGGTCGTCGTCGACGCGGCAATGGTCGAGGCCAGGAGCAGGACGCGGGGGAGAACAGCCATCGTCATCTAGCTTCAGCGCGGGCAGCGTGCCTCAATGTTTGAGCTGCCGCGGATCGCTTCAACATCAGCTGAAGGAGCTGAGTCGGGCAAAATGTGCGCGACGAGCGAGGCAGCCTGACCCCGCAAGCCATGCGCTCCCTCGCGCGCTCCTTCGTGCTCGTCGCCGCCGTGGCGTCGGCGGCGAAGAAGCAGAAGGACGACAAGATCAAGATCACGTTCACGAACAAGCTCGACGGCCCGGCGACGCTCTACGTCATGGGCAAGAAGATGCACGCCTTCGCCGCTCAGGGCGAGAAGCACAGCGCGCGGTCGTCCGACGGCCAGAGCTGGACGGCGCACGACGCGCGCGGCGGCGAGGTCTTCCACTACGTCGTCCGCGAGAAGGACGGCCCCGACCAGCGCGTCGACGTGTCGCGGGGCGTGTCGCGCCGGACGATCATGTCCATCGTCGAGAGCGAGGACCACCACCTGCACCGCGTCGACGGCGGCGGCGACGCGAACGCCGCCGGCTGCGCGGACCCCGTGCGCGCCGGCGACCGCGTGAACGTCGTCGCGACGGGCGTCGACGGCGCGCCGCGGCTCTCCTTCTCCGACCACGTCGTCCACGCGGTCGGCGACAGCGACCCGGCCGACGCCGCGTGGATCGTCGAGGGCGACGGCGAGGGCCCGCTCTTCCCCGGCGGCGCCGTCTTCCTCAAATCCGAGAAGCACGGCGTCTACCTCGACGCGCCGCCGCCCGTCGAGGGCAAGCACGTGCCCCTCCTCGCGCGCTGGCGCGACCGCGGCGACTTCCAACGCTTCATGCTCTTCAAGGCGCCGGACCACGACGACGCGCCCCTGAGCGCGCTCTGCTACGGCGACGCGGCCTACCTCCTCGCGCACACGCGCAACTTCGTCGACGTGAGCGACGGCGCGGCCTACGCCCGCTGGCGCCACCGCGGCGACTGGCAGAGCCTCGCCTTCGAGCGCGCGGCACCGGCGCCGGGCCACGAGGAGCTCTAGAGGGGGGCGTAAGATCAAGCGAAAGAAGTAGCGAGCGGAGTTCGGTGCTTTCGCGCTTGAAGTGCAACACAGCCGGGCAAGATCAACTGCAAGAATCCATATAACGCAACGATGGACGCGTGATGCAGAGCCTGTCGTAACGATGCCGTAGAGAACGATGGGCTGCTGCCTCAGCAAGCGCGAGGACCGCAACGACTACGACCTGCTCACGAGCGACGACATCGTCGGCGATGTGGACGGCGGGCTGCTGTCGGAGCAGCTCCAGGAGTTCGGCTTCTTCCGGCGGGCGACGACCATGTTCCGCGGGCGCAAGTCGACGGTCGTCGGGCGCCGGCCGACGGTCGCGAGGAAGACGCGCTACTCCATCTTCGCGAGGAAGCCGCGCGTCGTCGTCGCGGCCGCGGACGCGGACGACGACGCGGCGGCGCCGGCGCGGCCGCTCCGGGAAGAAGCCGCGAAACCGGTCGCGGCCGCCGAGGCGGCCGTCGAGGACGCGGCGGCGCGGCTGCGGCGCGCCGAGGCGGCGGCGCGGGTGGCCTTCGCCGAGCGCTGGGTCGTCGGCGTACGGGTGGCGCTGCGGGACCAGTGGATCGCGCGGGGCGAGGCGTCGCACCTCCGGGACCAGTACGCCATGGACGCGCGGACGGCCGCGCGCTTCGTGAAGCAGGGCCACCGCCACGGCAAGGAGAGCATGCTCCAGGCGAGCGTGAAGAAGACGCGGGACGCGGGCGACTCGGGCGGGCGCCGCGGCGGCACGTCGCCCGCGATCGAAAAGCGCGAGCTCGCGCAGGTGCCGCGGCGCCTCGCCGTGCGGCCCAAGAGCGCGAAGCGGCGCAAGGGCGTGCAGATGAAGTCGAAGAACTGGGACCGGCGCTCCGCGAAGGCGCCGAGCGAAAAAGTGCAGGCGCAGCTCGACCGGTCGCGGCGGCGCCGCGAGGGCCGGCCCGAGTCGTCGTCGAGCTCGTCCGACGACGACTTCGTGGCGACGGAGAAGCGACGGGCGCGGCGCGGCGCGACGGCGCCCGCGAAGCCGCCGACGCTCCGCGAGAAGCTCGGGCTCGCGCCTCCGAAGAAGCGGCCCTGGGACGACGGCCACCACGTCGCTCCCGAGGCGGACCCGGCCCAGCCCGCGGCGTACCGGACCCTGCGCGAGAAGCGCGCCGTCGCCGAGACGGACGACGCGTCGTCGTACCTCGACGAGAGCCTGGTGAAGCCGTCGCTCGCGAGACGGCGCGCGCGGTCGCCGGAGCCCAAGGCGACGAAGAAGCTCCGGGGCGCGCTCGGCATCCACGACGCGTGGGACGAGAGTTTCGCCTACGAGACGTTCCCGCGGCCCAAGCTCCCGGACGTCGCCGCGCGGCGGGGCCTGGACCCGGAGCCCGTCCGGCCGGGCAAGGGCGCGTTCAAGCCCTACGGCACGCTGTCCAAGGAGCGGAGCGACCACTTCCGGTCCTTCCAGGAGCGGCCCTGCCGCAAGAAGGCCATGCGCGAGTACGCGAAGCTCGCCGTCGCGCGGCGCCGCGGCGACGAACAGCGGCGGTCGCGCGACGCGGCGCGCCTCGACCGCGCGACGTCGCTCCGGTCCTGGCGGAGCTCCGACTACGACCGCGCGCCCGGCGACCTCTTCGCGACGACGGGCGGCTCCGCGGTCGTCACGCCCGCGGGGTCCACGGTCGGGCCGCGGGGCCGCGCGTCGCGGAGCCCGTCGCCGACGCGGCCGGCGACGGCGGGCGCGCGGCCGCGGCCGCGGCCGTCGGACCTCGGGTCCGGGAGCGTCGCCTCGACGCCTTTACGTCGGCCGTCGACGGCGGGAAGCGCCTATTCGACGCCGCTGCGGCGGCCGTCGACGGCGGACGCGAGGAGCCGCGCGTCCGCGGCCTCGCGGCGGCGGCCCGCGACGCCGAACCCGCCGTCGGACGCGGAGCTCCTCGGCCGCGGCTCCCTGTCCGCGGCGACCTTCGACACGACGCTCGTCGCGGCGGGGCCCCGGGCGAAGCGGCCCGAGTCCGCGCCGAAGCGGGCGATGAAGGACCAGCTCCAGGACCCGGAGATGCCCTACAAGTGCAAGCTCCAGCGGCCAAAGTCCGCGACGGGCGTCGCGGGCATGGACGTGGGGCCCGTCGTCTTCGAGCGCAAGGCGCGCGCGCTGCTCAAGAAGATTTGATTTTAAAAACCTAGTAGTACTGGGCGATGGAGTCCGTGAGGAACTTCGCGAAGGCGACGGGCACCTCCGTGAGGCGGCTGCGCATGGGCGGGATGATGTCCGCGCGGGCGTCGTCGGGCGCGAGGACCGCGTCGAGGGAGCAGCCCGTCGGCACCTGCATGGCCTCGTCCCAGTCCGGCTCCACGAAGAGCGCGAACGACTCGCGGCTCACGCGCGCCATGTCGCCCGCGGCGACGGCGTGGGGCGTCGCGACGAGCGTGCCCCCGCTGAGGATCTGGGCCGCCTCGCCGATCTGGAAGAGGATGGACCCCTCGGGCGGCGCGCCGACGCGGACCTTGGCGCCACTCCGCGAGAACGCGAGGAGGCCCGCGCCCGCGGGCGCGCCGACGCGCTCGCCCGTCGCGTCGTCGAAGTAGATCGCCGGCGCCAGGGCCGTGATGACGCTGTTGTCGTTGTGCCAGCCGCACCAGGCCGCGTCGTCGCCCGACGGCGCGTCGTCGCGCGGGTAGTAGTGGAGCAGGCGGCCGACGTGGAGCCGGCTCCGCTCGTGCGTGACGGCCGTGAGGCGCTTCGCGTCGCTCGCGAAGCCCTTGGCGGCGACGGCGCTCGCGACGGCGGCGTCGCAGTGGCGCAGCACGTGGCGCGACAGGTCGTACAAGCTCCGGGAGAACGACCGGAACGCGCCGCGCATGTCGTCGCCGACCTCGGCGTCGGGCCACGCGGGCTCCGTCGTCGACTCCGGGTAGCGCGCCTTGAGGTCCGCGTCGCCGTTCGCCGCGTCCTCGTGGAGGCCGTTCGCGTACCACGAGCCCTTGGCCGTGTCGACCTTGCCCTTGAACTTCTCGCGGCCGCGCGACCAGCCCGCGCAGTAGTGGAGGTCCGGGTTCTCGTACTTGGCCAGCGTCTCCTCCGGCAGCGTGCCGAGGCGGCGCGCGATGCCCAGCAGGCGCAGGCGCTGGTCGCGCAGCTCCTGCGGCACGTTCGTCACCGCGAGCACGCCCAAGCCGTCCTTCCCAAAGGCGAATTTGATTTTCTGCGCCGTGTCCGCGTCGTTTTTCGCGTGGACCAAGTCGTCGTAGTCGATGAGCACGAGCTCCGTCTTGGCGGCTGTCAGGGCGGCCATGCTTCGAGCGCTCGGGCGATGGAGCACGACGCGCTGTTCGAGCACCTCGGGCGATGGAGCACGACGACGCTGCCGCCCTTCTTTGCTGATGAAATTAATAAATTTTAATTTTTACCACAGCTCGCCAGATGCTCGCCAGCCAATCAAAGTTCGCAGCCGGGCACGACTTGGCGAGAGCAAAGCGACAGCCGTCCTCGCCCCGCGTCGGGGGTCGCGACACCGCTCAGGAGCCATGGCCTCCCCGTCGAAGGCCCTCCCGCTCGCCTGCACCTTCGTCATCGGCTGCGCGAGCCTCTTTAGCTGGAACGCGGTCATCACGATCTCGAGTTACTGGAAGACGCGGTTCTGCGGCTCGCTGTTCGAGACGTCCTTCGAGAGCGTCTTCGCCGTCACGTACCAGCTGACGTCGCTGGCGTCGAACGTCTACGCGCTGCGCGCGTCGCAGGAGCTGAGCGTGCGGTCGCGCATCGTGCCGACGCAGTGGGCGCTCGTCGGCGTCTTCGCCGCGTTCGCCGTCCTCGCGCTGGCCCCCGGCGCCCCCGAGCGGGCCGTCTTCGCGCCCGTGACGCTCCTGGGCGTCGCGTTGTGCGGCTCCCTGTCGCAGTTCCTCTGCGCGGCCGTCTTCGGCCTCGCGGCCGCGCTCCAGGGCGGCTTCAACGCCGCGAACATGGCGGGCCAGGCCGTCGGCGGCGTCATCCCCGCTTTAATCGTCGTCGCGACGGTCCTCTCCGAGGGCGCGGCGAAGCCCGCGGCGGACGACGGCGGCGACGACGGCGGCTGCGTCGCGCCGCGCGTCGACGGCGGCGCCGTCGGCTACTTCGTCGCCGCCGCGGGCTTGTTCGTGGTCAGCATCTTCGCCTTTCGCATCCTCGAGCGGCAGGAGGTGTTCCTGGCGTCGTCCCTGGCGACGAAGGACGAGCCCGACGACGAGGCGGGCCTCCAGGCGAGCCTCATGGGCGTCGACGCGGAGCCGTCGATCCAGGCGCCCGCGGCCAAGGCCGCGCCCGGCGACCTCGGGGCGTTGGGGGCCCTGGCGCGCGAGATCCGCGTGCCCGCGGCGGCCGTCTTCCTCGTCTTCGCCTGCACGCTCGCGCCCTTCCCCGCGCTGACGGCGCTCGCGCGCGCCGAGGGCCACGCGGACGACGACGGCGGCGACGGCGACCTCTTCCGCGCGCTCTTCGTGCCGCTGCTCTTCCTCGAGTTCAACGTCTTCGACTTTTTGGGCCGCGCGTCCGCGGGAGTCGTCAAGTCGCCGGGCGCGCGCGCGCTCCTCTTCGCGGCCGTCGCGCGCTTCGCGTTCGTGCCGCTCATCGCGCTCGGCACGCTCTCCGGCGGCGCCGGCGGCGCGCCGGGCCTCCGGTCCTCCGCGGCGCCCTTCGCGGTGATGGCGCCCTTCGCGCTCTCCAACGGCCTCGTCGCGACGCTCGCCATGGGCGAGGCGCCACAGCTCGTCGCGCCGCACAAGCGCGAGCTCGCGGGCAACGTCATGTGCCTCTTCCTCACGCTCGGCCTCACGGCGGGCTCCGCGCTCTCCTTCGCGCTGCTCGCGCTCGTCTAGAGTTTTTTTAATGCCGCGACGAGGTCGCAGCTCGGTTTCATCATCACTTGTTTTATCGCGCCGCGTCGACATCTCATGGAGCAGTCGCTTGAAGCCTTGCGGCCCGATCGAAGCTGCGCGATGAACGCACGAAGCGCCGCGCGATCCTCGCTCCTAGCGCTCGCGCTGGCGGCGCGTACGGCGCGCGGCTACGCGCCGCGCGCATACGTCGCGGCGCACGCGCGATCGCTCGAGCTGCCGCGGCAGAAGGAGCACAAGAGCACGCCCCGGCGGGCGCTGGAACTGGATCTCGACGAGGTCTTGAGCGAGGAGCTCGGCTTCGACTTCGTCGCGGCCCACTCGGGCACGGAGCAGCGCTTCGACCACGGCTACGCGCGGGCGACGTACGACCGCGACGCGTCCGTGGACGTCGACGCCGTCGACGAGCTCCTCGTGGAGCGCGCGCTGCTGCGCCAGTGCCGCGACTTCGAGGCGGCCGACGGCATCCACGCGCAGCTCCGGCGCCTCGGCGTGGAGGTCGACGACCGGCGGAAGACCTGGGCCTCGCGCCGGTCCGCGCCGAGCCGCTTCAGGCCGAGCCGCTACGCCTTCGCGGGCGACGCCGCGGGCCTCGACCGCGCGCTCCTGCGCACGGTGACGCGGATCCTCGCGCGGCGGAGCAAAGCGCAGTACCAGAAGGACTGGGTCGTCGCCGACCACTACCGGGACGAGCTCCGCGTCAACCACGGCGTGATCGTCGACGACCGGACGAAGCGCTGGTCCGTCGGGAGCGGCTACTCGACGCGCGACGACCCTAGGCGACCGTAGATTCTCCGGTGTTTGTTCGGGGGGTGCTCGCGTGCCTCCGGCGCGCCGCGACTCGAGAACAACATGCGAGCGTGCCTCGACGCGACGCTCGGTAGAAACGTGCCACACAACCTTTTTAGTACGAGTGGGCGACCTGCTCCGTGACGCCCTTGGCCGGCGCGCGCGCCTCGACCTTGGCCTTGGCCGGCGGCGGCACGTAGAGGCTCTCGTGGCCGTAGTCCCGCTCGTTCCGCTCGTGGAGGACGAGGAGGCCCAGCGCGCCGACGACGAGGACCGCGTGCGGTACGGCGCCGACCAAATAGTTCGACGCGTTCGGGTCGCGCCGGATGCAGGCGCTCAGCACGATGCCGCCGACCGCGGAGCCGAGCGCCTTGGGCACGCCGACGGCCATGATCTTCCACCAGGAGATGATCTCCGCGCGCGCGTCCACCGGGTACTGGCTGTAGAGCAGCGTCTGGAACGCGGGGACGATGCAGCACGCGGCGCCGACGAATGGCAGCGTGCACCAGACCTGCGCGCGGCCCGCGGTCGACGCGGCCGGCGCGAGCGCGATGATCAGGAGCAGGCACACGTAGCAGAGCAGCGCGACGCGCACGGTTTTCGGCGCGCCGAGCGACTCCGTCACGAAGCGCACGGACGGCAGCGCGACGAGGATCGTCACGAAGCCGTACAAGTAGACGACGACGATGGACATGAGCCGCTTCCACAAAAAATAATTCGTGACGATCGCGAAAAAATAAGCGTCCAGGAACATGAAGCCCATGACGACGACCTTGAAGTTGGAAAAGTAGGTCGTGTCGGCGCCGCTCGGGTGCCGCGTGCGCCACGTCGGCGCGAAGCGGCCGCAGCCGCCGGAGAACGGCGTCCGGAGCGCCGCGGGCAGCGACTCGCGGACGCGGTCCGGCGACGCCAGAAACGCGGCCGCGAGCGCGTAGCAGGCAAAGGCGATGCCGCAGGAGCTGCTGCCCGTGTAGGGCCCGCCCTTCCACGCCCCCGGGAACGCGGCGACGCTCGCCGCCGTGAGCACGAGCCCCGCGACGAAGCCCACGAAGAAGCCCCAGGCGCCGACGTATCCTAAACCGTCCTCGAGGGCGCCGTGGCCCAGCCCGTCGCAGACCTCCGTCGTCATCTGCGTGATGAAGTCCGTGAACGGCGCGCTGAGGCCCATGACGACGAGCGACGCCGCGTACAAACAAATCCCGAGCGCGGACGTGCCGCCGCCGGCGACGGACCCGGCGAAGAAGAGCGCCGTCGACACGGCCTGCCCGAGGAGCGACAGCCAGAGCTGGGGCCGGTGGCCCCGCGACTCCGCGTAGGTCGGCAGGAACTTGGAGAACAAGGCGATGGACAGGTACGCGACGCCGCCGAGGACGCCGACGAGCAGCGCGGACCGCTTGTTCGGGTCGTCGACGTCGCCGGTCTGCTGCGCGTTGAGGATGCCTACGGTGCGCGGATGGCCATCGACGTCGCAGGCGCGCGAGACGCGGCGCCGTGCCGGGGATGCTCGCGATGACCACGACGCCGCCGGAGACGGAGACGCAGGCGACGCGCGCGTACCAGGTGAGCACGCCCTTGCGTTCCGCGTCGTCCACGATGGCCGCCACGGCGACGACGACGTCATCCTCCTCGACGAGCGTGCCCTCGCCGCCGTGCACGTACTTGGCCGGCTCCATCGGGGGCTGCTGCGTGTCCAATGCTCTCCTGTTCGGCTTTGTCTCATGTTAATGTTGACTATGAAACGCCTTCTCGTGCCGTGCAAGGTCGACCGTATAGCAGCGCGCAATCTGGGCGCGCCGATTCGAGCGGCGCGGGCAGCCCGCGCTCGCGGTACCATGCCTTCAGAGAGCAAGGCGGCGGAGAGCAAGGACGACGTCTCCTTGGAAGCGCATTTCCGCAAGTTTATCACGTCGAACATGATGTGGAAAAAAGCCCTGGAGAAGTTCGTGGAGAACAACGCGGCGGCCTTCGACCAGGAGGAGGAGCACAAGCACCAGCACCACGACCTCTTCGTCGAGTACCAGGAGATGTGCGACGTGTCCCTGGGCCTCTTCATGCGGAAGCACAAGTGCAGCGAGGACGAGCTCGCGCGCGAGCTGCTCGACCGCCGCGCGGACGACCTCATCGACCTGCTCGTCGCCAAGGGCGACTTCTCGCGCTTCACGGAGATGATGCGGAGTCGGAAGCTCAAGGCGCTGACGTCGAACTTCGACGCGTTCCACCACGAGACGGCCGCGGAGGCGAAGTAACCTTCCGACTCGGAGTCGCGCCGGGGGCCGGGTTGCGGGGTCTCCGAGACTTATACAGGGGGTGGGGGGGGCGCCTACTCCCACTCGATCGTGCCCGGCGGCTTGTTCGTGACGTCGTAGAGGACGTCGGCGACCTGGGGGAGCTTGGCCTTGATGGCCGCGGCGATCTTGTCGCAGAGCGCGAAGGGCACCTTCGAGAAGGCCGCGGTCATGGCCTCCGTCGAGTCGACGGGGCGGAGGATGATGACCTCCTCGCCCGCCTGGCCGGCGAGCCCGAGGGGCGCCATGGCGACGGGGCACTGCCAGATGGACCGCATGACGCCGTCCTCCGTGAGCATGTCCGTCACGATCGCGTCGGCCTCGCGGAGCACGTCGAGGCGCGGCGTCGTCACCGTGTGGGGCCCGCCGGGGCTCACGGCGAAGTCGAGGGGCGCGTCGCGCGCGGAAGCGTGGAGGAGGCTCACGACGACGCGGTTCACGAGCTTGGACTCGTTGACGAGCTCCGTGGAGATGGCGCCGAGCGCGTCCCAGTCGCGCTCGTAGGCGCCGGCGAGGATGGCGAAGTTGCGGTAGGTCCGCGAGTCGCCCTGGCAGCCCACGGACCGCAGGGGCGGCACGGACGCGGCGACGCCCGCGGGCAGCGCCGCGGAGATCGTCGCCGCGGCGCGCGCGCGCGCCGCGACGTCGTCGACGGGCTCCGGCGCGCCGTCGTGGCAGAGGAGGCGCACGCCGAGGCCCGGGCCGGGGAAGGGCTGGCGCCAGACGAGGTGCGACGCGAGGCCGAGCCGCTCGCCGACGGCGCGGACCTCGTCCTTGTAGAGGTCCGCGAGGGGCTCGATGACGAGGCCCTGCTCGATGAGCGCGTCGATCTCGGGCACGCGGTTGTGGTGCGTCTTGATGACGTCGGCCTTCTTCGCGGACCCGCCGGACTCGATCGTGTCGGGGTAGATCGTGCCCTGGCCCAGGAGCCACTTCGCCGGGTCCAGGCCGTAGGCCTTGGCCTGCGCGCGCTGGATCTCGAGGAACTGCTGGCCGATGACGCGCCGCTTCGCCTCGGGCGCCGTCAGGCCCTCCAGCGCCTTGAGGAACTGCGCCGACGCGTCGACGGCCTTGAGGTTCGGGAGGTCCGCGCCCGCGAGCGACTCGGACACGAGCTCCGACTCGCCCTTGCGCATCATGCCCGTGTCGACGTAGAGGCCGAGGATGCGCTCCGCGGGCAGCGCCTTGGCGAGCAGCGCGTAGGTCACGGTCGAGTCGACGCCGCCGGAGACGAGCACGAAGACGTTCCGGCTCGCGCCGCACTTGGCGCGGATCGCGGCGATCTGCTGGTCGACGAAGTCGTCCATCTTCCACGTCCCCTTGAGGCCGCTGAGCTCGACGAACGCGCCGAGCATGGCCTCGCCCTTGGCCGAGTGCGTGACCTCGGGGTGGAGCTGAAGGCCGTAGAGCCGGCGCGTGCCGTCGCAGCACTGGACCGCCGCGTTCGCGCACGCCGCCGTCTTGCCCGTCGTCTCGAAGCCCGGGGGCAGCGCGACGACCTTGTCGCGGTGGCTCATCCAGACCGTCGTCTTGTCCGCGTCGCCGGGCATCACGCCGCCGGCCTTCACGACCTCGAGCGTCGCCGGGCCGTACTCGCCGACGGCCGCCTGCTCGACCTTGCCGCCGAGGTCCTGGCACATCATCTGGCAGCCGTAGCAGATGCCGAGGATCGGCACGGGCAGGTCCCAGAGCGCCTTGTCGACGCGCATCGACGCCGGGTCGAAGACCGACTGCGGGCCGCCGCTCACGATGATCGCGCCCGCGTCGGCGAACGTCGACACCGGCGCGTCGCAGGGCACGATGACCGACAGCGCCTCGTGGCGGCGGACGCGCGACGCGATGAGGTGGCAGTATTGGCCGCCGCAATCAAGGACCTGCGATTTCGGGATCGGGATCGTTCGCCGCGCGCGCGCGCGCTCGCGTTTGCGGGTGAATGCCGCTGCGCGCGAGCGATGCGCGCGCCGTCGAGTCGTGTGTTGGGCAGCTCGTGCGGCGCGCGCGCGCGCGCGCGCAGTCGTGCGGCGCGTCGAGCGCGCGCAGCAGTCGCCTCTCGACTGCGCGCGCGCGCGCGCGCACGCGCGCAGTCGCCTCGAGCGGTTTTGGCGACGAGCGGCGCGCGCGGCGCGGTGAATCCTGCTGGCTGGACACCGCGCGATGCGTAGATCTTCTTGGGCGACGCGGTTCCGCTAGCGAGGACCGCCATCGTTGTCGACGAACAGGCACTTGTGCACGAAGGCTTGCTGCGGCGCCGGTCGAGAGGGGCTCAATCGAGCCAGTTTTAAATGAGGTGCAACGAAAAGTGCAACGAAGCTTTTCTAGTACACGGGACGCGTCCAGCGACGCGTGCTGAGATGCTCTCGCCTCCGGCCCATAAGATGGGCTCCTCAACATCCACTGCGCGCAGCCCATCCTCGTGTCGTCCTTACGCGCGGTTCGTGATGTCGGCGCAGGCGCTCGGCTTGGCGGGGGACTTGGGCAGGGAGTGGGACTCGGAGCCGCGCTCGAGGGTCGCGATGTCGAAGAGCTCGCTGTTGTCCTCGCTCTCCTCCTCCTCGTCGCACGCGTCGCCGCTGTCGACGGCCACGGCCTCGGCCCACGCCGACGAGGGTCGAGGACCGCCGTCCGCGCTCGCGACGACTTCAAGTTCCGCCGGGGGGCGCCGGCGGACCCCGCTCCGGCTAATGTTGCCCTCGTTGCAGCTCGAGGCCAGCGCATCGAGAGCTGTTGTCGACGCAGAGCTCGTCGTCGAGGCTGCTGCGAGCGCCGCAGCGCGTCGACGCGCGCGAAGCACCGCAATTTTGCCAGCGCACAGCGCCAGAATGATGCGCGCCGCGGCGCTGCTGCTGCTGGCCGCGACGGCCGACGGCTTCCTGCACGGTAAGACCGCGAACAAACCGCTGCTGCGCGCCACCGAGTCGTTCGAGAACCCGGTGCCGCTCCTCCAGGAGGCCATCGACCGCGCGCCGCAGTTCGACGAGGGCCGGTCCGTCGTCTTCGGCGTGCTCTCCACGGAGGTCGCGGACGCGCCCGCGCCGGCCGAGCAGGCGCGGCGGCGCGAGCTCGCCGCGGCCTCTTTGACGAACATCGACGACGCCGAGCGCGACCGGCGCGGCGCCGTCGCCGTCGTCGGCGGCGCGGCGACGCTCGCCTACGCGGCGTCGCTCGTAGCGAACCACGCGAGCTTCGCGGGGCGGTTGAGCGTGTTCCCGCTCCTCGCGCTGAGCCTGGGCTACTACGAGAGCAAGAAGGAGGGCTTGTGAAACATCGCCCAGTCCGGCCTCTGGGACGTGACTGGGAACGGCATGGAGAAGATCGCCGACGCGAAGCTCGCGCGCGCGCTCCTCGACAAGGTCAACGATTTCAACGTGAAGACGGGGCTCAAGGGCGTCGCTTTCACGCTCGCCTTCGCGGCGACGGCGTTCTTCGACGTGTGATCGACCACTCTTTCGGCGCGACTCATGATGCGGCGCGGCGTCCCCTCGCGGGCGCCGCGCCGCGGACTCGTCCGCCGGCTCGTCGTAACAACTTCGGGGAAACACTACGCCCCTGCGGGCAAAACTAACTCACGTCCTCGGACCCGTCTCGCGCGTCCCGCAGCACCCAGACGGAGAGCGCGGCCCGCCGCCAGCCGACGACGGGCCGGACCTCGTGGACGAGGTCCCGCGCGCGGAAGAGGACGAGCCGCCCGGGCGCGGGCACGACGTCGACGGTCTCCGTCGCCGTGGCGCCTGTCGTGTCCGTCGGCGCCGTGCCGAGGTAGCAGCGGAGCTCGCCGCCCGCGCCCGGCGCCGGCGCGGCGTCGAGGTAGAGGATCGCCGTGAGCTCGCGGTGGTTCTCGCCGTCGCCCATGCGGACGGGGTCGTTGTCGCGGTGGGGCACGTAGCGCGGCCGGGCGCGCCGGACGCCGTCGTAGAGCGACAGCTGCGCGGACGCGGGCACGAGCAGGCGCGCCGGGAGCGCCGCGGCGTCGCCGGCCGCGAGCGGGTCCGCGGCCGGGTCCCGGAGGAAGAGCGCGCCGCCGTCGCCTACGAAGTGCGTCGGTGACGGTCTTTCATGGTTCAAAAGCTCCGGTCTTTCATGATTCAAAAGCTCCCCCGCGGGACGCGGGCCGGCGCCGACGACGGCGCCGACGGGCGCGCGCGGGTCGACGCGGTGGCCGCGCGTCGCCTCGTAAAATTGGCAGGCCGTCGTCACGCCGACGACCTTGGCGAGGTCGCCGCAGGGCCGCCGGCGCCACCGCGCGTTCAGCGCGGCGCGCTTCGCCTTGCCGCCGGCGCGCGTCTCGTCGACGACGAGGACCGCGATCGTCGCGTCCTCCGGGGGCTCCGCGACGCCGCCGATGGCCTGCCGCGGCGCGGACGCGGCCGCGACGGCCGCGGCGACGCCCGCGAGCGCGGCCTTGGCCTCGGGCAGGAAGTCCGGCTCCTCGGCGAGCGGCAGGAACTCGACGTCGTCGCCGCGGATGTGCACCTGGAGCGCCATGCGCTGGTCCGCCCGCCGCGCGTCGAAGCGGTCGCGCACCGCCGCCGCGTAGCGCGCGCAGGTCGCCGCGTCGAGCGCGCCGTCGACGACGCCCACGAGGGGCCGGTCGAGGCGCAGCGTCCCGGCTTCGAAGCCCGCGACGACCGCGGCGCAGGCGGCGTAGGCGTCCGCGCGCGCGCACTCGGCGAGCTGCGCGCCCGCGCGCGCGACGCGCTTGTAGGCCTCGAGCACCCAGTCCTCCGACGGCGGCGCGGGTTCGGGTGGCGGTGGCGTGGGCTCCGGTGGCGGCGGCGGCGGCGGCGGCGGCGGCGTTGCCGCCTCGTCGTCGTCGCTGTCCGTCACATACGCCCATTTGTCGTAGTCCGCGAGGCGCGACATATGCCAGCGCGAGGCGTCCGGCGATGGCTGGAGCGCAGCGGCTGATGCCTAAAAGGCCACCATCATCCCATCGATGGGGGCAGCCCGCTGCAACGCCGACTTGCGAAAGCATCGAGCAACGACAAGGTGAAGATTTTGTGGCTGGACGATGATGGGCAGCTGAGTCGTGTGCTTTCCACCATGGCGAAGCGCCGCGAGAGCGGCGGCGGGTGGTTCTCCGACCTGTTCGCGCCGAGCGACCTGTTCAAGCCCAGCTCGCGAGAGGAGCCGATGCCCTTACAGGACCAGTGCTGGTCCTGCTCGACGACCTTTGAGACGCCGCCGCCCTTCGAGTTCTTCTGCTACGCCGACGTCGACGAGCCCCGGGTCGACGTCGTCGTCGACGTCGCGCCGACTCTCGAGCTGACGGACGAGCAGGAGAACGCCGCGGCGAACAAGGCCCTCGGCGAGGGCCAGCGCTACGAGCCGTGGCGCCGGTCGCCGTCGGGCGACGCGTCCGCCGCGCGCGTCGCCGCGCCGTCGCGCGCGGGCCGCTTCCTCAAGTCGAAGCGCTTCGAGAACGGCATGCTCGTGCTCATCCTGATCAACTGCGCCCTGCTCGCGATGTGGAACCCGCGCTGGGAGCGCGACGCGGCGTCCTGTGGCCGTGACGATTTTCGAGCGATTTTGATCGGGAAAACGAAGAGAAATCGTCGCCGTCATGCTTGGTAGGCGCGACGGCGGCGCGCCGCTCTGGTGGAAGGCGGCGGACCTCGCGATCCTCGGCGCCTTCGTCCTCGAGGCCATCGCGAAGATCGCGACGTTCCGGCTGCGCTACTTCTACAGCGCCTGGAACGTGCTCGACGCCGTCGTCGCGCTGACGGGCGTCGTCGACGCCGCGTACATGGACGCGCCCGACGTGAGCTTCCTCAAGGCGCTCCGCGTGCTCCGGCCGCTGCGCACCGTGAACCGCGTGCCGAGGTGCGCGTGCCGCGAGACGCCCCGCGATGACCCACCCCGCGTGCCCGTAGGCTCCAGCGGACCATCGCCGTGCTGCTCCGGTCGCTCATCAACCTCCGCGACATCGTGCTGATGATCGCGGGCGTCCTGCTGACGCTGTCGCTCGCGGCGATGCAGCTGTGGAGCCCGACGCCCGTGACGCGCTGCGTCTCCGACCTCGACGGGTCGCCCCAGTACGGCGACGAGCTCAGCGCGGGCCTCGAGATCTCGCAGGTCGCCTGCTGGCTGAACGACGACGCCGTCGCGCCCGGCGGCACCGCGAGGACCTGCGGCCTGCCGCGGCTCGTCGTCGACGGCTACGGTTGCGAGGCGGGCTACTCCTGCGCGCGCGCGGCGTCCGCCGACGGGCCGGGCCGGGGCTACGCGGGGTTCCGCAACGTGCTCACGACGGTCCTCACGCTGACGAACCTGGCCTTTGGCGAGATCTGGAGCGACATCATGCTCCACACGCAGGAGGCCAACGGCGCGGCGGCGGCGTCCCGTGTACTACTTGGCGGGGGTGAGACTTCTTGTCGTCGCAGGCTCCGGCGTGTCCGCGTTCTTCGTCTGCTTCATGCTCGCCGTGAGCACGATGCTCTTCTCCATCGCCGTCGCCGCGCTGCTTTCCCAGTTCCACGAGTACGGCGACACGCGCGAGGACATCAAGGCGGTCCTCGACGGCGAGCTCGCGCCCGCGGAGGAGCCCGAGCGGCGCGGCGGCGGCGTCCCCCCCCCTTTTTGAAAGCTTACGAGTCCACCCGCGCAGGCGCCACGTCAACGCGATCAGCGACAGGCTCGTCAAGACGCGGTCCATGGAGCTCGACGACGACGATAAGTTCGTGCCGGAGGACATGTCCCTGCGCATCCAGCGGCCGCAGACCCTCGGCGACCGGCTCTGGCGCGGCACGCGGAGCTCGCGGGTCCGCCGACTCCTCACGTCGCCGACGCGGTGGCCGAACGTGCTCGTGACGCTCGTCGTGCTGCTGAGCGTCGCGGCCATGGCCGCCGACGGCTACCACGCGACCAAGTCCGTGTCGCGCTTCGCGAACGTCGTCAACCTCTGGTCGTCCATCTTCTTCGCGGTCGAGTTCGCGGCCAAGGTCGCGATCCTCGGCGTCGGGCCGTACTTCGGCGACGCGTGGAACTGGTTCGACTTCGTGATCTGCGTCTGCTCCGTCGTCGAGATCTTCGTCGAGTCCATGCTCCGCAGCGTCAAGGCGCTGCGCATCCTGCGGCTCGTGCGCCTCGCGCGGCTCGTGCGCGCGGTCCGCCACTGGAACTCGCTGAGGGAGGTGCTGCTCATGATCGAGGTGGCGCTCGACGCGGTCTGGCCGAGCCTGCTCCTCCTGCTCCTCTTCCTCTTCATCATGACCCTGGGCGCCATGCAGTTCTTCGGGCCCTACGGCCTCGTCGCGACGTCGCCGAACGACGCGGAGCACGAGCGCGCGGTGCGCTTCGACTCGTTCACCTGGGCCTTCCTCCAGGTCTTCCTCACGGCGCTGGGCGAGGACTGGAGCTACGTCATGTACTCGACGATGGCCAAGTGCGGCGAGGAGAGCGCGGCGTTCTTCGTGACCATCGCCGTCGTCGGGCGCCTCGTGCTCGCGAACGTCGTGCTCGCGTGCCTCTTGGACGAGTCGACGACGCTCTACCTGGACGTCCTCGACCAGCGCAAGAAGCTCCGCATGATCTACTACGTCCTCGTCGTGCGGCGGCGGCTGAACCGCGCCTTCTTCCTGCTCCGGCTCCACGCGCGCGTCGCCGAGGCGCCCGGCCTCGCGCTGGCCGCGGCGCGCGCCGTCGAGGAGACGAAGGACGGCGACGCGCCGCGGGAGCCGCGCCTCAACAAGAAGCGGCGCTCGAGCACGCGCAAGGCCCGCGCGAGCGCCGTCCACGTCGAGCTCGTCCACCAGCTCAACGGCTCCAAAAACCAGCTCAACGTCAAGGGCCGGAAGAACTTCGCCGTGCCGCCGCAGAAGAAGAACGCGCGCATGAGCCTCTTCCTGCCGGAGCCGGCGCGGGAGAAGCGCGTGCGCATCCCCAAGAAGAAGCAGCGGTCCGAGGAGAGCTGGGCCCGCTTCTTCGAGCACCTCGTCGAAAGTAAGGCGTTCCGCGACGCCGTCGCGTCGTCCGTCGTCACGTGCGGCGTGCCGCTCTGCGACGCCTACGCGGGCCCGGACGCGCGGCCGGGCTGGGCGATCTTGGACGCCGCGGCGGGGCTGGTTTTTGTGGCGGAGTGCGCCTGCCGCGCGGCGCACGCGTACCACCGCGCGCGGCGCCACCTCGACGCGAACCGGCGCCGGCCCGAGGACAAGCTCCATTCGTCGCAGCAGAACGGGCTCAGCGAGGACCAGTCGGCGACGCTCCACGGCTTCATCCACGACGAAGAGGAGGGCGAGCGGCGGCGCCACGGGTGGAAGATCGACGACCGGCTCCGGCGCGCCGCGCGCGGCGCGGCGATCGGCCTCGAGCGCGCCGTCGTCTTCGCGGGCATCGTGGGCCTGATCCTGGACCCGGGCAACCGCGTCTTCTTCGTGCTCCGGTCCCTGCGATGTCTCGTCCTGGTCCGCGAGCTCAAGACCGTGCGGCTGCTGGCCGTGTCCGTGATCTCGTGCGTGCCGACGCTCGGCGCGCTCTTTTCGGTGATGTTCGTCGTCTGGCCCGTGGCGGCGCTCATCGGCCAGGAGTTCTTCAAGGGCACGTTCGCCTACTGCACGGACCCGGGCTTCCCGAGATACGCGTACCGCCGCGGCGAGACCTTCAGCGACGGCTCGGAGAAGGTCGCGCCGTGCGCGAACGAGCGCTGGGAGAACCCGCCCTACACCTACGACGACTTCCCGGGGAGCATCCTGTCGACGTTCTTACTCATCGCGGGCTCGGGCTACACGGACCTCATGTTCTCCGCGATGGCCGCGACGGAGGCGAACTACTCGCCGAAGAGCGGCCACAGCGAATTCGCGTTCTGGTACTTCTTCGTCGTCTACTTCTGCCTCAACATCTACTTCGCCCAGCTCTTCATGAACCTCATCTGGGGCGGCTTCCTCGAGATGCGCAACGACGCCATCGCGGCGACGACGACGGACGCGGAGGTCAAGGGCTACTTCGTCACGGCCGCGGAGGGCAACGCGCGGCGGCTGCTCAACGGCGTGCTCCACGACGTCAAGCGGTCGAGCGTGCCCGTGAGCGAGGCGCCGCCGACGCCCCTGCGGCTCTGGCTCGAGCGCGAGATGACGCAGCGCGGCGCCGCGGGCTGGGGCCTCGACGGCGTCATCCTCGTCAACGCGGCCGCGATGGCCTGCCGCCACCGGAGCGAGCCGGCCTGGCTCCCCGCCGTCGCCGCGGCGACGTCGGGCGTCGTCGCGTGCGCGTTCTCCGCCGAGGTCCTGCTGGCGCTCTACGCGCGCGGGTCGCTCCCTGTGTGCAAATCAACCAGTGAGCTGGGACGTCGGGGCCAAACTTCAGAATTCTCTAGCTCGGTCAAATCGAAGTCGATTCGGCTGATTTCTGGACGAATCGATTGCTCTCAGCGAGTTCTCGAAGCACGGCGGAAGTGCTCGTGTCAAAACATTCGAATACGCGCACATTGAAGTCGGGTTGAAGATTTGATTTGCACACAGGTCGCTCCGCGCCTACGCGGACGACTCCGCGAACCTCGGCAACTTGTTCGTGACGCTGGCCGCGCTCGTCGAGGCGCTCTGGGGCCGGTCCTGCCGCGACGCGGGGCCCGTCAAGGTCGCGGCCGCCGTGTCCTGCGCGCGCATCCTGCGATTATTGCGGCGCCTGCCGAACTACGCGCAGATCTACTACGCGGTCACGCGGCCGATGCGGTTCATCGTCGCGATCCTGCTCATCATGTTCATGATCCTGTACGTCTACGCGGGCCTGGGGCGGTTGCTCTACGCGCACTACGACCTGCCGGAGCCCCGGGGCCACTACCTCGGCTTCCAGTCGCCGGCGCACGCGCTGCTGCTGTTGTTCGTGTGCGCGAACGGCGACGTCTGGCCCGAGCTCGTTATAGCGGCCGCGGACCCGAAGCCGGGCTGGAACGAGCCGTTGTACAAGTTTGGGGTGTATGTGTTCTTCGGCTCCTTCGTGGTGATCATGGACTTTTTCGTGTTGAACCTCTTCGTCATGATCATCTCGGAGGCCTACGACTCGCTGAGCGAGCCGAAGATCGTCGCGGCCTACGGCGGCATCGAGGACCTGCGGCGCGTCTGGGGGAGGCACGACCCGACGGGCTCCGGGCGCATCCCCGAGGCGGCCATCTACCGGCTGCTGCGGGACCTGAAGGCGCCCTTCGGGTGCGGCCGCGACTCGCGCTTCGTCGAGCTCATGGTCCGCGCGCGCTTCATCCTCGAGGAGTGCCACGCCTACGAGAAGAACCGCCACAGTGCCTACGCCGTGCACCTCGACGTGGCGCACCACGACACGTCCCTCGACACGCTCGCCGACGGCCAGGCCGCGCGCGAGCTCGAGTACCACGCGGTCGCCGCGACGCTCGTGAAGCAGTGCTTCATCGGCATCCCCAAGCTCAAGGTCCGCTGGTGCCGCTGCCTCGTCCAGCTCCACGTCATGCGCTGCGTGGGCCGCTTCCGCCACGCGCGCCTCTCCGCCGCGGGCGACCCGAAGGACACGAACTCGGGGCCCGGCGACGACGTCGTGCCAACATAAAATAGTGAAGCTGGACGTGCCTTCAGAAACCGATGCGAGCATTACAGCCTTCTCTGGCGCTCGGTCTGGGCGGGCAGGCAGGCAGGGAACCATGCCGAAGCCCCTCCCCGAGCCCGAACCGCAGCATGCTCAAGGAGGCCCTCTAGGCCAAACCGACTTTCGGTGTTCTTTTTTATCTAACTTTTTCTTGCTTAAGCTCACGCCGGCCGGCGTGTAAGCTCGACTCGCCGGCGGAGTCGGCGCGTGTACACACTACCGAAGGATGACAAACATCATGTACAAAGACGGGGGAAGCGGGGGGTCCTACGGGCCCTCAGGAGATCGTGCACGCGCACTCCTGCGAGAGGACCTGGTCGTCGTTCATCATGCCGTATTTGCTCTTGCCGTGGCTGGAGGCCTTCTCGTGCGTCGAGCTCGCGGGCTGGATGGTGTCGATGGCCTTGGAGTCGCCGGGGCCGAGCGCGCCGCCGCCGATCTTCTTCTTGGTCGCGAAGACGCAGACGAGGAGGCGCCGGCCGCGCTTGATGGGGATGCCCTCGTGCTGGAGCGTGTCCGAGGGGAAGACGATCGTGCTGCCGAGCGCGGGCTTCGCGTCGAAGGACGACTCGAGGACCGAGGGAAAGAAGCGCGTCCCGCCGCCCTCGAAGTCGCGGTTCGGCTTGGAGATGAGCAGGAGCAGCGTCGCGCCCTCCTTGCGGCCGTCCGTGTGCTTCCTGCGGGGCCCGGGGCGTCGGCGGAGGCGCGCGCGCGCGGGGGAGGGCGCACGCACTTGAGGCCCTTTTGGCGCGCGGCGTCGTAGACGATGACGAAGGCCCGCGACATGGTGAACTCGAGGGTGACGCCCGTGAGCTCCATGGAGACCCTCCGCGCGGTCAGCTCGAGCGCGTTGCGGATCTCGTCCTGCGACTGCTGGGGCAGGCTGCTGACCATGACGTCCTGCGTCGGCAGGCTGACGCCGCGGTCCGTCGTTCGACCTGCGCGGGGCTCCGTGAGGCCGGGGGACGGGGGGGAACATCATCAGAGGGGGGGGCTCCGCGCTCCGCGCCGGCGTCGAAGCACTCGTTCACCGCGTCTCGTGCTCGCACGCAGGCGTCCGGGGAGAGCACGTTCTGGATCTCGAAGACGGACGTCGCCGCGCGGCTCGCGCCGCTCCGGGCCGGGAGCCGCACGAGCACGACGTCGTCGAGGGAGGGGTCCTTTGAGGAGCTGGAGGAGCTCTGCAGGTCCGACGCCCGCGGCATGGTTTTTCCGGCGGCGGCTGCGGGGTTGGGAGCCCACGGAGCTGGGACCCGGGGCGCGCGTCCCGTAGCCGATCCCCGCGGCGCGAGACGCCGTAAATTTATTCGCCCCGACGCTTCTTCGTCGGCACGCTTTGCTAGATCTAGTAAGCTCCCCCGAGGGCTGCCGGAGAGCGCCCAATAAATAAGCCGAGGTTGAAACGTTGCAGCCGCGTTTAAGGCGGTTTACCAAGGATGGAGCCGGGGCAGCCCGACCCTGGAGTCCCGCCCCCCGTCGACGTCCCCGACGCCGGGTCGCCCGTCGCCGAGGAGGCGTACACGCCCGTCGCCGTCGCCGAGGCCGAGCTCCACAAGAAGGGCGAGGAGGCCCACTACGCGGCCCTGGAGCTTGCCGACGCCGCCGTCGCCGCGGACTACGGGGCCGCCGCGGGGGGCGAGCTGCCGCCGGACTACCCGGACAACCCGGACTACGCGCCCGAGGCCTACGGCGGCGGCGCGCCGCCGCCCGGCGCCGTGCCGCCCGCGGGCTACGCGCCGCCGGGCGGCGAACAGTGGACGCCGCGGTCCTACGCCATGGCCGCCGCGCACGCGGAGATGCAGCAGGCGGCCATCGAGCACCACATGATGGAGTCCATGATGGCCGAGGCCATGATGCGCGAGCACATCCACGCCGAGATGGAGCGCGCGGCGGCGACGGGCCAGGACGTCGTCCTCACGCCGCGGTCCTACGAGATCGCCATGTCCATGCACCAGGAGCAGATGATGGACCAGGGCGTGGCGCCCATGGAGCAGATGGTGGCGCCCGCCGGGGCGACGCCGCGCCTCTCGCCGCGCGACCCGGCGATCGTGAGCCCGGACATGGCCGACCTCCCGAGCGACGTCGTCCGCCTGAACACGGACGGCTCCTTCGACATCAGCCACCAGCCCCTCGTCGACTTCGACGCCGTCGCCGCGCCGCCCGCGCCCGTCAACGGCGCCGCGGCGGACGCCGCCGCGGACGCCGGCGCGGCGGCGCCCGTCGACGACGAGCCGGTCGTCCTCGACGACGAGCCGGTCGTCCTCGACGACGAGCCGGTCGTCCTCGACGACGAGCCGGTCGTCCTCGCCGACGCCGCGGCGCCGCCGGCCGTCGCGCTCGACGCGTCGCCGGCCTCGGAGCCAGACCGCGCGGACTTTGCGTCGCCGCCGCCGCCGGACCACTCGCCGCCGGCGAGCGTCGCGCCCGCGGACAGCGACCTGCAGTCGACGGCGAAGACGCTCGCGTCGCCGGGGTCGGACGCGAGCGAGCCGGCGGCCGCGCGCTTCGACGAGCCGGCGGAGCCGGCGGCCTCGGACGAGCCGCCGCCGGAGGAGGCGGCGGAGCCCGTGGAGGAGGAGACGGCCCACGGCTCTCGACGAGCCGCCGGCGGCGGTGCG